CAAATCCACTCAATTCAAAGTATAGCCCTGTAAAACCTTTGCCAAACGCAATATTGTAACTACTTAGCAGATTAACAAATTCTCTGATGCTTACTCTTACTTTTAAACATGCTTTTTTTTCCTTATGACACTGCCTTCTATTTCAGTAGTGTTTTTTGGTCAGCAGTTTCTCCAGTTTCTGTCTTATTTTCTTCCCTTCATGTGTATCGCTACCAAAAACAGGATGACGACGAGGGCATTTGGGCATAATCCTTGCTGTGACAACCAAAGCTCTAATGTTGTTTTGAGGGGTGAGATATATTTAAAACTTCCAACTTTATGTTTCTCAATTTCCTCTCTGACTGCATTGTCTGCAGTATTTTATTACAAAACAGCTACATGACGTCTGGGTTTTTGTATTTCGTTATCTCTCACATTCAGATGATTCAGTCACTACTGGAGGAGCACAGCCATGCCATGATGTTGAAACACTACCCGACCAAACATTTCTTACCTCCACTCAATCAACACTCAGCAATGGGACCTTTGTTTATTTTCCGGGCAAGAGGAGGGGGCACTCAGGTGTGCAGGTCATGCGGGGAGACTGACAGCTGAGCAGGTGATTTCACACAGTTCACACATACATAATGTATGATAGCACACAAACTGTATTCAGTCATTAAAAATAAAATGTCAAACTCCAAATTACACTATGTTCTCCTTCGGTTTCTGCTCAAGGTGACCTGGGACCTCTTCTTTGTGTGAACAGGAGCAGATGTCATCAACTTCCTCCATAAAGGATCACAGATACAGGACTGAACTGGAAGGAAAGAGACAGATGTTGTTTCCCATGGAGAGACAGATGTGCTCGTTGTCAGAGTTTTTGCTTGGACAGGTCATGTGATCAACATGGCAGCCCTTCACCAGAGGTCACCTCACCTGTCTGTCACCTGTCGGGACGCTGCACCTCTTCAGGCCAACAACGCCCTCTTGATTCTCCCAGCAGAGATCTCATGACTGTCTGCCAGCCCAGTATTTGTTCTTCATGCTTCTTCCTTTGATTGATTCAAGATCATGGTTGTCTTGCTGTCTGTTTCACCTGCCTGACTGACTCCTCTGGCTCTGGTTGGCTCCCCTACCGGACTCTGTCATGGTTTCCTGATCCTCACTGCCCTGCTGACCCACCTGGTGACATCTGACCCCTCTACCTGGCTCTCATTATCCTCAATGTGACTCAGTGCGAGTCTCTTCTGTTGTTTTAATCATCTGATTGTGTCAATGAGCTATTTTACCCTTTGTGGCACACAGTGATCTCTTTTTTTACCTTTATACATACCCCACCCACCACTCATTTTTAGAGAAGCTTGTGTTCAGCATTTCTAAAAGTGATGTAGTGGCCCTTCACTTGCATGTTCCACACACCAGATTTCAGTAAATGTATTTATTTATTTATTTATTTGCAAAAGGAAGAGCTTAGAGTTTACCGATAGTACGCCTTTAGCCTTGCCTGCAGCATCGGGGGTTTCCTTAGCTGCATGAGCAGGGCCCTCCAGTTCTTGGGCGTGTTTTAGCCTTAAGGCTGTGGCTGCCATCGATGTTTCTCTTCATGTTACCTCATTTTAAGTAATCAAAAAAATAATCAATCTATGCAGGTGTCAACGTAGAGTGAATGAATTTTTATTTCCCCATCCTTACTGAAATTTATCAAAGTGTAATTAACCATCCAATCAAAGCGGCCAAGAGAGTGGTCAGAAAATATTCATCAGTCAGATTATTTTGAGGTTCTGAGACTATGCACCTATGCACCTCTGTGTTGCAGGAATTTTTACTAATGGTGCTTCTGCTGGTGCTCAAACTAAATGGTGTCAGAAGACCTGGTCAAGAGCATCTTTTAGTCCTTTTACAATAGAGGGACTTGATCCCACTATGGGCTTCATAAACAGCTGTAAAAGACTGCTTTGTACATACGATTTGACCTTGGGGGCTTTGTTAGCCACAATCACTTTACGACCCACACAGAGGTGATTTACCCGAATGAATATTGCTACTATAAATACCATAATAGACTATGAAGTGGAGGCGATGTTCAGTAGATGTTTTCCCTGCAGGTCTATTTGTACCACTGACACCCCAGTCTCCGACCTACAGTATGCTCCTGCTCCCCTCTCCCTTGTAATTCTCCTCTTCCAGCAGTAGCCTGTGTGACCTCCCCAAACATAGTGACTTGTTTTCTCCTTCTCAACAAGATGGCCTGTGCCTCGTAAAAACTGTACACATATATGATAGATATGCATATATTATACATATAGAGAGAAATCTATAGAGTGTGTCTATACGTGGTCAGAAAATCGTTTCAAACTGACAAGATAATATATGTTTTTTCTTCATGGTTATTTTTCTAACTGGCTGGAGGTCAGAGAGATGTCTTATTTAGAGTGTTGAGTGGTGTGATTTTCCTCTGATTTGTACATTGCGAGAAAACCCCTCAGCAGCAAGTAACATTCCCTGTCTGAAAACACAGGACAGCCCAGAAAAAAAGAGCTTTAGTTTATGGGAAATAGAGACGTGTATCCAAATCTATCTAGAAGTCTAGAAAAGATGACATTATTACATTCCTTACTTAATGTGAAAACATTCAGTTGAAGACCACTTGGCTTGTGGTGACAACTTGGAACAAAAAAACAAAGACTTGTCTTGAATTTTGCAGCTCACATAAGTAGCAACGAGATTATGTCTGCTGCACTAAGCAGTCAGTAACTTGCACTTGTGAGTGAGGACTATCACTATTAACATCCAAGTGGAGGGTTGAGTGACTCTGTCGGGATGCATTTCTTTCACGTGTTTGTTGTCGTCGTTGTCTTGTGAACAGAAGTGGTGACATATGTGACCGTGACAGCTGATTAAGTAGAAAAACCAACACACATCGTTACAGTATAGTGGAAAGTTGAATTAGACTGTTACTATCCCCACTTCCTCTCCCTCCCCTCATGGTGCCTGTGTGTCTCCCTTATATGGCCAAGTGTTGATTGTTGTATATAAATGTCTTTCCATCCCCCCATCCTCCACAAACCGAGGTGATTCACGCATCATCTTTTACGTGTCTGCTTCACACATGAACCTTTACAGCTCCTGCCGCTGACCAAGAATCAACAGATTGAGCGAAACGTTGGTGTTTGTGTTTACAAATGTTACAAGAAAGGTCCTGATTTGGATTTTTTTTTTTTTTTTTAAAGGGAAGACAATGCAAACAGACAGAGGAGCTAAAAATCCTCTCACTTCACCATCAGGGGGGCGGAGTATGAATCCTCCATTTTCAGGTCCTTATCTACTGAATACTTGAAGTAGGGGGGTTCTCCTACCATGAAATACCATATATGATTTACATGGTAGAAAACATGAAACATTTCAATTGTGCCCATGCATGCTGATTTTTACATAATGTGCCAACTGAAAGTGATAATGTAAGGATAATCTCCTGTTGTCTATGCAGAGCGATTTCTCAACCGTTGTGTCAAAAAGGTTTAGAAGACACAGAGGCTTAGAGGCTGGGGCTGGTTTCCTGGGCTTAGATTTCAGACTAATCCTGGTTGTGAATGGCTGACATCGCACACACCGTGAGGTGGAGTCAAAAAGTCAAGTCTGCATCTGTGCCTAGAAGCAGCCGTATAGAAAGACTTGAGTTGAAAGGCCTGTAGATTCACCAGTAATTTTCAAAGGCCTTCAAGAAAAAGTATGAAAAGCCTAACATACATTTTCACTTTATTGTTGTATACAGGTTGTTTTTCTTTTATTGTATTTTGCTGAAAACTTTGGATTAAACAAATCACTGTGACCAATGCCAGAAACATTTTTGTTTGACAGAACAAATATTGTGTTTACTTTTTTATTATTCATTTTTTAATTTAAGTTAGCTTTATTTTTTCTATTGTTTCATCTTATTGAATATGCCAGTTTGAGACTGTACTATTTGTATAAGTAAATGTTTTGAGCTGTACAGTAAAAACCTAGGAACAAGTTCAATGTGAGTGTCCAGCATGCTGAATGATTACTTGTGTGAACGTGAGCTAATCTCCCATGAAGCATCATTCCTCACTCATTAATTGCATCTGCATCATGCATTGTGACGGTGTGATGTTGTGTTTGAGAGTGACGTGTGTCTCACTTACTGTGTCCCATTAGTAGACAGCCTGTGCAGTTTTGTGAGAGTGCAGCATGTTTTTGGGGTTGCTTGTGTAAACGTAATTCACAAAAGAGAGACGTGCCTGTGTGTGTGTGTGCGTGTGCGTGTGTGCATAGCTGCTTTTATGGGTATGGGTGTGTTTGCGTGTCTGTATGTGTGTGTTATGAATGCACAAGAGAAAAATCTATTTAAAAAAACACTTCATCAGAGGAAGACCCAAGAGGAAAAAAAAAGCGAGATTGAGGCAAAGTTTTGAATGAAGCATGGATACTCTGTACTGTTTTTTGTTTTTTAAACCTAGGAGGCTGTCCTCAGTGCCCCAGTTTGCTATTGTATGTGCTGTATCAGAATATTACTATTGAGTGTTGGCCAGCTTGTTTATATCCATCAAATAAAGGTGACTTTCTTTCTGTCTCTGTTTGTAATTTTCTACTCAAAGTTAAAATCAGTTAATAGTTCATTCCAGTATTTTCTAGTACTAATATGATGTAGATGCATGGTATGATACTGTTGTATACTGCAAATAAGTAATAATTTACTATATAATCTATATATATAATCTTTTTCTGTACTCAGTACAGCAAAAGATTATATATATAGATTATATACTGTTGGTAGGAATAACAAACTAGCAATAGTGTGGCTAACTGGGTAATTTATCTAATGACTCTATATCACCTAAGTTCCACTTTGTGTGTGTACAATTCATTCATTCATATACATATTATATATTCATATATACATTCAAGAAATCATTAATGGTCCCGTTTTTTTAACATTCAGTAATGTTATAGTATTTAACAGATATCAACAGCATCACCCTTCAAAATTATGAAAAATGTTAACATTGGAAATATTTAATTGTTTTAATACATATAGATGTGCACATGGAGAAAAGGGGCATTCAAAATGTTACATGTTGCAGCTTTATATTTAGAGAGTGCAAATAGGCTATAAGAGGCAAATCCAATACATTGTTTATGTACACATAGATGTTTAAATTCAATGAGGCTGTAAATTCTTCTTTCCTACATCTACAATTGGTTACACTATATGTTTGTGGCTCCAAACACCAGAGCAAGGTAGCTGCTTAAAAATAATAAAAAAGCACAAGATGTTCAAGACTCACTTTCAGCTCAGTACAGGAAAATGTTCCAGCTGGAATACGTTGGAAGTCTTTTTCTTTCATCTTTCAGGCATTTGTCAAGACATCAGTATCACAAACCCCTTTCAACTGCATCTCAAAGTCTTCATCAATGACTAGAGTTTGCTCTGTCACGACAACAAAGCAAACTCCACCCACTGATGGATATAGTGAAATATGTTGGAAAGCTCCTAAGGGCCTTTGGAGGAAGAGGACCTTGAATTAAGCTTAGACTATTATTTACAAGGTGAGGAATAAACTTGCACACTCAACATGGACTATAGGCTTTTGCCCACCTCTGATATTACAGTGTGATGTTTAAAAACTAGTGAAAGAATTCTGAAAATAAAAGAAATATTGTCCTTTGTCAACCATAATAAAAACCTAAGAAACATGCTTTTAAAACTGTCAATTTGTCACTTCTTCTGAGTTTTAAGAAGACTTCAAATATGAAAGAAGGGGCTTTCTTTTTTATTGTAGGTCGATTTACTCTCTGTACACTGACACAACTGTTTTATGAAGTCTGTCTTAAAACATACTAATAAAACTTTGTTTTATTATAAAACATTATTTTCATGGTGCTTCAGTGGTTGTTAAAAGGTTGCCATGATCATTTATTTTGTAGATATAAAAAGTGTGGCAATAATATTATAACAACAAATTTCAGAGCATAAAACAATTTTCATATCAATGACTTACAATGTCCATAATACATGTGACCTGCTTTGTCTGAACAGTAATTCTTTAAGGCCTTGGTGAGCAGTGGCACATGCATTTGTGCATCTGCCACATGACAAGTGGTTTTGAGCTTTAACGTCCCTTCAGGAAGCTGTCTAACAAACGGTCTCCCTTGTCAGAAAGCCAGTACCCTGCCATGGCTGCCACTGCTCCCATGAATACAGATGTGTACACCAAATCTCCTTTGGCAGCCAGTGTGGCCAGAGCACAAAGCACCACCCCAAAGAACATCTGCTGCAGCACCTCCACCTCGTCATCCTGGATATCCTCAAACAGACCTTTCTCCTGAACACCTGCACAGGGAGACAGACATGTGAGAGGCTGTATTGAGGTTAGGTGTCCACTTGAATGTGGGTGCAAACATCCTTCTGTGTGAGTGATGAGACTCACTAGGCTGCTTCTTCTTCACACAAACGCTGTCCGTGCGGATGAAGCCTTCTGCACAGTCACAGCGGAAGGAGCCGTCCGTGTTGACACAAATCTCATCCAGACCGTGACAGGCAAGCACCCTGTCACTACATTCATCGACGTCTGAGCAAAAGAAAGAGAGGCACATGATATAATCTCATCTCAGTCTTATACATTAGAGCTGCTCCTCAGAGGCACAGAATGAATGCATGCCAATGAAATAACAATAATTCTCTTTTGTGCAGTTACCCAAACACTTGGAGCCTGTCAGTGTGTACCCAGAGGCACATTTCCTGCAGCGAGCCGGTCCGCTACCCATACAGCCCACACAGGCTGGGTCACAGTCTGAGAAAAGAGTGACCATTTAATTTCTTCCTTTACAGAGTTGACTGTGGTTTCAGTTGCTGTAAGTTCTGTATATAAAATTCCATAAGACACAGTCAGATTAGATCAGACGGGCTCAGTACAAAACTGTAGCTACTGGGCAGGTCCAACAGTGATTCTGGAAAAAAACATATACCTGTTTCACTGTATAGAGCTCTCAGAACTCTTAACCACTATTAACCACACCACACATTGCCACCAGAGTGCCCCAAAGCGCCATTTTCCTGAATCAGTACTGATTGCTTTCTTAAATGCTTACAGGTTCTTACTGTTACTTATATGCAGTAACCAGACTACGGGGAGAGAGAGTAATCAGGAGGCTATGTACTGATTCATATTGACAAAATGACACTGGAATTTGAGGGAAATTATAATGTAAGTTGAAGATGGTATAAATACGTTTTGACACCTCATTAACTGTTAACTGCAATTTATGTACTAATCATTTGCTGCTTTAAGCTTCCCAAATGTAAGAGATGTATTGCTTCTCTATCTTTAATACCAGTGTAAAATAAAAAATAAAATAAAAAATATCTTTAGATTTGAAGTCATGCCTCCATTTTCTACTATTTTCTGACGCTTTTAGATTTATTTACTCATTTTTATCACTCACTTTTATTCAGTTTCTATTTCTATAGAAGCAGCCTAAATATTGTCTCTTTTACTTCTTTTAGTATAAAACCACTCACCTCTGCACTCAAAGGAACCCCTTGTATTGAAGCAGTAGCTGTTTACAGGGCAGATACCCAGCTCGGTGCCACACTCATCAATGTCTAAAACAAACATCCAAATATAAATGTAGTCATTCATCTGTTTGTCTCACACATGTATATAATGATTACAGGACTCACACACAAAGCTCTGTATACAGTACCTACACAGGTGTTGTTATGGAGAGTCCATCCTGCTTTGCATTCCTCACACTGGTCATTTTTGGGCCCTGAACATTTATCGCAGACATCTGGACAGCTGTTCACCCGAACAGCCAACAAACACAACCAAGCAGCCTGCAACAGGTTCCTGTGAAGCATCCTCACTCCCATCTGTCCCATCAGGCCCACAAGATAAAGTTGTTTATCTCCTCTAAAATATCCCATCCAGGTTTGTTAAATGTTCCTTGCAAGATGGGATTAATAAGAACTAGGAAGAGATTGCTTCCAAAATAAGATATATGAAGGCTAAAATTTCACCTTTGAGTAAATCTTAAAATATAGCTTAGATTATATCCCATCATGTATAAACAGTCGCTGATTATTTTGGTAATCAGAGGAGAGTTTGGGAGGGGTCTGACTGTTTGCGGCACTAGGGAAAGTATTAAGTACTACTCACTACTGTACTTAAATCACACTTTCAGACACACTGGGTTAGTATTTTCATTTCGCAACTTTATACTTCTGCTTTACTGTGTGGCACATTGTTTCATTAGTAACAGTTTGATACAAATTAAACTTCTAACAGAGGCAGGAGATATGTGCGTAAACGTAGAGCGTAAAACACACCAAACATTTAAATTGACCTTAAAACAAAATATACACATGATTTAAGAGTTTCCCTTACCTCCTCTACTGTCTTTGGTAAAGTTTAAGTGCAGCGAGTACGACCGAGACGCGCTTGACTCCTTTGTGTTTGATTATAAATAGAAATATATCCCGAGCGGGCGGAGCAGGGAGCACCCTCATAGCACCGCCGCACCGGAATGTACTCATAGCTGTATAAAGCACTCCTATAGGTCCTTAAACTGACGCTAGATTGCACCAATAGGATCCACCGCCCTTCACTGAGAGCTGGCCAATCACAATCCGAGATCCGCCATGTACAAAAATAAGCGCATTTATTTATAGACAAGTGCATGGACATGCACATGGATATAATTAGTCTATCGCATTGTGAGTTAAACGTGTTGGATAAGTCTGGTCTGGGCACATTCAGAATCTTTCTCATGGTCAACAAATCATCCCACGGACAGACCAAAGAAAACAATGTATTAATAAACAAGATTTGCCTGTGTAGCCAAAGCTTGATATATCTTATTCTTCTGTGCCATAGACCACGGTTATTGTTGTTGTCAACATTAAAAACACAGTGACACTGTTGTACTTGTCCTTCATACCAATGAACATAGGCCTGTTCTGCTGCCTAAGATGTTTACTGGCACATCAAAAACCCTGTAGGTTTTAGGAAATGATTCATCTTAACATTCAGTAAACATCTAACGTATAACATCTCCAGTAAAAATAAACAGGTTTGCAGAGGCAGACAGGGAAGTGAAGGTGGAAAGTATTGAGAGACAGACTAACATAATGTTGGTTTTGGTGATTTTGTGGCATTTCTTGACAAAAACCACAATATAGATTATTGTTATCCAGCACTAAATGGTGTCCTTTATTTAACTCATCCACAATTTTTATGTCCTTCATATGCACAGAGCAACAATACTGATCAGTAAAAAAAAAGATTTATGGACGTTTCAAAGGCTTTGTCTCAAAGTTTTTCTGAACTCCAACATATTTACAGTGCGGTTCCTCTTTAGTCTTTGCTCTCCATCCATCTGAGGCACTCCATTTCCACCCTGTCCATGTCCTTCCACCGGACCCCCTCCTTGTCCCTCCCACAGTGAGCTCAGTCAAGAGAGCCTGGGTCTCAGAGGGAAGCTGGAACAACATCAGCCCCTGAAGAAGCTCTGGTAGCTCTCTCCTGTCAATGCGTGGATGGGAGTCAAATTTCACCAGTAGAAAATGTTCTCCAGCTCTGCCCAGCTGCTTGTCTGCTTGTATGATGCACAGGGAGGCCGTGAACACGTCAGAGTAAGGGGACGCAATCTGAAAGAGACCCTTGTCTTCCCCCTTGGTCTTTATACCCTCTTTGTGCTGTTGAGACCATTCCTCAACTTTTTCCAAGGCTTTGCGGGTCAAGACGAGCACAACTCGTCCTCCCTGGCTGTTCAGCTCTGGCAGCTGGGAGTGCAGCCATGGCAGAGGCCCCAGAGTGCATTGCTCCTTCCTGCACCACTGGTCCACTGACACACTGAAGCCCTGGTTACAGAGCAGGGAGCCGAGCCGACATACTGCCTCTGAAACACCATCGTCCACATCTGGGGGGCTCAGCAACACCACATGAAGTTGCTCTCTTCCAACTTAAGAGAGGAAAAACAAATGGATGAACGTCAGACAGTCGTTTGTTCCATCATGACTTCATACATTTTTCATTACAAGTAGAAAACACTTACTCTCTACAAATCTGCCATGATGCCAGCTCCACACCCATTCTATTAAAGTCAGAAAATGAAGAGTAAATACCAGAGACAATAGGATATTCATCCGTTTAGTTCCACAAATAATTGACTCCTTTAACTGTATGTCTGTAAAATATATTCATGCAGAGTGCCAACTTTATGAATAATTCTCAGATCTAGTAAACAAGATTTAGTCTTTGAAGCAAATGAAAGGGGCCTTTGTGGGAAGTGCCTGAGGAAATTCAAACTTCATTCAAGCTGGACAACAATTGTATCATGGGCTGGTTACAGTACAGTATTCCACAATCCAGAAAGAAATTTGAAACTCTTCTTCTTGTAAGATAGGTTTCTCCTGGTATGCTTACATCTTTAACATACTTTTACAAAAAAAAGAAGATAAATAGCACTTACTCTTAACAAAGTCATGAAAGAGATAAAATATAAGCACAGTCAAGCAAATCAGCAGCATAACACCAACAACCAGCAGGCTCCAGCGCCACCTGTCAGCTGCAAGTAGAACAAAACAAAACCCCATTCATAAAAGAGACAGGTTTGTATTTTAGCAAAATATATCATGCCTCAATCTGCGCTAATAACTCACTGTTTTTAAAACAGAATGGACCCAGGTCATGTGCCATCCCTTTTACTTTAACCTGCACAAATGGATAAACACAGATGAGTATTCAACTTCATAAAGTATACTGTATATATGTGTTGTAGAGGAGGACAGTTGCAAACACTTTACCATCACGCATGGTGAGAGCTGAAGGTCGATTTCTTCAAACACCCCATGTTTCTCCTGAAGAGGACACAATTATAGATCTTGGGTTAGTCATTACAAACTGTGGGGCATTTTTCAAACCCACAGCACATTTTGAAAGTGTCAGTTTGAAATTTAGGGAAATATTTTGTGCATTGTGCATTTTGCATTTTGCACAATGTATCAAAAGTATTTCCATTTAACTTTATGGTGCAACCATAAAAATCATTATATAGCTTTTAGGATTCAAACAAGCTGATACAGAATATATACAGAATATATAATGATACTGTAAGGAAAAGAAAAAGAAGATTTTTCCAAAATAGAATAGAAATAAAAGGGTAAATTTAATGTTAAGGAGTTTTAAAACAAAAAAACAAAAATGCTTCAAATGAGCAGTAGGCTCAGTATTGAAGTTTTCTTACCCACTTTCCCTTTTTGTTTTGTATCCATGTCTCATTTGTCAGCTGTTGTTTAAAGCCCTTTATCTCCCTGCAGCTGCTCTCTTTGTGACAAGGCCACACTTCACCCTCCAGCCTGCAGGGGGCAGACAGGTTCCACCACAGCATTGAGAGGTAGTCGTTTGTTTGACCTTGGCCTACAGACACTGACACATTCTGCCACAGGTTCCTTTGGATGTCTGGAATAGACGAATAGGAAATATCAGCATACAGTGGTAATGTGCACCTTGTAAACTGAGACCAGAAAGAACTGATAGAGACCTTCAGACTTTGTTGTGTTAATGAAGGGACAGCTTTGAGAGCGCCTCAACCTCTCATCTTTCTCATCCCATACCTAAAAAAAAACACACACACACACACACACACACACAGGTCACTCATAAAGGTCTGTGTGGACCATATAAACACAGCACTGTTGATAATAAGCGATCATGATGTTTGAAGTGATCGTACCTCAAAACACATGCAGCGGGTCACAGAATACAGTGGGATGGTCGTCCTGTCCAACTTCTATAAAGTAACATTTAACACATCAATGAGAGCAAGAAAGCAGTGGTGGAAAGTAACTAAGTACATTTACTTAAGTACTAAAGGGGAGTTTTTAACTGGTTATGAAACAATATCATGATATATTACAATAAAGTGCTCAAGATCATGATCCATTTCAGAATTATTTGTCTTGACTGTATCATGATTCTGCATAATGGATCATTTTACTTTTGGTACTGGGTTTTTGGCTGTGGATTGAAAAAACAGAGTATGTGAACTTGCACTTTTGGAAGTTGTGATGTTTCTACAATAGTTTTTTTTCACATTTTATCAACACAATTATTTATTGAATAATATTGAGACATTAATCAAAAATAGCTGTAATCATTAATTAGAGACCTACAACTTACTCTGCAAATATAAGATCAACTTATAAGATGCACAACTATATCACTACTACTCACTATACTAAAATATATAAACCTCCATTAACTACAACATAAAATACAGCTTAATTATATATTAATGCACAAGTAATAATAATGCAATATGTATAATATAACATATGAACATGTAAAGGGGGCAACAAACAAGCCAAAACAACAACAACAAAAGCAAAAAACAGCGACTGCCACCAAAATAAGGCACTGACATACAACACTGACCTGACATCTTCCATTGTTCTCATACTGGACACACACAGAGGGGAAGCTCTTATTGCTGTCAACAGACTGCAGCTCGACCCGATTCATCTTTTGGTTAATTACACTGCGCAGTTTAGGAACTGAAAACCCAGAGAGAAAACCTGATTTATTTCCCCATACAGATGCAAAACGGTATGAGGAAAACCAATGAATCTATCGCGTGGGGATTATTTACCATGGCACTCTTCGACACGCTCCTGCAGCTCCTGGGAGCACACTGAAGACAGATAATACATCATGTGTCAAGAACTGTTCTGTGTAGAAGCGCTTATGAGTTCAACAGGTGCTTTTTGGATAAAACTTTACCTTCATTTAGAGAAGGAACAACAACATCTTGGGTTCTATATGATGGTTTAGAATAAACCCTCACATGACTGCTGAAGGTAATCCCAGCTGGTTTAGTAATCACCATGGAAATCTACAAAATAGATTGGTTTATAAGATTATAATATGACTGGAAACAACCATAAACTATATCCAAGCTAGCAGTACAGCCTTTGTATTGCAGTACATGGAGTCTACAGTACCTTTGCCTGTATATCCCGATAAGGAGCGGTGTGATTAACCGTAAACTCCACCTTCTTGCATGTGGGCATGGTAGGTGCTGCTTTGTAACACACTGTCACAGACGCTGTTGCAACACAGAAAGCACAACAAGGGTGGGGCTTAGAATTCATTGCAACAGAAATGGAAAATGTAGCTGTAAGAATAGCACTTAAAACTGACTTCCCACGCTTTAATGACCATGCCAGTGTTTTTAAATGTTTTAACCCATTAACTATGAACTGATTTTACTGTGTGTAACGTATTGTTTTGTATTATCAATATTTTTACCATAGCATACCATATGTTCTTACTGCCACTAGTTTTCATTTACTCCACTAGATTCAAATCAGTAAAAGTTTTAGCAAGTTTGTTATTTGTCCAAATTGAATTATCAGTAAAACTACATATTTTATTTCCACTGTGGTCTTGTTGTTGTGCTTTCAAGGAAAAATGACATGGGATATGTGCAGCAACCATTTATACAAATACAACAAACTACTGTTTCACATTATCCTTTTCACAACTGTTTGCTTCATTGATTCTTCAGTAACAATTTCCCAACAATTTCCCAACAACATCCCACAACACACTCCTCAGAAGCTGACTGTCGAATCTTGGATGTTGTTCAAAATAGTTTTCCACTTAGTTTCTTCACCAATTGCGCCATGTGACAATGTAACTTGGACGGAAAATGTAAGAAAAGTAATTAGTTGGTGGGCTGCTTATACAAGCAAGGTCAAGTTGATTTTCATTTCATCACTGAAATTAAATGAAACCAATAGCTGCCTCCTGGATGGTAGAAAATATTTTAGAAATGATGGTATACTTTTGGATCGTCTGTAGTTACGTAAAGACTAATAAACAGATTGGTTAATAGATTTAAACATACAAAACAACCAGTATGGCCCTCTAAAAGGAATTAATAACATAAGTGGGCTGCATGTTGCCCTAATTGATACCTTTTGGATTCCTCGTTTCCTCACTATAATCCTCATCATCATCGCCAGAGTGGTCTTCATTCTCCATCGTTTTATTCAGATTGATGTTGATTCCTGTGTCTATCACCAGACATAGTATACACTGCGCTCTGTCCTTGCAGCAGAGCTTGAAATGTGCTGTCAGGTTTTGGACATCCACAGCATCATTCTCTGCTTCACTAAGGGGACTCACATTCTTCCTGATGCAATCAAAGAGACCCTAAAAGAAGCCAAAAAACGAGTAAGACATATTTTTAATGTGTGGCATCTGTATGCTAAATATTTGCTGGTCAGGGGTCTACATTGTGATTAATGTAGACATACAATAGCCCTATATTGTGGCAAGCTGACAGACGGCTATAACCCTTTGTCTGCTTTTAATTAAATGTTTGAGAATTAAACAGTTAATCAGTGAAAAGGGAAATTAAAATGTCAGAGCCGGCTGCACCAGTACCAATCTGTCAACAAAAAACTGTGTGCACTGTACTGCAGCACACAAAATGTTTGCTTTAGTGTATCCAAGAAGTGCACCCTCCAGTACCTGTGAGCAATTGACTTCAGGGTCATCATTTTCAGAAATCTCAGAAACACAGGCTGACACACGAAGAGTCAGTAAAATACAGCAAACAGACCATCCAGGAAGAAACATTTTGCCCGAGGTCGGTCTGATTGAAAGATATGAGTGCTACAGCATTTTTCTCCAAATATCTTTCTTTGGGAACAGCGTGAAAACCTTGTCAGACAAGTTGTGACTTCCTCCCCATCACAACCTTAGGCTGGAGATTAACTTGTTATCCTGGCTCAAACTGTACACTGGCATGGAGGGCTGTGAATTGAGACAAAACTGTTAGAGCATAGCTGTAGTTGAGAGGTTTCAGCTTTGGGTATGGTCTGGGAAAGAAGAGACATAAATTAATGCAGGTATAGGAGTTTTCTGGCAGCTGTTTCTTCATAGGTTTCAACTGACTTAAACCACAGTATTCTTTTTCATATAATCTCAAACAGTTTTCTAGTGTTGCTTGTGGCGTAATAACTGGCAACTGGATAGTCCTTCAAGCATAAAACAAGCAAACAGTATTACAGTATAAGATAAAAGTATACTGTAACTGTGACTTTAGAAATTATATCAAATTACATGAACAGTCCCATAGGAATATAATTTAGGTCACTTACCATGTTTAGTTATCCATTGTAGGTAATCCACTCTGAAGTGTGTTTTCTCTCCACAGACTTTTCAGCTCTATGTTTAGTCATTTACCAAGAAGTATCTGAGTCATGTGAAAATTGAACCTTCGTCACTGTCCTGACTCAGGAGTCGTCCCTCCCACTCTCTCTCTCTCTCCCTCTCTCTCTCTCTCTCACTGATTTAGTCTCACCGCAGTCCCTCGTGTGTCAAAGTGCACATAATCCTGAAACTTCCTGCTTTGAATTCCTCATTGCAGTGTAACCAAAATGACCTAGACGAGTCAAAGTCCACAGTTACTGGTTTTTAAATCAAAACTCCAGCTCCAACACTGGATTAAAGTAGCTTTATACACAGATCTACACTTCAAACACAGTTCACACTTCATAGCTGGTTTGTTCGTTTTTCGATTTTGTTATGTGGACATGGCAAAGAGCCCTCCCTTGGCAGTTTTAGGTGAGCTGTGCCTTGTCAAACGAGTTTATCACCCTTGTTCATAAGAATCCACATTCTTTGACCTGTACTAATGATGCAGTTCATTGAGAGAGGACAATCCCATGCAACACAATGGCTCACAGCAGCTCGACTGGTTTGACCACATAATGCTGAGTTACATACAAAACACCTATCTGTCCAACAGTCTCTGGAAATATGTTCAACCCTGAGTTAAAACAACAACCACTTATTATGCACTTACTATTATGTGTATCAATATGTGTAATGTGTTTGTTACAACAAAAGTGGGCAGTATAGTGTGGTGGCAATTTGTTAAATAAAGCATACAAAGTATGATCTTGTCTTGCTGTAACGTTTTATTCAAGTCATCCATGAATGGGCTCCACGCAACCGTCACACACTCCTGTATGTGAAAGTCCGAAAGAGTTAAAATTTGAAGAAGCAGTATCATTTTATCCCTGTTGGAGCGTCACTCTAACACAGTTACACATTCCTGAGTTCTGGGCGAGTAAACAGACAGATAGTGTGGTGCAATGATCAAGTTCTTGGTTTCTTAGTGAAGTCCCAACATCCCGGTTGTTTACTTGGACATAGAGTGCAGTTGGAAACAGGGTTAAAGGTTACATATATATAATAGCCTCTTTAACAGGTTGTATATGGTTTTGCAATGACCAGGTCAAAGGGTAGTATAGGTTCTTAAAAATTGCTATTACAATAGTTACTGCAGCTCTGACTGTGAGGGAACTGATACTGAACTTGTTCTATTTTATAAGGATTTATACATTAACTCTGCAATATTTCAGACTCCACAATAGTTTACTGATTGCTGTAGTTAATAGATTCCAGATTAAGATACCTTATCTTTGTTTAAACTATCAGTAATGAACAGTAAGCACCACCTATTTGAGAAAGCTCTGTTGCCTACTGTACATACAATGCATCAAATTTACCTCAAATGTTTTTTTAAGTAAAGTTCTGTATGCAGGACATTTTATTTGTTATGTTTGTTATATTGTTGTAATGCCAGTAATATTTTGAATAGTCTATTTTTCCAACAACTGTGTGAGTTATTAAGTTAGAGTTTTCTCTATTTGCTCTCCATTACGGATTCGCTTCACAGGCAAATGGCAATATTTGACCACCCTTGTACATATACGCAAACACTGGTACTTCTGTACAAATATCACATTACGTAAACAGCAAAGAGCTTTCACTTTCGTTTTTTCATTGTGGCTAAACAGACGTACGCAGTGTTGCAGGTTAATTTTGATGCATTCTTTACCTATTTGGTAGTTGGCAGTTTTTACCCACAGGCCATCACTCTGACGAACAGTTAGTTCCAGATACACAGTGTTAGGAAGAATCCTTGCACAGTAACCCCGGGAATATAATTCAGTTCTTCTTAACATAAATACTATCTTTTAATATACATCTACCCATGGTGTGCTTACTGCGTATACTGTATATACTGTCATATCCACATCCTCATGTAAATAAAGAATTCTGCACGTAATATATTTATTTCAGCATCCTTTGCACTATTGTTTACTGCCGACAAATGTTATTGTTTTAGTTTGTACATGGTATTTTATGTCTCTTTTGTCGAGCTTGTTGTCCTGTTTATTATGCTGTGTGTGTACAGTGAGAGCAACATAAAACTGGAGTCAAATTCCTTGTATGTATGCACATACCTGCCCAATGAAAGTGATTCTGATTCTGATTGATAAACAAGCATTATACACTATAATTCTCTTTGAGTAGATACATCACAGACGGTGTGTCGGAATAATCACGTATAATAATATCATTTGATATTAAAGTTTGTTTTTAACCACATTATTTTTTGATAATAAATATATTTCTGAAGGCTTTCTTGCCTTTATTGGATAAGACAGATGAAGAGTTACAGGAGAGGGGGGGAGAGAGAGTGTATGGCACGCAGCAAAGGGCCACAAGTTGGATGTGAACCCATTGCTACCAACTCTACCAGGTTAGCCTTAATTACATGATTTTTTATTTTACATGAATAATAAAAAGTGTAGATTTGATGCATATTATTAACAGCATTAAGCATTTTGCCCATTTTGAAAGGTAAGTTGATGTCATGCAGTGCAGTGTGCTGTAGAAGAACACCACTATAAAGTCTTGATTTACCGTTTCTCATTTTTTCTGACAAATCCTTTAGGTAAACATTAAGTTCATACAAGACAACAAAAAATCTGGGATGCTGTTTATTTGTTTATGTTAGTAAGAGGTGGAAATTATTTTCCAAGATGAATTAGTTTTTGCCTTATTTGTCTTTTAAATGAAATGCAAGTGGTTCGACATGTTTCCCTGTTAAATCTGAGACACGATAAAATCGTTCAGGGGTCTGTGCAGGGCAGACTCAGCAGACAGGAGCCAGCAGTCCAGAGTCGGGGAAGAGACAATACTGTGGTCAACAGCAGTGGATCTACAATAGAAAGACATAAAGGTCAGTTATCTTTGTGTATCAGAGTCAAAATAATTCTCAAACTGCTCTGGTTTTCATAACACCTGATAATACCGAACAAAATGCACCTGGTTACAGAAATGTCCTGGTTGTTGATCTTAAGTTTTGTTATGGGAGTTTGTTGCACCTCCTCATAAACTGCTGGCTTTAGAGCTGGACGCAACAGAGGACAAACAACAAATCAATGAAACTGAAAACATGCAACTTAAAAGAGGCACAGTACAAAATATTTGTCTTATAAGAATGAATTACTTCTCCATTAACCAACACAGCTGGGTGCAAACATTGATTCAATATGTTGTTGACCTGATATTAAATCATACAAGCAAATCCAGCGTTTTAACCCACCTAAAATTCCTGTCACGCTGGTGTCCGATGGCCGCTGTCTTAAAACCGGCCAGAGGAATTCTTCGCCATCTTTCTCTTGGACTAAGATGACCATTCGTGAGTCTTCAGCTGCAACATCTATTTCCTTGTTCCTTCTGATTACTGTCACACTAGAAAAATATGCATACCCACATAGGTAACTTATTACTTCTAATGGGCTCTCAGATCTGAAAGGCTCTTTTTGTACAGACATGTAATTATAGGGGAAAAATTTAACAGAAGAGGAAGACTGATACCTCTCTCATACATTTTGTTTTGCTTCAGCCAACAGCAGATACCTTAGCTTAGCACACAAACTAGAAACAAGGGGAAACAGCTAGCCGGGCTCTGTGCAAGGGTAACAAAGCACCCCTTGCAGTACCTCTAAAGTTCATTAATATGTTGTGTCTGTATTTGTTTAAACAGTACAAAAGAAATCTACATTGTAGGTATAAAAACAAAAAAACAAATCTGGATTTCACAACAGCAGTGTAAGATAAAATGTAAGGCTGATGGCCGTAGGTCTATAAGTCTCATCTAAATCTGAATAACTGTATTGCCCGAAATTTAAAGCTATTCCTTAGAGTTTCTCTAATGTGATGTAAAAAAAACACATGCACATTTTCATCCTTCCCATCCCCACAGTCTGTGGGGCATTGTGATGGAATTCCTTCCATCACAATGCTTCTTGTCGATCCTGGTGGAGCCTCCTGCCATGGTCCTGCTAGATTGCCATTGCCAATACTGTTGTTGCTGTGCACCTGTCTGTCTGTCTCTCGCTCTCTCTCTCTCTGCCTCTCTCATTCTCTCTCTCTCTCTCTCTCTCTCTCTCTCTCTCTCTCTCTCACCCCAACTGGTCGAGACAGACGACCACCCACCTAGAGCCGGAGGATCTGTCCTAGGTTTCTGCCTTTTAACAGGCAGTTTTTCCTTGCCCTTGTCGCCAAGTGCTTGCTCATGGTGATACTGTTGGGTCTCTGTAATTAATGTTTTAAAGAGTTCGGTCTAGACCTGCTCTATTTGAAAAGTGTCCTGAGATAACTTCTGTTATGAATTGGCGCTATACAAATAAAATTGAATTGAATTGAATTGAATTGAATTGAATGCAAAGTCACCTTCCAATGGTCAAGAGATCCTGTCCAGTGTGAGATGTCACTCTCTGTCCGTCTCGTACAGTGATTCCTGCAGTGTCAACCTCAATATGCTGGTCAGGCTTTACGTGGATGACAATCCTTTTGAAACCTCCATGCGCTACTGAATCAAGCTCACCATTCACAGACATCTCTAGTACAAAAGAAAACCAACGCAACCACACTTATAGAGCACATCTATACAAGTACTTCACTCAAATGTTCTACAAGGAGTTAAACAGTGGTAGTTTAATACTAATCCCCTCATGACCTACATAAACAAACAAACAAACCATAAGCTATAAAACTGGCATTAATATAACATAAATATATGTATCCACCACTGCAAACTATGGGGATAATTAATGGTTTGATGCACACTATAATCACAAATATCCTGACGAGAAAAAAACAACAATTTTCTAATACACATGGAGAACAAGATGCAAAATAATAGAGGTTTATTAACTGACTAGACTGCTGAGGGGAAATAGTGACTGCACAAAGAGGAACATTACTGACCCCTGTTGGGATGGTGAAGAAGTTTAAGGCCGACATCTCCACTGACGTCAAAGCATAGTGGAAGAGATTGATTCACAGTTTTAAGCAAAAACCTGTGGTAAAGAGGAGCTGCAGAGATACACAAAAACACTTAGAGTCACACAGCAGGAGGAAACATCTGAAAAGAAACTGCTTTTTCTCTCGACATGTTGTTTGATAATTCACGTTGTAGTGATCAGTAAAAAACTTATTTTGTATTTTTAACACAGGCATCACTGCAGACAATACATTTAGATAAGATAACAAATAAAGTCAGGTCAGGGAAAAGCACAATAGCATTATAACTCTACCATGGGGGTTATGTTTTCTGTCATGTTTGTTTGTCTCTTAGCTACCACAGTATCTCAGAAACTAGTCAAAATACTCAAATACATATTTGTGCAAAGTTTAGGCCAGGGGACCCTGTGCCCCCTGGCCTAAACTTTGCACAAAATTCAGCTCCATCAGCACTTTTTTGGCAACATTTTCTTATGAAATAGAAATAGAAAGATTTGATATAAACTATACAATGAATCACATGTAGGAGATAATCTACCATCGGTTGCTGCAATGGTTGGCTCATAGGTGGCCACGATTAAATCCTGTGTACCCATACCCCCTGTAAATAGATTTACACAAAGCTTGTTATATATATAGCATTAATTGACATCCATATTCTGACACATTTTAAAACAAACCACTAAATACACCTGTTATTCTAACCCTCAACAGTTAAAGGACCAGTGTGAGGGATTTAGTGGCATCTAGCAGTGAAAGAGAAACTACACTAGCCACGAAACTTGTGAAAATATAGCCAGTGTTTGGATTGTCCGTTCAGGGCTACTGTAGAAACATGACGCTTCAACATGGTGAACTCCACGGTTATGTTTTCTGTCATGTTTGTTTGTCTCTTAGCTACCACAGTATCTCAGAAACTAGTCAAAATACTCAAATACATTTTTGTGCAAAGTTTAGGCCAGGGGGCACAGGGTATTGGTGGAAATTCAGCTCCATCAGCACTTTTTTTGGCAACATTTTCTTATGAAATAGAAATAGAAAGATTTATATAAACTATACAATGAATCACATTTAGGAGATACTTTACCATCGGTTGCTGCAATGGTTGGCTTATAGGTGGGCACGATTGCATACCCTGTACCCATACCCCCTGTAAATAGATTTACACAAAGCTTGTTATATATATAGCATTAATTGACATCCATATTCTGACACATTTTAAAACAAACCACTAAATACACCTGTTATTCTAACCCTCAACAGTTAAAGGACCAGTGTGTAGGATTTAGTGGCATCTAGCAGTGTAGGAGAAACTACGCTAGCCGCGAAACTTGTGAAAATATAGCCAGTGTTTGGTTTGTCCGTTCTGGGCTACTGTAGAAACATGACGGTTCAACATGGTGAACTCCACGGATACGTCAACAACAAATGCAACAATACCTAGGCCTATATTCAGGTGAGTATTAATGAAAACATACCTACAAATATTACGTTTCATTTCTGACAATAGATCCTCTTAAACACACTGGAACTTTAAAGTGAACCACAGGCGTAATCTAACATTTATTTTAATCAAATATGTTAGAGTAGCTAATGATTAGTCAATGATTACTTAATTATGAAACGAGTGAGGAATCAATCAGGAACAACTTGAAAATTGATGAGTCCTTAATAAATACTTCTTTAATAAATCTTTAACGCTAGCTTCCTCATTAATTCACCATTATCTTATGATTACTTACACATCCACATACATACAACATCAAGACACATACTGAATAAATTTGGTAAAGACTGCTACTGACTGTTTTATCAAATGGGGAAAGGTTTGTCCTTTTAAGGGCATTTATCCACAATGTTTATATGGGTGAGTAATGATTAAGTAATGATTGAGTACTCAATAATGATGATGATCATGATGCATCAGTTTACTTTAGGGGCCACAAAAAGAGTAAATAATCATAGGATAATGATGAAGTAATGATGGATTATTTAGTAGCCCAACTATTGCCTGTTCTCCAGAAGTTCATCATTATCTTCTATATATTCCTCCATTAGGAATTACTTATTAACGACTCATCAGTTCCTGGTTTGTCCCTCACCTGTTTTTATTGAAGTAATCACTATAACATCTTATTAGGAGTTACTCATTAACTAATTGTTCAGTAGCAGTTAGTTCCTCATTCGTTCCCTTGTAACTTCTCATAAGTTTGTGTCCCTTACTGTATAGTGTTAAGTTAAGGCCAAAGGGCATAGAAGAATTTAATAGGTTTTAGTAGAAATTATAAAAAATATACGATGAATTAGATATACTATACCATAATCTGGCATCATCAAGTCATAGTCAGCATAATCAACTGTAAAATACATTTACACAAAGTCAGTTTTATACAGTAATATTACTAAGCTTTAGAGGATATTCTGTGACAGGGTCAGAATCATGTGGTTTAATGTATGCCTAATTATCAATTTGCTGTGTTTAGATTATTTATTGGATGTTTCCTGTTTTATTATTAGTGTTCTGCATGTTTTTTTAAGATGACCTATTGAGTGTGTTTTACCTTTGCTGTGTTTGTTAACATTATTTTTTAAGTAGTTATTGTATTAGAGTTGTGTGCTTTTGTCATTGTTTGCCTATTGCAAGGAGTGTTTTTTCCAACTGACTCTGAAAGACACAGACACAGACAACCTGGAGCGCACAGGTAAACATTGAAGACCGCAGGCAAGCCAGAGAAGATAGAGAGAGAGCAAGGACAGAGAGCCAGTCAGCCTTCTGAACTCAGCCGATAACCGACAACGAGTCGCCACAACAACCTGAAGCTCAGCAGCCTGTATACAGCGTGAGTACAGTTCATCTTCATTTTACAATACTAGGGGGACGGCTGCGGGGTCGGGTCAAATCTGGCAATCCTACGTGGGTGTGTGTGAAGGATACTAGCAGCTGTTATGTATCTCCACAGAGAGAGTCTGCATGACAAGAGGAGCCAAAGCAGACTGCCTGAGAACGGGTCGCCCGCTGGCATACATGCTGAACTGGTGATTTTACCCACCGTTGTAAAGAGACAGTAATGGAGGTTACATTTTTTTATTTACTCAAGAGGCATTTTAGGACTTTTACTGTGCATTTTAATTTGTTGTTTATATGGTTATAAACCTTTTTAAAACACACTTTTACTTGTGGTTTTAATTCTGCTCATCTCTGATTTTAAAAGAACCTCTGTGAGTCCAGGGCTCTGTTAAACCCGGCCTTTTTAATTATCTTTTAAAAAAAATTTATATAGATGTCTTAAATTAAATGAAACCTGTGACAATTGCATTTATTGACATCCATATTCTGACCCCTGGCCTCAGCTTTAGAACAAACTACTAAACATATTATTTATTATTATTTATTATTAAAGTGAACCACAGGCCACAAACAGTACAATGATTGTAAATCAAAATTAATGAATGAATTTCTTTTCAGATTTCAACTACAAACCCTAACCTACACTTTCAAACGGAACATCTGTGCATACAAGATGATGATTGTTTTGAAACCTGTATTTAAAAATGTTCCATCAAGGAAAATATTTTTGTGATTTTCATTTTAAAGGTCCAGTGTGGATTTAGAGGCATCTAGTGGTGTAGTTGCAGATCACAACTACCTCGCTTCACCCTTTCCTTCCAAGCGTGAAGAAGAAGCTACGGTGGCCGTGAAATGCATGGAAAACATGCACGTCCCTATCTAGAGCCAAGTTGTGTTTCAGTAGTTGTTCAGCATGCCCTCATTGACTTCCCCACTGCCGCCATAAGTGTCGTTCAATTTGTCTAACTGAAGTAAACTTGGTGAGATTGACCCTCGGAGGGCTGAGAGAGCGAGTAAACAGTGATGGTCACTACAGAGGTGTATATATAACTCACGATGCATTGCAGTTATGCATATGGTGCAATGGTGAGATGGTAGTAATGTACGTAAAACTATTTATTTCACAGGGACAATCTACACTAATCAACATTTCAGTTTACACATCTAAATGATCTAAATGAGCTAATATTCATCTGTATGAAAATCATGGATGAAATTGGTTTTGAGTTTAAATTTTTCATTGAAATGAATCTGCAGATATTTTTGATGATTTGTAAAAAGCAATATAGTACTATAAAGAGAACTGGATACAGTGTTGGAGGCAATGCTCTGTGCATTCCTATGAAAGCTGCTCAGTGGCACAAGAAGTCAAAAAAGCCATTAAGAAATTACCCAAATGAATGCGTACTGCGCACACGCACTAAAGACTTCTGCTGGTTAACAGTCTCTGGTAATGGTAATGGTAAATGGACCTGTACTTGTATAGCGCCTTTCTAGTCTTCCGACCACTCAAATCGCTTTTTAGACTACATGGCACATTTGCCATTTCACACACATTCACTCAGTGATGGCAAAGCCCATCGAACAGAAACTAACTTAATAATACACATTCACACACCAATGCACAGCATCGGGAGCAATTCGGGGTTCAGTATCTTGCTCAAGGATGCTTCGACATGTGGCATGTTGTAGAAAAGAAATTTAGATAAGCTGGCAGAAACAAATAAGATCAGGTCAAGCACAAAAGCATTATAACTCTATGAAGGAGTTTCTGTTTTCTGTTTGTTTTTCTCTTAGCTAAGACATTTGCAAAAAAAACTATTCGTATTTAACAAAATATATTTTGAAGAAAAAGCCCAGAAACGTTTTTTTGATATTTCATGTCAACACTTTTGTAGACCTGCCCCATTTGACTATTTGATGTATCCACCTACAATTAATTGTCTTTCACTATGTGTGTTATAATGCAGATGCTGGAAATTTCTGTTGATTTTTCTATCATTGGAAGGATGAATTTAGGATTGTCCAGTCTTGGTTGAGGTATGTGCTTTTTAGTTAAACAGTTGGTCAGTTGGTACCATAATAACCAAATTAGAAGGATGGATCAGACAAGGTACAGAAAACAAGTTTACCTTTAGGACGCTTTTGATGACGTTGTAAGTGTGGAACGATGCCACCGGAATCTTTATATAGATGTGGAAAATTGTTATATTTAAGAACAAAACACCATATCTATTATCTTGCCTGTACATTTTCTGTAAAAAATAAATCTGACACAACTATAGCTAGTAATAAATAGAAATGCCCAGAAGAATTTGGATCTAAAAACTATATTACACATTCCAGAGACTAGGAGGACTTGGAGGTTTGAGGTTTATGTGATACCTTGAAAGGCAACACGTCCAAAAGTATGAAACTGACCTCTTCCTATTGAAAAGAAAAAGATAACATGAAAAGACACAGTCGTTAATTTACTTTGAAATTCTCATGATTTGTAAATGAACATGCACCCTCCCAAGTGTGTCTAAGGGAGGGACCCAAAGGCCACTCTCTTCTGCTGACCTATAAAGGATCCATAAAGGATCAGCAAGAAGGATTTGAATTACGTTAAATAAATTGATATTTTGACTAGGCATCAACTAGTTGTAATTTTGTAATTATGAATAGAAAACTATTTCAAAATTACAAAAACTTTACGTGGGTAAAGCTATCCATTCAAATATCCATTAAGTTCATTCAGATAAGCAAGGGCCTGTCATGGACCAACCAGCAATTCCCTATCACATATAGTTTTAACAGAGTTTTATTGTAATTATGAAAAATGATATATTATATATAGGTGCCAAACTAAAGAATTATGGGAAGAATGAAATCTTTGAAGTATAATAGTCATGTGTTAAACTTTTGTGACGTCACCCATTGGTGTGTAGAGAAGCATTTTGAAGCCTTGAGTTTGGCATTATGGTTGTGACGTTTTTGTGGACCCAGCAGCCCTGACCTACTGTGAGTTGAGTTGTCATTTCTCTATAAGGCTCAATACTCAATACTATCAGCTTCTTTCTGCAACCCATTGACCACAGCTGTTACAAAGAGGTTGGTAGGAAACTTAGTTTGTTAAGCATCAATTAGTTTTACTAATATCCTGCAAAGATGCAACTTTCTTCAACATCAGGGGCATCCAAACGTTACACCTTTTGTTTCTATACTCCATATCTGCTTGAGCGCCATTGCCTGAGGAGCAACGTCGTGGCTAACCAATGTGCTTGAGTTCAAGTTGGAAGTTATTAATTACAAATATATCAGTACTGTACCGTAGTAGTTTTTTTTTTATGTGCTTTACTTGAGTATTTATTTTTCTGTCAACTTTTTACTTGAACTCCTTACATTTTTACACAAATATCTTTACTTTTTTCCCTTACATTTTAAAAACTTAACTTTGAATGCATTTGAGGGGAATTATTGATTATCGCTATGTATATGGCCATTATGCGCTGCCAAGGGCACCAGCCCAAGATCATTAATCACGATGATCATAATCTTATCTACATGGCACAGTGCCTAGTATTAACACATTTTGCTGTAATTTATGGTCATTTATGGTTCCATCCTCTGCAGGGCTCCACACGCTCATAGACAGAGAGAGAGAAAGAGAGAGAGCAGACAGACAGTCAGTCAGCAGACGGCCGTGGTGCAGTTTACATGAGTACAAAGTTAAAGAAGTGATATTTCCACCTGCTTTGTCCATAGTTGATGTTACAACCATAGCTGGCTTGTATAGAGTGATTACAGTTTACAGTGATTACAAAAGATTAAACTTTTTATTTGTAGTCTAGTATTTATTTTTACAAATCAGAGAGATACTGACTGATGTCTGTGTGTTTGATGTCAGGAATATTATTTATTTTACTGCAATTATTTTAGTATGGTATAGTGACTATATGATTACATTTAATTTATAGTTACCCTTTGCTGTTGTTACAGTTGCTGCTCTAGAAACAATATTTAGTTAATACATTTTTCTTGCTAATGTCTGAGTATTATGTGAAAAACTACAACCTGTGTAGGTTTTTTTTTATAAATATATAGTATAAGTATAGAATAATGTGAAATTGCTGAATTTTTCAGTCAAAACCATCTGAAATTCACAGGGAAGTTTCAGTTAGCTTTAGTAAAGATGTCATTCAGAGACACCAAAAGAGTACTTTTTACTTTTGTTATTTTCTTATGTTTTACTTTCAGAGCCTGTACTTTTTAACTTTTACTTGAGTAAAGAAATTAAATCTGAATGTATGCTGTATGTGTGGTATATGCTGTAGGCTATACTGTATATCTAAATACATATTATTAATTAATTCATAGTGTATCTGTCATGTCAGATCGGTGCAAGTGTATGTATTTGTTATACCTTGCGTGCTAAGCCCTCCTAAAAAAAAAAATTGAAAAATTGCATGTTGTTATTATTAAACACAATATCTGTGTGGACTCCTAGATTTCCTGATATAAACATTCGCTTGTTGGCCTCTGTCTTAATAACCACCTATTAGTGACTGACTACCAATCAGACTGGAGTTATTCTCAACAGTAGTTTTCACTGTATTAATGTCGGATCTGATGGTACCGACTTACCCTCTGCATGGCTGGTTCAGTCTGAACAGCACTGAGCTTCTCATTGGGGTCTTTCCCCACCTTTTTGAATCTGACCAAAGTTGGTTCAAAGTAGTTCCATTTCGTGGACATCGTCATTGGTCAACTTTAATCAATATGAAATTAGCCAACATGTAAACCAGTAGCTTGAGAAGTCAATAGTTTGGCAAGGCTGAGCTAGGAGCCAATAACCTAGACCACAAATCTTGCCCAGCCGATAATACAACTCTTCGTGTTATACATTTTTGAATCCGTTTTTATTATAAATAAAAACATTGAATTAAACATTTCTTTGAATCAGATTTACTCAAGAGAGAGAGAATGTATGCTGCATGTTTGCTATTGACTGTATGCTATACTTTATATTAAAATATATGATATTATTAAATCATAGTGAATCTGTCATGTAAGATTGGTGCAGATGTGTACATGTGTCATACCTCCTGCGACAGGCGGTCCTAAAAAGAAAAGATGACAAAAAATAATAGTTATTTACTTAAATGATCTTGCTAATAACAAATTATTGGTGCAAAATTGCATGTTGTGTCAGTATTATCGTGTCCAGGACCATCATTCATTTCAATCAATGCTCTAATATTGTTGCATGACACTTAGCAGTTTTCACTGTATTGATATCCTGCCGAAAGCTTTGGCTTTTCGTACACATCGTCATTGGTCAACTTTAATCAATACAGGACTAGCCAAAATGTAAACCAGTAGCTTGAGAGGTCAACAGTTTGGTGAGGTCACCATCTTGCCCAGCCGATAACATGACTCAAGAGAGAGAATGCATGCTGTATGTTTGCTATACACTGTAGGCTGTACTTTATATTGAAATACATTATATTATTAAATAATAGTGAATCTGTCTGGTAAGATTGGTGCAGATGTGTACACATGTCATACCTGGTAGGAGACCCGATGCTAAAAAGAAAAAAGATGATGACAAAAAAAAGTTATTTATTTACTTAAAAAATGTTGATGATAACAAATTATTGGTAATTTATGCTATTAATGTTTATATTAATCAACATACCGAACCAGAAAATTTACAGGTTATAAAAGAGTCAGTTCCTGAGACTTTCTTTGCACTGCATTCATACATTGTAATTACACCACCTGATACCAAATCATGCAAATGTGTCTTACCTGTATAGAAACCTTGCCCTGATAAGAGAGAAATGTAGAAAAAGAGATGCTGACAAAAAATAATAGTTATTGACTTAAATGATCTTGATAATAATACATTATTGGCGCAAATTGCAAGTTGTGTCAGTGTTATCGTGTCCAGGACCATCTTTCATTTCAATCAATGCTCTAATATTGTTGCATGACACTTAGCAGTTTTCACTGTATTGATATCCTGCCGAAAGCTTTGGCTTTTCGTACACATCGTCATTGGTCAACTCTAATCAATACAGGTCTGGCCAAAATGTAAACCAGTAGCTTGAGAGGTCAACAGTTTGGTGAGGCCACCATCTTGCCCAGCCGATAACACGACTCAAGAGAGAGAATGTATGCTGTATGTTTGCTATACACTGTAGGCTTTACTTTATAATAAAATACATTATATTATTAAAACATAGTGAATCTGTCATGTAAGATTGGTGCAGATGTGTACATGTGTCATACCTCTCGTGACAGGCGGTCCTAAAAAGAAAAGATGATGACAAAAAATAATAGTTATTTACTTAAATGATCTTGATAATAATAAATTAGTGGTGCAAAATTGCATGTTGTGTCAGTGTTATCGTGTCCAGGACCATCATTAATTTCAATCAATGCTGTAATATTGTTGCATGAGTATTGATATTCTGCGGAAAGCTTTGGCTTTTCGTACACATCGTCATTGGTCAACTTTAATCAATACAGGACTGGCCAAAATGTAAACCAGTAGCTTGAGAGGTCAACAGTTTGGTGAGGCCACCATCTTGCCCAGCCAATAACACGACTCGAGAGAGAGAATGTATGCTGTATGTTTGCTATACACTGTAGGCTTTACTTTATAATAAAATACATTATATTATTAAAACATAGTGAATCTGTCATGTAAGATTGGTGCAGATGTGTACATGTGTCATACCTGGTATGCTACCCGATGCTAAAAAGAAAAAAGATGATGACAAAAAAAAGTTATTTATTTACTTAAAAAATCTTGATGATAACAAATTATTGGTAATTTATGCAATTAATGTTTATATTAATCAACGTACCGAACCAGAAAATGTAAAGGTTATAAAAGAGTCAGTTCCTGCGACTTTCTTCACACTGCATTCATACATTGTAATTACACCACCTGATACCAAATCATGCAAATATTTCTTACCTGGAGAGAAACCTTTCCCTGACAAGAGAGAAATGTAGAAAAAGAGATGCTGAACACTATTGATTTTACATTGTGTTTGTTTCATTCACATTCGTGTTACTCACCACTTAAACTTGTCCAAGGGGTTAGCCTGCCAATGGGTTGACCAAAAGGTAGCCCTGACGTTTGTCTTTCACCTTCTTTTGGTTTATGGAGCACATCTGTGTTCTCCCCTTGGGGCTTGGTGACCACCATGGATGTGAGTGGGGTCACAAAGCTATATTTCAGTGATAGCCTCAAGGCCTCATTCTTCACGTTCTCCTTCTCAGGTCCAGATAACTGCAGCCTTTGTCACAAATCGACATTACAGTGAAGTATCACTGTGAATGCTAATGCTATCTTTTGATAATACTTTTGTTGTGTCCTCTGTAGCTGTTTGGATTTCCAGACAATTTTTAACATTAGCATACATGCAATAAAGTCACTGCAACAAATGTTATTTTAATATTAAAGCAGCAAAAGTAAAAACTGTAGCCTAGCTGGACAAGAGAGAGGAAAGTAGAAAAGTTCAGGATCCAGAGAATAGCTGAAAATTAATTAACATTTGATGTGAAGTGAATGTTGAAAACTGCAGCAGGATTCAGGTTTATTCCTTATAAGAAGATTACGAAGTGATAGTACTAGAACTGGCACATAAACACTTCCACGTAAATAGTTAAGTAGTATTTTGATAATTTTGTGTTTTTTTAAATGTATTTATTTCAATTTTTAAAATATATTTTGGAGATTCCTTTGCATACTACTAGAGGCAGTTTGCATACGCCCACTGGTACATTTGCCATCGTTCAAGAACCAGTGGTCTAAGTCATAGAGAAATTGATTAACATTGTCTGGTTCAAGCTTCACGAATGAGAAGATTTGCTTTGTTTAACTGGATTGATATATTAAAATCTTTTGGATTTTGGACTGTTGGTCAGACAAAACAAGCATTTTAAAGATCACCTTAGGCTCTGGAAAACTGTGATGGGACTGAATAAAAATATGAAGGTTGCAGCTCTTCAATAATTAACTGATTACAAAAAAGAACAAATAGAAAAGATGGTCAACATCATGCTCACTCTTTCTCCAGAAGCTGTTTGACTGTGAGGTAGGCCCAAACCCTCTGGATGTGGCTGTCAGACATTGTTCCAGTGGAGTCCACAGTGGTGTTTGTTTCAGAAAACACCACTCTTTTACTGGTCTGTCACAGTCCAAATAAATTGTTATGTGAGTATACACAGGGACTTTCACAATCCTTTTAGGAGATTACAGCTGATGTGCAGCGATCCTTACCGAAACAGCAATAACTTGTGGAGTAAAGGTTTCAATTTCGTTGTCAGTGATCTGACCAGCCACCACAATCTCAGAGCCATTATAATACAGGCTGAAGTTAGTCTGGGTTAGATTGTTGGCTCCAATATAGATCATTGTCACATCTGTCAACAGAGGAGTGGCCACCTCTTCATAGAAACCCTGTTGACATACAATATGGACAATGTCTCCACAGCAAAACATGATCAATTTTATCCATGGGAATGTAGCAAATCACAAGTATTCATAATGTGACAGAAGTACAAGTGATTTAAAATACCGTCAGCTGTAAATCAGCATCAGAGTCTTCATAAATCCGTCGTGCCACACCATTGTTCTGCAGTGACATCTTCTCAAGGAACTCAAAATTGACATCAAAACCAAAACCGAGACAGTAGAGTGGGAATTTGTCTGCGATAACCCTTCTTACATTTGAATGTATTCTTTCAAGATTTGTCTCCCCTGAAAAGAAGACACGTATTTTAAAAAGGCAAGTTAGACTTAGTAGAAGTTACAATGTGTACACATAAACCAATTTTATTTAACAGAACTATAAAAATTGTCAGCGTTTTTTTCCATCTTCAAAGTCCAACAAGGGAGGGCTTTAGCTCACTGCAGAGTTTTTTGAGTTTGTGTGCATGTGTGTTTTATTGTAACCTGTGGTTGGGTCTCCATCAGTGAGAAGAATGAGGATAGATGCTGAACCTTCTCTGGGATGTGCATTCAGCATACGTGCTCCTTCCAACACTGCTCTGTTAATGTCAGTGGCTGAAATGAAACGGAAGAAAAATAAAATCATTACTACTGTTCTGCTGTCAAATGTTCACATCACTTGATAAAATATTTATTAAAGCCTCACCTCCTCTATCAGTAATGCCCCGTGCAAATGTCTTGGCACTGTTCAGGTTTTCTTTGTTGGCCTGAACAAGTTCTCGTTTCCAGTGAAAAATGTCACTATCAAAAGTGATGAGACCGAAGTGGTCATCTTCTGCCAGGTCATTTAAGATATGGATTAATGCTATGCGGGTCTGAACAAAAACATGATTCACACATTAGAACTTTTATTCAAGTAGTAAAACATAATATTTTTTTATTTGTGTGTTCTTAGTTAAGTTATATGTAAAATAAAACATAGACATAATAGACTAATTTACTGACAAAAATTCAAATGTCTCCTCTACTAACACAAATAGTACCTGTGTTATTTTCCTGCCATGCATTGAACCACTTTGATCAATGATGAAGACAACATTTTTTGGTATGCGGGGAAGATTAGATGGAGCAAAGTGATGAACAAAGTATCCAGCTGATCTCTTGGGGGGGATAAAAAGAAAGTTCGATTTGTTAGAAAAGATTTTTGAAAAGACAGCAGTAGATAAAATATACATTTCGTTTTTTATTTTTATTTTAGCTCAGATTGCTTATGTACAATACTAATCAGCTATTCAAAGAACAGTCTTCCAGAAGATGTACTCTTGCTGTACCTTGATGTCTCCCAGTGAGGTGTCCCTGTTGACATCATAAACAATAACCAGGTCTCCATTCATACCCTGATCTCCACAGCTGTCACATGTTTTCTGTTGGTCCTCTGTTGGGTAGAAATACACCCACGCCTGGTAACAGGATGAATCAGGTTTTATAGACTCTTGTTAGACACTAAAATTAACAAATGGGTTTTGTTGGTTGCCTTTTGTTAAATTTAATTAGATTAAACCTTACTATCACTGCACAGTGTTGAGCACTACAGGTACAACAAAATGCAGTTTGGCATTTAACCATGAAGTGTAATCTGTTGCAAAAGTACATTTATATTTATAAAACCAAGAGATGTGCACAAGATAACCAATAAGGCAGAATGTTGTATGTCCAGTGTCAACAGACATAACTTTGATAAGCAGTGTAAACAGTCCAGTAACCATTGCCATTATGGCGTGTTATATATAGTACAGTAAAAGGACCAGTGTGTAGGATTTAGTGGCATCTAGTGGGGAAGTTCCACATTGCAACTAATCGAATTGAACTAACTCATGCCTGTATCTGATGATGGGCTGTGAAGTGTGTACGAGAAACTATGGTGTCTGCGAAACTCGCAAAAAATGCAAGAGCCCCTGTCTACAGCCAGTGTTTGTTTTGTCAGTTTAAGAAAGAAGAAGAAGATATACTTTTATTGATCCCCTAGGGAAAATTGTTCTTTTCACTCTTTTTTTTTTATACACACACACACACACACACACACACACACACACACACACACACACACACACACACTTGTGGACATGCAAAGAGGAGAGAGATGGTGGAGTGATGGGGCTGGAATGTTAACAGCTCCCCATGATCAGGTTCTGGGGTTAGGTTGCCTTGCTCAAGGGCACCTCAGCAGTGCACAGGAGGTGAAAGGAGAGAGGAAGACCCTCCAGCTACCAGTCCACACTCCATATTTTGTGGTCTGTGGGACATGAACCGGTGACCTTCCGGTTCCCAAGCCAAGTCCCTACACACAGCTACTACCCCCAAGATTTACATTAGTGTATAATCACTGGAATTCCCTCTGCCAATAGATGCTGCTGAATGTTACACACTGGACCTTTAAACACTTAAATGTGGGTCAGCATAAGATAGCAATTGCAGTATTGATTAAAGATAATTCTGCACCACTGCATGATGTACCTGTTTGTCGACATGTGTTTTTGTGATTGCATTAGCCATGGCGTTGGTGCTTAGTCCTCCTTTAACCTCGATGAAATTGATGCCGGCATTCTCATTAATGTACACATCAACCTGGAGAATGAAATCAAAAATTTAGAACCTCTGACCACCGACGATGTATTACCACAGCATCGTCCTCCTGGAATAACTGAATAGATGCCAATAGGAAAGACACACCTTGAAGTCTTTGACAGGCTGCATGGGTTGAGCATGGATCTGGAGCTCGTACTTGCCAAGCCTACGTTTCAGCAGTTCCTCATATGTGAGCTCAAAGGTGACTTTTTTGTGAGCAGCCACAGTCACAGAGGTCTTAAATTCCTCAAGGGTCCTCCCTACAGAACTGCAACAGAGACGATAATCATTATAAATCATAAAGGCAGTGGTTCCCAACCTCCTCTGACTGGTAACCCTATAAATTCAAAGTGTGGATATAAGTTGTGAGTAGTTCAACTAAAGAGTGATTTTTCTTTAATAGATTCACAGAAAAAATAAACACAAGTTTGTGCAACTACTATTTTCTACTCTCTTGTCCCGATTGACACACAGGGCCCTTCTTCAAAATGCAACACTTGTATAAGACTTGGCAAGAAATTGATCCATTGATCGATGTACCTGACAAGCCCAGCGCTTTGGCCACGTGACACAGCCTGAGCGTACTGCTGTTTAGCTTGCTCCTTAGCTTTCACAACACCATCGTACTCCTGGCCATCTATCAACCTGAAGAGGACCATGGAAAAGTCTATTAATATACATACTACTGAGCACCCCATGATTTTTTTTCATGATACTGTATGTATAATTGTTTATGTGCACATTCCTGTTAATATTTGCAGATCATTTTTGCTTCACACACATTTTAAATTTGCTGATGAAGGCGTTCTTGGGAATCCGGACGTGGAATTCTATTTCCTTTGATACATCCATACGATTGGCCACACGGCTTGTGATGACAGTGGTGGCATAACGACTGTTCACTGTGGAGTTGATGTGAAAGCTGTAGATGTCCCAGTCGTCCTGATCAAATACAGGAGGCACATTTCACAATAAAAAATTGTTTAGTTGATCTCACTGGCTGACAATCAGCTGACCAAAGATCATATGGTGGTGTTGGTGGGTGGCATCAGTGAAATCTCATTGGTCTAACTGCAGAAACACCCCGATTCTGGTAATTTTCATCCAGTGAATTCACATGGCAGTCACTATTCCTCAACCTCAACATTTACCAAGTCTAACCTAGAATTTAATGATTAACATCATGGGGACCAACTTGTTGAGTCCCCTTGCCCCCAGCATGATTGTGTCTGCAGTTTTATTGCCTCACAACATGAGCAATACACATTCACAAACACAATTAAGTTTTTGTGACTCAAGAGGTCAATGCATTGTTGACTTACAGTAAGTCCCTGGAGTCCAAGTCTTAACCCTAGAATTTAATGGATCAGCTTAATGTGACTTTGTCCCCACAACAAGAACAACCCAAGTACACTCACAGACACACATACAGAACATATGAGACAAGGCTGAAGGTAGAGAGCCAGCAGGTCCTTCAACCTGCGCTTTTTGATGTTTATCAGAGGCAAAGTTCAGTGTGTTGCAGCTGACAGAAAGATGCTGAGATACAAAAAACACAACAAGCACAATCCTCAGATAGCTGTGGATTGTGGTAAGATATATACATATGTAGTCAAACTAGAATAAAAAGTAAATCTATGTAGGAAAAAAACATTCTACTTAAATACAAACAAATAACAAGACTAACTGAAAAAAACTGAAACAATATTGTTAGCTTATAACCCCCCCTCCAAATGCTGTTAAGTTAATTAATAAAGAATCACATTTAGTGTTGAGTGAATTAGGAAACATGTCCATCTCTAGTACCACCTTGAGACCTTTCTATTCAATGCTTTACTAATGAGCTGCAATAATGTATTTTTTCTTTAGTTAAAATATTTTTCTTTTCATGAATATTTCTCTAGATCTGTGCATAAGGAAGCATTGGTGCATTTGTTTATTGAGACTGGGATGTCTACATGACTGTGAGTCAATCTGTTTGTATTGTAATGCCTATTCTGTACTTCTTAAATCTTGCCCCTGACAAACACCCACATATTATAATAAAAAAAATTAACTAATACTGACATTTAACAACAACAGCTGAACTGAAGGCAAATCATTTCTGTAAATTAAATGAAACAAAACAAAACAAAAAGAAATAAAACTAAGGAAAAATACGAAATCCGAGTAACTCGGCTAGCAATGTGGTGCTGTGTCCTTTAGGTTTTGTGACCTTACCTTGTTTGGTAGGGTGGTACCCAAAGCAAGCAGCAGCCCAAAGAGGGTGATTTGCACCACAGCTCTCTCCATGTTGGCTCCCACCAGAGTGCAACTCAGGCAGCTGAAACTATCTTTTAAACTCAAACAAGGACAGCATTAATGTGTACAAATTTTTTTTCTCTCTCCTCTTTCAACAACCCCTGTACATGTGACAAAAACACACACACACCCACACACAAAAAACAAACTGCCACCGATCCACAAGTACACACTCAATTTCCTACACAAAATAGAAAAAACACAGGATAAAAAAACAACTTTATCAGTAGTTCAACTGATTATGTGAGCTTTACTGTTGACATTGCGGGTCTAGTCAGCCCACGTTGCCAGGACTTTGTCACCACACTGAAAGCTTTTCATGCAAATGCAGACAATATTGGTTTGACAGCTTCTGACAAAATAGAAACACAGAGACAATCTGGCTTGATATGTTCAGAGTGCACTGTGAATGAAACATGTACATGACTAATATTGTATGGTGTCAAGCAAAAATGAATTTATTATTTCTGTCTTCAAGTATGTACAGCTTTTGTGAAAGAGTACCCATCGGACGAGGTCAGGAAATGGCGGGGGAAACAGGTGATACAGCAAGCAAAAGCAATCATACACCTAGCTTTCATTGCAAGCATTAAAGAGATCAAAGACAGGAGTTACTGTGTAAAGCACAAAGAAAAAATCTGCATAGGAGATGATCTCAAGAAAAAAAAATCTATATATCATCATGGAAGAAATTCTGCCTTTAAGACAGATATTCATTTCAAATCAAAATATTGTGCAAACATGGAAGGATTTTAGAAAGGGGCACTTCACCGATTTTACACATAAAATTCAGTTTACTTATCACGAGTTGCACTACTTAGCCTGTGAAAACTGTTGTAGCCTATAATGTTTAATGTCCTATAATTCTGTCGCTCTGGAATTTTGGGAAATGTAGGTTCCAGCTTTTCTGGAGCAGAAAATCAAGATACGTTTGACTGTTCCCTTTATTATCAGCCTCTTGTAAGTCACCCAACTGTATGAAAGTGCAATACTGTAAAAAGCATGTTAGAATTGACAGGCCTATGATTTGGGAAACTGGGGGGCCATGGAAAGATCAAAATAACTGTTCTGTTAAGTTCATTCTTCAGTCAGGGCAAACTGCAGTGAGCAATTTGTCGATAATAGCGCTCTCAGTTTTGAAGAACTGACTCATTATACTCATCCTACTTCTTGACTACATAGATTTTTCCACAGCTTTGTTTTTTCAGAATACATACAATCATTGATGCTTTCCACAAACTATTTCTCAGAGAGAATTGTAGAAGTTATAAAAGAGAAGTATTGAAAGTGAGTGATGTTTTTGAGGCCGTACTATTGAAATAACTGAAACCGTGATAGTGTAATATTTGCTGGAGAGTTGAGTTAGCCATAATACATACAATTAGCTGTATGAGCCAGATGATCTTGTGAGGCCAGCATATAATAAACACAATTTAGAAAACCTAAGCATTGTACAAATAACATGTCAAACAGTGGTGGCTTCTCACATAATTCACATTCTTCAAGTGCCTCTAACATCATCATATCATCATCATTTATCAAACAACAACCAACCACACAGTAATCTCTTAAAAACCACAAAGGCAACAATATGTAAAGCTACAGATTGCATTAGTAGAGGTACGGTATGATTATGATTTTGACTCGTATGTTGAGTCCTTCAGCCCTCCTTGTCGTATGGTTTTCAGTACCAGTTTTACTTAACAATATCCTCCTGTAAATCACCACATCAACCTGTGCACATTCAGAATATCAATGTATTCATGCAGGTGGTGGTGCAGGTGGCAAAGCAATCCCACAATAAAACTTCAGTGAACAAGATTTCTTTTACAATCTGTGATATTTTGTGAATCGCAACATGACCAGATTATAGTGTTTAATTGTGTTTTGTTGTTAAATTAAATATGTTTCAATCCACATCCATTACTCAAATCACATAATTTACCTTTGAAGGTGAAAGCGTATATAGAATATCTAGTGTCTGCTTTGAATCTAAATGCTTTTCTTCATAAAATTGAAACTGCAATTCAAGGCACTCTCACAGGTGTTCTTCACCTGAAGATAAAATTCAAGTTCATTCAAATCTCTTAAGGATATTTCAAGCGCTTGTGCTGGAAGCATTTCACCGATGAAGAATGAAACCTATCCTTGGACTGAGAGAGCAGAATAAAGCAACCGGCCCTAGTGACCAGGATGTCAAGTCTTCACAGTGACGGCATGATGGTGGCTAATAAGGTGTTGCATTAAGACACATATCTGCAGCACCAACCTATGGATTATCTAATGTTAACTGTACAAACACTGGAGCTATGTACAGACTAACAAGAATTCATATATACACACGGCAGCTTATATATCGGGGTGCTATGAGCAACACAAACAAGAACTATTTATATAAAGACAGCATGGATGAACAGTACATTATGTACATTCAGTGGGTGGTAAGGTACATACATAAGCAATGACAAAAATGTTAAGCCTGATTGGGCTAATTATACATATTTTAATGTACTACTACCATTACACTGCACTCGAGGATTATGTACTGCAATATGCACATGAGGTATGTTGATGCAAATGAAACAAATAACATAAAACTCAGAAATGGAGACAAGTATGTACAAATGGTTAAATCCATGCTGGTTAAATATATACAGTGTATGCACATAAGACTGACTCGAGCTATCATGAGATTTCTTTTTGGTAACAGAATTGGAAGACACAATGCTACTCAAATTAGAGAGTCCTGGCTTTGGGGTTGGGCGGCTGATATGATGGAGCGGTGCTAGGGGTGTCCTGGGCTGAGCGCACAGCAGGAAAGGCAAAGACTCCTGAAGTAATGGGGAAGAGAAACCCAGGCCCCTGGTTAACAGAGACAGGTGAGGACATGGCCCTGACTTGAGCAGAAGAGTGTAGCTGATAACTGGGATGGGGCCCTGTGGTGAGGCTGGTCATCATTGTTGACCCAGGGCTGTCAGGCCACGACAGGGGAAGGCTGCAGGCCTCTTGGCCTGGCGTTGTCCACGATGATACCTAAAAGGATTACATAATAGGAAGATATTACAAAACAATGATTAACTTGTAACCTGTAGCACACTAAAAACTGTAAGCTGTACATTCTTCTCCTTTTTATGATTAGTTACTGTGTATGTGTGTGAGGCTACATTCGGGGACACATTTCAGACTAATGACAAGTTAATTGGGGACAACTTGTTGCTCGTTGCTGTTTGCATTTGGATATCTATGTCAATAAACTAATTAACTAACTAACCTTATAAGCATTTAATTGTAAAGCGCACTACTTGTAATGAAACAAGTATTTTTGCCAGTGAGATGGTAAAACACTGTTAGCTACATTCGTGTGCAATATTGCATGTCATATTCGCCAAATTCTTAGAAATTGAAATATTTTGTCAGTGCCTATTCTTGTGTTGTGAAGCTCTGCAAGCCAACTTTTTATTCCAACTTAACTTATCTAAACACTGTGGGTATATGCAAACTTCCACAGTATCTTTATGTACTTCATTATATGAGGATTGTTTGAGATTTTAATAATTTCCTTTCTCATGACCACAGCGCTGATTGAACACAAACTGGTATATAACTAGCATGAAACTCACATCTGAAGCACTCGTCAGTTGTCCATGTGTTCGAGGCACAACCTGATTCCAAAGCTGCTGCCCACTGATGCTCAGAGAGTTAGTGCGCGGCCTGTGGGTGACAATAAGAACCTCTTGGGCCCAGTCGTCCATCAGCCGTTGCAAGTCTTCAGGCAGGTTGTGTTCATTAAAACTCATGGATGTGCCAGTGTATGTGCCTGTCTTGTTGTTGCTGTTATTGGCCTGAGCTTGGGCTAGTCCTATCACTGGCTGATGAGAAGGTGGTGTGGCACCGGTAGGCTGCTGCTGTGATTGATTGAAAGCCCCTGGCCCGGCACCAGACCCTGAGAGGACACACATACACACGTACTGTGACACCGTGTTTATTGAGTTGATTAGATTGATATAAACTAACATGACGTTAATTGAATTTAGTGAGATGCTGTAATTCTACATACTGCTGCCACGCTCTTTGCCAAGACACAGTCGCTTCAGTGTTGACCCTGTAAGACAAAAAAAAACGTATATCACAAAAAATGATTACCATAAGCTTGTAATAATGTTCCATAACAAGATGCAGTGCAAAACAAAGCTGCTGAATACTGCCACAAAAAAGGACCAATCTAAAACCAAACTAATAAACAACTTAACAAAACAATCAGTCTCCTCAAACAAGACAGTTCATTTATCAGCAAAATCATGCAAGCGGCCCATGTCAAAGTGCAGTGTTAGAGTGTTAGGGAGAAGAAGAGGAGAGAGATCAGACATTTTTATAGCAGATTGGGGTGGGGCATGCAGGTCCATTGCCTAGTAATGCAGGGTGGATAAGTCACAAATATGTTGTGTTAGAAAGGTGTTATGTGTTATAAGGTGAAAAAATAGCACAAGCTTCAGTAGGAGACACTTGAAATGTAAGATAATGCCCTTTACTAATCAAATGAACCTTGATTATCCAAACCTCAAACTTCTGAAACAAGGCAAGTGTTCCAGTAAACAGGAATAATGAGTAAAAGTTATAAAAAATTGTAATTGTCTTTTTCTTTTTTTTGAGAAAATTGTGTTCAAAAAACAAACAAACATCGAATCAATCAAAATCTGTACTTCTTCAAAAGAAATGTTACTCTTCAGGGGTTTGAATAAGCAATATATTTCCGTGCAAGCAAAAATATAAGACAAAGGTAAGTCGTCTAAGGACGAGGTGAAGCAAAAGAGTGTTGGAGAATAGACAGAAAGAAAGATATCAGTGAGCTAAAAGTGGACAAATATGGAAAACAAAAAAGTGAAGCTATGCTGGAAGAGAGGAGATACAAACAGATAGACAAAGACACAGGCCCACTGAGAAATCTAGCTCGTGGCTTGCTACTCGATTTATAGGTCACTCTCTCAGATGTTTGAGGGTAATTAGACCAGCCTGTAGAGGAGTATAATCAAAGAGGGAAGAACACACCAGAGTAAGAAGAACACACATTGAAATATCCAGCTTTATTAAACAAAACACCACAAACAAGTGTTTGTTATTCTGGTGAATGTTTACACTTTATTATTAGTGGAAAGACTATTCAGCTAAGATTTTGTGTGGTGTGTTGCTGGTGGTCACCTTGTCCGGGTGGAGCTTGTGTGCCGGTGCCATCTCCATGTAGTCCAGCGTAAATATTATCAGAAGACAAAGAGCCCTTGAGGGAACAGGGCTGCTGAGTCTGCACAGGCTCTGAGGTCGAGCTAGGGAGGTGGCTGGTGCATGACCGTGCCCTACCGTGAGTGGGGAAAGACCCTTTGGCTGGAGAGCCATTTAAACTCACTGTGGGCTCACCTGTACCTGTAGCAGCACCTGAACACACACAAGCATCAGAATGGTAAACTCCTAGCTCTTGCTGTAAATATTCAACTTATAATACAGGAGATTCTGAAAAGGTTACTCACTGGATCGGCTGGAGTCACTACTTTTGGTTGTGACATTTCTGAACTGTTGAACCAGAGGGCTGAGAAGTTTGCCAGGCTTCAGTCTGTGCTTGCTGGACCTCTTTCTTCGGCCGGCATGCGGTGTAACATGTGAGAGACCCAGGCCAGTAGGAGGGGGTTTACCGAGTCGCCGATACAGCAGCTCCACTTCCCCCCGCTGATTGGCCTGCAGCTCAGAGATCTCCCTCAGATGTCTAAGGGGATGGAAGCAGGAACATACTGGTCACTTACAAGCTAAATGACAAAATGTTTTCATGTTATGATACAAAATAAGACAAACAGTGAACCACTGGCTATACTTACTTCTCCCTGAGTCTCTGTAGTTCCCTCTTCATGTCTGAGTCCTCCATCTCTGAGTCATTATCGCTGCTGGCATAGGCTGAGCCGTGCACACCTCCATGCCTACTTGGGGAGTCAGAGCTCTGCACACTGCTGCTACGTCCTGAGCGGCGGAGGAAGGCCACTGCCCTCTTCATGAGGTCACTTCCTCTGCGCTCAGAGCGAGGATGTTGGGATGGGGTGGCGGGAGCCAGTTTTGCAGGGCTGCTCTCAGCCCCGGAGTCTGAGGACAGGAAACGAGCATGGATCGTAACATCAACAGGGACAGAGGGCGAGGTCAGGGCATGAGGCACGGAGCCCCGCTTGGCCATGGAGGGAGGTGTGTCCAGGTAGAAATCAGGCGGGGCAGAGTAGCGACTGCAACGCGTCCTCTGTGTAATGTCATCTTCAGTGCTAACAACGGAGAAACGGCCAATTGTGGTGGAGGCAGTCATGGCCTCAACCTGAACATGTTCTGAACTGTATCCTACAGGGTGTGCCGGTGAGGCAGCGCTGCTCCAGCTCCTTTGCTTCACATCTCGTCTGTTAGCCACCTCAGGAGGAACAGAGATTATCTGCCAAAAGCAAAGAACAAACTGGGTACGCACAGGGAACTGAATAATGCTTCCATCATGGCAAATGCAGCTGAACTAATCGGAAAGACAATTATTCTTTCCCCTTAAATGTGAGGAAAGTCTCCCTTTCGTACCTTAAATCGGCCTTTTGTTCCAGAGCAGGATGCAGAGTGAGGGACGTGTCTTCTTGACAAGGAGGCTGCAAAAAGTTCCACAACAATGAAATCCGTGGCACTGCAGTAATCAACTAACGGTGAAACATAACTTAGAAGTTAATGATGCCAGTCTTATTGATTAGTGTCTGCTGTACATACCACACACGGCTGAGTCACTCAGTGTGCTCAAACTATCCATTCTCTCTGGAATTTGAGGCTAATAGAGGTGACAGGATGAGAGATGAACAAAACACAGACACATGGGAAAACTACAATACAAACCATTAATCATTGTCCTATTATATACATATATATTAAATAACAGTTAATATTGCCTCAATGGTGGAGGGATGTTGACAATGATGTCTAAATATTTCTCATGAAATCTTACTGTAGCTTGTGTAAAAGGAGGTAAGTTTTTTCTTCAAATCCCTTATGTAACTAAAGTGTATGTCTAAAGGGCATATAGTTAATCATGACATGCACTACACATAGCATTGCCATATGTTCTTTGTACTCACCATATGAATGACAAAATGTGTGAAAAAAAATCAATTTACTGGTAAGATATAGTTAAATATAGTATGTCTAGTATGAGTCCTTCCCTACATGTAAATAGTTTATATACCGCATTATAGTTTCAGTGTATGCCAAAATGTGTTCACTCTGCCATCACTCCCAAATGGGTGGACATGTCATTAGTTTAGTTGTTGTCATTAGTCAACACAGAATGCCTACTTTTTCAATAAAAAGATTTGAAATGCACATAATTCACTTAATTAAACTTAATACACAAAAAGCAATCTAACCACAAACTCCATTTAGTTGCTGTTTTGGAGCTCTCGATCATTCCACACAATCTTCCCTAGCAGATTTACAGTAAATAATAAACGGACCTTGTGGTGAAAGGATTCTGCTGTTTCAATGGTCAAGACTGAAACCTAAATTTTATTTTTTAAGCTAACATGGATGATATTCAGTGACAAACTCCACCTGCTGAGAGAGATAGCGTGATACAATTCAAACCCTCCAGAACAGCTACTAATGGACCTTGTGGTAAGATTGTGTTGTCAGGGGCTGTTTCCAAGGTCAAGAATAAACTTTCAATTTCAAATGTAGGTAAATATACTGCACCTGTAATTTATATTAAAAATTCATAAAGTTTGAAAGGTTACTGATGATTGTACTTACAAGTTGTTCTCCTGCCCTGTACCGTCCCTCCCCCATTGGCCCTGGTGTGCTGTTTCCTGACCCTCCTGTGGCACTGTCTGGACCAGGAGGAGACTGGATGTACTCGGTGCAAGAGCCTGGTGTCTCTGCAGCACTGCCTGATGGATACATGGGAGCATATTCTTGGTAGAGCAAGTTCCTTAGTTTCTCATCCAGTGTTTTTATGGTGCTGTCCACAAAGCCCCCACGGCCCAGCCGTCCTTCACCATCTGACTCCCCAGGCCCTGCACCATGCTGGGATGGTGCTGGGCTCTGGGGTAGTGAGGGCACTTTGGTCCCTCCCACACTAGAAAAAGGCTGGTGGAGTACCACAGGCTGCTGTGGGCGCTCGCTCCGTGCTGCAGAGGCATAAGAGATAGACAACGGCTCTTTGGCTGAACCTGGCTCCTGGAGTGGAAGAGGAGTGAGAGGAGATCCACCCTGTAAACCGCTCACATCCAAAGACAGGGGCATGACCAGAGGGCAACAGGGCACCTCGTCAGCCATAGAAATGGGACATGTCATGTCAGGCATCTGCTGAGCTGCGTGGATCGGGGAGATGGAGCCCAAAGGGGATCCCTGTGACTCATCAACTGGGAAAGACGTATGTGGGGATGATGGGGGCAAAGTTTGAGCTCTGGCTGGCTGAGCCTGGTGAACGCTGGGCTGCACCGAGCCACCGACAGGCTCCGCTGATGACACTGACTGAAGGGTCGGGGGAGCAGACACAGGGGGAGACAGAGTAGCCAAGAGGAGAGGGTCTGTGTTGGACATTATCGGAGGGCTACAGAATCCATACACATCGTATGTGAAGCCTCCACTTCCACCAGACATTGTGGAGGATGATCCCTCTTCTGCAGGAGGAAAAAGATGAGTCACAAAGTTTAAAATAAAGTTTTATGTTTAACCTTTTCTTTAGTAATAATTGCACACAAACGGCTGGAGGATGTCTTTCATTCAGCACCACATGGTGGTGCTGTTGTTCCGTGAAGCACTCAAATTTTGTGCTGAAATTGCTCTGTAGAAACAAAGTCACCTCTGGATGGCCTTGCAGTGCCACTGTCAGCAGGCTGGGTAGTGACTGAGCTCCCAGGAGACTGCGTAGTTGTGCCATCAGATGGGGTCTCCTGGCTAGATGTGGGCGTCTCCTCTACGGGGCAGATTATGAACCATCTCTTTCCTGTATGAAGAACTGCAAGAGTTCAAATCAAATTAACCACTTCTTTTTTACAAGTAAATGTGATATCGGCAAAAAGGATTTACTAGGCGTGCAGATGAATACATTTTTAAAGAAATAATTGCTTTACCATTCTGCTGATAGACGGGCTGTGGTGCTCCAGGCTGCTGACTCTGTGGAGTGATAGACAGATAAGAGCTAAGTCAGTTTGCCACTTGACACTATGTATTTTTTAGTCTATGGCCATTTCCATGTGTATGTCTCTGTCCATGTCTAAATCTATGTATGAGCATGTGTAGTGTGTCATTCAGACTATACTCATATCTATATCTATCCCCTTTTACCTCTCCTAGCAGCCCTTCAGAAATATGGCCTTGTTGAGGACTGCAACTCAAGGTGGAGGCCCTTTCACCCTCCATGTCTTCATTCAGCATGTCTTCAGCTTTATCCACAATGTCCTTTAGCTGGTCAATGAAGATCTCTTTCTCTAACAGCAGGATAAAGCCATTTTCTACCTGTAGGCATACAGTTTTGATGATGTTAAATGTAAGCAATTAATAACAAAAAAGGCAAACTGTTAAAAAGCCTAAACCAACCATGTAAGTAGCAATTTCCTCTGGAGCATCTCCATCCAGATCAAATTTAAATGTCACCATTTTGTGGTTGTGAGTCTCCAGCTGGCATTCCACCATTTTATCACCAGTATTGCAAACCTGTGTGGGCAGGGGTTACACTTTACAATCAGACACATTAAGCTATTATTAAATGTAACTTCAGTTGTCACAAATAACACCATGACTCACATTGAGCATGCTCAGTTTGGGTTTGCTGGTCTTTTCTTGCCGGGAACGTGTGCGGGCAGACTTGCGGTGGTGTTTTCTGGGTTTTCCGTCCCCCTTCCCTCCGCTGGCCAGGCTCTCGTAGCCATCACTTGTTTCCTTACCAGACGCCACATCAGAGTTGAGACTATAAAAGAAAAAGTTTAAAACAGTCTAGGCTGGTGACACATTTTCATCACACAAAGTTATAAAGAGAATCTGTAAAGAGCTGAGAGTCAGTGAACAACGTGACACACACCTGTCATAGGCATAACTGGGTAAAGATGTGGGTTTGTCCTGAAGCACATCCTGAAGACAGAAAAAGTGGCAGGTGCAAAACAGTTAGGAGACCTAGTAAAGGTTTTATTTGACACAAAATGGATCATTGCAAGACTAGTATTAGTGTTAATGTGTGCTAATTTATTTTGACCATAAAAGGTTATTTTAGTCTCTGGTTTCAGAGGCTGGAGGTATAAAACTGATGTGAATGTAATTTGAAAAGCAGCTTGTGGTCTGAACATGCTTTCTGAGTAACAATTAGATGTCAAAATGTGCAAACCTTGGCTTCATTCCTACCTCTACAGAGGGCTCTTGTTGAAGGGTGCTAGATGCAGATGTTGACTCGAGGTTTTGCTGAGTTGTGGCCAGGTTGGCACACTCAGACAGTGAGACTGCTGTCTGGATGCCAGCAGGCTGCAGAACTGGAGCTGGGACTGAAACTGCGACAGGAGCTGGAGTATGAGCAGGGGCTGCAGATTGAACAGAGGATGGCAGCGTGGCAGGGACTAGGGTCGAGGCTAAACCTGGAACTGAGAGTTTGGGTTTACCACTTGCAAGATTGTCTGAGCTCGTAGATGAGCTTCTTGGTGGTTCAAAAGTGGGACCTGACGCAGAGACTGGTGCTTGAACTGGGGCTGAGGCTAAAGGTTGCACTGCCATTGGAACTTGTAATGGGACTGAAGTCGGGGCTTTTACAAGGGTTGAGGCTGGCGTTTGAGGCATGGCTGCAGCTTGAGCTGATACTGGGACAGGTGGCTGCTTTTGTGCTGGAACCAGAGTTGGAGTTTGTGCTGGGGCTTGACTTTCGACTTGGGCTGTAGCTGAGACTGAGATTGTAGCTGAGACTGGGATTGAGGCTGGGGCTGGGACTGGAGCTGCAACTGTAGGGGCTACAGTTAAGTCTAGGCCAGCTGCAGTAGTTTCCGCATCGGCTCCACTTCCCCAGAGAGTAGTCTGAACAGCAGGCAAGACAGGGTGGACTGCAGCCAAAAGGTGAAGATCTCCCAAATTCCCCTGTGGAGCAATTGTCTGCACCTGGAAAAAATAGCACATTTAGAGAATTCTTCATCAGTTAATACAAATATTGTTTATCTCTTAAACCCTATACACATGCCCTGCATGCATTACACAAACAATAAAGACACATTGCCACCTTAGCACTACAGATTTCTCATGACCTAACCATTACAGTGAGAACTGAGTCACATATTCACCTGGACAGGCTGCTCAGCCAGTTCCTGCTCAGGGTGGGGGGCGGGGTATGGGGTGATTTGTACCTGGGAGAGAGGTAAGGGACGGGTGGTATGGAAGCTACCAAGGTTTGTCTGAGATGTAAAAGGGTCGCCCTGCTGCTGGGGCACTGCAGGGGACATGGCCATGGCAAGAAGTGGAATAGGTAGTGCCAAACTGGGCACGTGTTGAGGTGTGGACAGAGGGGTCTGAGGGGTGCCAAGAGTAGATATAGAGGGAAAGGCAGCATGAGGGGTCAAAGGAAGGGAGGGGTGGTGGGGTGAATGTGAGTAGTGGGAGCTAGACAAAGAAGGGCCACTGCTGCTGTAGGCACATGGCAGAGGACCTAGAGGGAAGGGAGGGGGCTTTATGCCCCCTGTTTGAGAAATGGGATATGGTGAGGGAAACTGGGAAAGAAAAAGGGAAAATGATATAAAATGAACAAAGACAACCAGTCGATAGAAATAGCATTCACACAGTCCCTTTTATGTATGACTCAACTCTATAACCGATATTAACTTTTATAGGATGTTTATACGAAATTTAGTCTCTACCTTAGTTTGATCTTTTGTTTCTAACGCACCTGTGTGCTGATCTGCAGGGGCAGGAGTGGGGGAGGAGCACTGGAGACTGACTGTGGGAAACTGGTAGGTATGTCAGGAGGACTCAGGTGAGATGTAGGCTGGTCAGCAGATAACAGCTAAGAAAGGAAATCAAACATTTGTTTTTCACTTTGACTGGAGAGTATTAATTTTGTGATGGAAATACAAACTAATTCTAATTAAACTGACAAAATATTCTGGTCCAAAAGCTCCACTTGAATAAAAGTGAGCCGCAGGGCAGTTACACTCAATGTGTTTCAACTTTTCTGTGTGGTTTGCAGTGTATGTACTGTAGCCCGCAGTAAGTTATGAGAGATGATGGCTCTACCTGGGGCAGGACACCAGCTGTTTGGAGATGGCACTAAAGAGAGGAAAGACAAATGGAAAGGAAACACAAACCACATGAAAAGCCATTCACATACACACACACACACACACACACACACATACATACATATATACTGTACATGTAGATATACAGTTCACCGTGAAGCATTTAAAAGGGGACATGAAGTGCACTTTTTACCCACCTCACAGACAGATGCCTAACAAATAGTGTGTTTTCAGATGGCTGGTGCCACTAAATTTCACATTCATTTCCTGTTTGCCTTTTAACTATAACATACTTAAGAGTTGAGACCGAATGCACACGGTAGACTTGGTTGTTCTCAATGTCATTCCAAACACGTCATTGGAAACCAGCAACCAGCAGCCCAAACACACTAAAATTAACATGGTCTTATCAGGCAGCTCTGACTTGGCTGCAAGGGGTGACTTTCAAACTTTCTAATTTTGCTTTTTGTGTCTCACTACAGCTTTTGCCGGGGCCTGTCGCAGTTAGATGCATGCAGTACCTGCTCCTGGTTGGGTTGGGCAGTAAGCTGTGACTGTGGAGTAGGGGCTGCAGCTGGGAAGCTCTGTGCTGTCTGTCTACTCTGGTGCACAATAGGGGCTGGTGTAGCCGGAGCAGAAACTGTCTGTCAGGAACACACGAGAGAGATCACATTTAATGGATCCTGCTTTTAGGTATTATATGACATGATCATGTTTGTATATTTGCTTCAAACAAAATCAGACACACAAGGTTAAAATGTTCAGTGTGTCAAAGCGGGGGGAAGTTATAAGCAATAAAGTGGTGAGGTTGGCAGGGATCAATAAGGCACACTAAAATGTGAAAGGGAAGTTGTAGCGTTAATCTTTTGTCAGCCATACTGCCATACACTCTGCTAGCATATTATTTTGTAAGCTGCCATGCTCTTCTGCTACATTACAACCCAACCTATTATTTTGGATTTGGCAGGAGCAGAGAAGGGGCTGGCTTTGCTACCACCATGGAAAGGTCAGAGGAGCGAAGCAGCTGGCAGAATCCTGAAAGATACAGCAGGCTGCTGCTATGGCAAAACTTACTCTATACAAAACCTACGTCTCTAACGTACCAGTGAATCTGGTCTGTCTTCACTGTCATATGGTGGTATATACAGATTCCTGTCCAGATATGGGACATCAAGGCTCCTCCTCTTGTCTATATGCTCAACTACTGTGGAGGTAGTACCCCCAACCTCCCCGTGGCTGTGCATTGGATGATTAGAAGAGAGAGTGGGGGAACTGGTCCTGCGACTGACGATGTGATGTAGACAGTGGTTGAGAAGAGTGAGATTTCCACCTTCATACACACTCCGTGGGAGCATAACTTGTGAGGGTGGGGAAAGATGTGTAGGTGAAGTCACCAGGGTTGGCTGAATGTTTGATGATGGGGAAGTGGGTGAAGCTAAAAGAGGAGATAGAGTGCCCCTTGCCAGATGAGGAGACGGGGGTGAGCCTGGCTTAGAGACTGGATTGAACTGGGCGGACACGGAGAAAGAGGGCATATGTATGTGTTCCAGAGATCGGCCTCCCTTTGTCCTATCCCCCAGGAGGAGAGACATGCAAGCCTTGCAGTGGCGGTGGTGCTGTGGGCTGCGTGGGACACTCAGACGGACCTCTGAGGGAGGTTGTAAGTTCAGGGGAAGGAGAGGTGAATTGAAATGATTTGCTGAGTCATGATGAGAGTGTTGATTTGGGGACAAGAGAGGAGATAATAATGATGGATTCTGGGCAGAGGTAGAGGACTGGTAGTCTGTGCCATGCACTGAGTTCTCTGTGCTATTTGTTGAAGCCAGATCCTGTGATGGACACAGACAGGAGCTTGGATTCATTGTCTTAGTGAGACAGTGTGTCCTACACCGTAACATCTCCACCAAGGAGGTGCTTCCACGCCTAAAACACACTGTGCTCTCAGTGCTGAGCAGGTTGTCATGGCATACAAAGGGATCACTGTAGTGACGCTGATCAGGTATCGTTCCAAAAAAGAAAATAAAAATGTTGTTATTTCAGGAAACAACAACAACAGCAACAAAAAAAACCCCCAAAAAACGAAATGAAGGATTTAAGAAAGTTGCCACAGAAATAAGAAATCTTTCACTCACTGTTTGAGACTGATAAGGCCCCTGGTGCAGTTGTGCAGCAGGCTGCTGATAGGCCCCAGGATGCAGCTGACCTGTGGTTTGCTGGTAGGGTCCCTGGTGTAATTGAGTGGATGCTTGAGTGTAGTTTTCATGTGAGGCCTGTGCTGTGGGTTGCTGGTAGGGCCCCTGGTGCAGTTGAGGGTCAGCCTGTGCAGGAGGACTGTAGATCATCTGAGCTGTGGAAATGGGCTCTGGAAGTGACTGGTAGGGGCCATTTTGCTGATTGTTTAGATCATCTAATTGCATGGTAGAGCTCACTCCACTGTCAGCTGTAAAAACAGAGTTAATAAAAAATTATAATTCACCATGATGCCCTGCAGGAAGGACAGACACCGTGGAAGGGCAGGGGGAGAAGTGGAGTAGCATCTCATTAAAATTCAAAAGCTGGGTGATGATATCTCCTTGATGACTAATAGGTGTTACTCACACACTGCAGTCGCCTTTTCTCTGTTTCTCTCTTACATTCACAAATACCAATTTAACCATTTTAAGTCATAGACATAGTCATTTCCTGTTAATGGTTGAGTGATTGGTAGAGGTTGTTTCATATACAATACATTCATGTGTGTTTCTAGTTGCAGGTTCTCACATGTGGTAGACGTGGTGACTGGCACGGTGCAGATCAGGGTCTGCTGCTCCACCTCTTGATCCTCATAATCTGTTGTAGCTAATGTGGCTGCCTGCGGTACACTGGTACCGGGCACCTGCAGTAGGTTCTGCTGCGTCTTCTTCACAGCTGCCTCACCATTTCCTGGCGAGACAGTCCGCTCCCTCCTCCATTTGATGAGAGCCACGCGGTCCCGGATGGACTTCCCAACTATCTTCACATCGCAGTCCAAGAAAAAACCTGATTCCACCTTGTATAATACATAAAAAAAATCTCCATTAAATGTTTGCCTTGAACCACGAACAACTGCCTTTTCATGCCTTCTCATACGTTTGCATGGAAGAGCAAAGATCAACTGATCAGTTGCTCTAGTTTCAATCAATACAGTACATTACATGACTCAAGCTTATCCTTACAGACATGACCACTAACCAACTCCCAGTTACATTACACCTAATTAAAAGGGCCCGAGGTTGTGTTCCAAAGTAAAGACGCCTGTGTTATTACAAGACACACATACAGGACATACAGGAACCACAGCATAGTGCAATGATACTACATAGGAAATGTTCCACAACAAGTTGTCCTGATATATCAAAGCCATCTCATCACATTACCTCCGCTACGTCACTGTGTATTGTTTTTTCTTTTGTTTTTTCAAAGATTTTTTGTGGCCTGTTTAATCCATTGTTAGGCCTGTTTTACCAATGAGAGTTAACTGGTGATGTAACAGCAGTATTGTTGCTTTGGTTACCTGCACCTTAATTTTCCCTACGCACTGAGTTAGAACTATTTTTAGTGTCAATAGATTTTAATAGACACCTGCCAGCCAATCAGAAAGGAGTGTTTTCCAAGGCTACGGCTGAGTCAACAAATGAAGCCTGCTTGTGGAACACAAAGAACAATCTGACCAGTACCAACAAAAGCCAGGGTCAAAAGAGAGCAGGTACATCCAAACCAGTCTAAAGAAAAGGGGATCAGTTATTTCCTTCAAAGACCCGATTAGCCTCTCATTGCTACCCACTTAGTAAAACATAATAATAATAAAACTAAATACAATGATTCTTTCACTAAGTCAATTACCATTTCTTGGGCAACGACTTCTGGGACCTCGCTCACTAAGTCAAAGGTAAACTCAATGGCACCAGTGTCCTTGTACTTCCCCTTCAGCTTTTTAGGATCCTCAACCCACAGCTTCAGAGCAATGGACGATTTCTTTCCATCATCCTCTTCATTGAGCTCCACCCTCACGCCTGTATCCTCCGCAAAGAATGCATGATTCAGGAGGTCCTTGATGGAGTACCTGCAGAAAATACACAAACAACAGCTACTGACCAGCACTAAAGGTCAGTATGACAGTAAAACCTAATGATGCACAACACACAGAAACACCAACTGTGCCAGAGCCAAATACTGGCATCAACGTCACACTGCAGGAACAGAAACAAAACAACAGGGTAAGGATCACCCTCTACCTACAAAATGTGTTAAAAGCCCTGAGACACTGTCAAAGGTTCACTTACCTTTCTTCCCATCTGTGACAGATACATTCCCCGATTATTTCCTTAATTTCTGGGTCACTGACTTTACTGTAGCTGGCAGGTTTCACGCCCTGCAAAACAAACCAGCATTAACATGTCTCAATGCACCAACTGACACACTGAAAAAAGTAGTACTTAACGTGTGACTGCATAACAGGGGAAGTAAGTACTGTCTGCAGTGTCAAAAAACATTAATTATAGACTCTCCAAAACACATTTCTCCCAGACATGTTAAGTCTGGGGATTAAGAAGCTACTGTTGTATAAGAGGACTTTTGGAAGAGTTTGTTGAGTGATTAGTCAATCCACAAAGAACAAATTAAAATTATAATGACTGATTAATTGTAGGAAAAATGGCAAACATTTGCTGGGTACATCAAAATTATGCAACCCCTGAATTATAAAATAATAATTTAATGCTGCTACAGCCTTACTTGCTCTGGTGTGACCATTAGCTTTGGTGGCTAATGTTAGCAAACTATGCATACATATCCCTGAGTTAGTTCTCTGACTTTATGACTCTTGTGTAACGTTTAGCATTTTAGCTAGCATTTGGCATATTAGCTTTAACCAGAGTTTAGCATTTAGCATTATTCCTTCACTGTCACTTTGTGGCTGCAAAAGTAAAAAAAAAAAAAAAAACTGATTTAAAGAAATATATATATACATTATCTTATTGTCACAAGAAATAAGAAATTAAAAAGAAATGTGTGGTCTTCAAAAATGACTTGAAACTGTCTAGCAAAACTTTCAACGTGGACTCACACTGGTGACTTTGCGGTAGATCTGAGCAGCATTTTGACACTCAGAATAGGGGTATTCTGAGGTGGCCATCTCCAGCATACACATTCCAAAGGCATAGACATCCACAGCCTCATCATAGTGCTCCTCATACATCTCTGGGGCCATGAACTCTGGAGTGCCTGCAGAATTAATGCAAGAGAGGGAAATTAATCATAAACTCACATCCAGCATGCGTCATCCTGTTTCTGTGGGATCAGTGCCAGCGTCAAGTATTGGAATCCAACACGGCTGCTTAAGATGCTAAAGAATTGTCTAATCACTCAAATGACACAAATTTCTTACATTTATTAAAAATAAAACCCACAAATGTTGGATGTTCTTTGCAACTTTAACACAATAATATGATATCACTCTTTCACAAAAAGTATCTGTTGAGTCATGATTCTTTAGCCTTAAACTATTTGAGCTAACTCTGACCAATCATTTATTGATTTATGTAAAAATACAGACTGTGACTATGTATATATTGGCTATCAGTTGCCAAGATTGTGTACCTGGGAGGATCTAGTCACTGCTGACATAACGAGCTAGTACCATTTCAAATGGCCTATGGAAAAACACATTTTAAACCCATCAGTTTATCACAATTTAGAGTTTAAAGCAGCTATGGTCAATATTTCTCTATTAACAACTGCTCCCATGACATTGGACTTCAATTCTTCAGGTTACCAGAATCACAATCCCAAATGAATGATAATGTTGCTCTGTGTCTGCTTGGTGCATGAACCAAGTTTGCCTGTAAAAGGTAATATGTCAGCGTTGTGTTCACTGAGGGCCCAAAAAATCTGCTATTGCAGGTTTGAAATAAATATTCTGTTAGTCACAATTCAATAAAACAGAGTCTTGCCAACTAGCTGATAACTAACCAATAACACTTTTTGCAAAGGAGGCCCTCTTCAGTGTTGCCAAGCCCAGGTCTCCTATTTTGACAGAGCCTGTAGGACCAGTGATGAAGATGTTGTCACACTTGAGGTCTCTGTGGATGATTGGAGGAGTCCTTGTGTGGAGGAAGTGGAGGCCTTTGAGAATCTGCCTGCACCAGCTTCTGAGAACTTTAGGCTTCATCACCTTAAAACGCTTCAGGTACCTACAGGAGGATAAATATACCATGATTGAGATGTTCCAGTTGTCCCTAGGTAAAGGCATTCGCTTTTTAACAAACACACTGAATGGTAAAAGACAAATTGTTGTATCAACGTTTTTTCCTACTAGTCTCTGTGTCGGTGTTGCTTATTGTTATTCCATTCATCAAGAATCAGCTGTAAACGCACACACAGTCAATATGAATCTCTGATCAAACTAATCTCCTCTGCCAAAAAACTTTGTTTTCCCATAACTGTTCGTTTAATCAATTAGGTTTTGAGCAGGAAAAACAAAATGACTTTTTTTTTTTTTTTTTTTTAAATGAACAATATCTTGGAGTTTCAGTCTCTCTAACGGTCTAGCATTAGATTTACTGTAATGGTCTCATTGAATGGGTATGAAACTTGATACACATGATGTAGACAGTCTAATGGTCATTACTGTAAGGTTGTTTTAAACTGACTAATAGAAGCAGTAATAAGAGATTGATATTTGCATCTTATGATCATTGATTTACAGTCAAGTATAAAGTACGCATATGAGCTAAGATGGAAATCATACCGAGATATCTCACACACACCAATAAGGAGAAGAAAAAAAAAATTGACTCACGTTTTTAGTGTCCCTGAGGTCATTAACTCTGTCACCAGAACAATACACTTCTTCCCTTTAACCGGTGATTCCCAGAAGTCATAAAATCGCACAATGTTGGGGTGCTGGAGAGCCTTTAACATCTCTGCCTCCTCCTTGAACCTCTGTCTCTCAGCTTTGGACAGTTTCCGTTCCTAGGGAAAATGGAGGAAGACAATAAATTTTCAAAAATGAGATGTAATCGCCCACTCAATTTTTTTTCAGTATTCTGGAGCATTGTCAGAGGAAAAGCTCCAGCAGTGGTCACTTTATCTAAATTTAACAAGTTTGAGGGGTGGTGGAGGAGGAAGGAGGGGCTGAATCATAATCATTTTCAGTGTTTTTCTTATATAAAGTGGTGATGGAAGAGATACACCAATAGTCTGGTATAGCTTCAGGAGTGTTAGAACTTCCTGTTGCTTATGTTTAGGGTGAACACAACTATGGCATTTTGAGTGGGTAAACATGGGGGTCTGAACCATTTACCCTTTACGTCACTACTGTGTATAAAACACACAGCTCACAACTTCAGAGTTAAAATCTTACATCTTTGGGTGTACAAGCCTGAGTGAATCCGTGTATACTGGATCAATATTTTGGCCCCTGCCTTCCCTGAACTGTTGTATAAATAGTAAAACAGCTGACAACGAACATCCTCTACATTTCTGTTTCTTTCCAGTCAGCATGACAAATACAACCCAATGGCTTCAGCCACCACAAATACTACATGACCTCCAGATTTTCTCTCCTGTTGTCTTAATATACACATTTTAATGATAGCAATGAGCGTGCATTTAGTGTTTTAAATGAACTCAATAACCCACTGTACATCTCAACATTGATTATTGACTGGTGCTGGGGAATCAGATTTCATTCACAGCCCATCGTGACCTATGCAGTGTGCAGCCTAATGCGTCTTAGATTACGTACAGCCCTGTGAAGGATACACCTTATGCTTTACCTACCTTTCATAATTCTGATTCTTAATGAGGACAAATATTCCAGTTTGCTTCATCTCTCTGTCCATATTGTCCAGTTTTCTTAGGCAGTTTACAAACAGATCTTTCACATTTCTTTTTCATAGAGAGGATATAAGCAGGGTGTGGCACTTACAACACAGAATGTGAATGAAAAATGAGTAAGAAAACCCATTAGCAGCACCGATATTTGTATCTAATGGGCTGTGCAGTGGTGAGGACACAATGCTGCAATTCATTTAAATATAGAACTCTTGTTTTGCTGTGTATCAAATACTACATGTCTTACACGCTGTCCTTAGCTGAACCCACCCTTTCCCTCTCTCCTCGCTCTCTGTCTTGGTGCAGAGGGCTGCATCAGCAGGATTCACTCTCCAGACGCATCTGTGTGGTACAGTAATACCACAGGGATATAAATCCATGTTTAGCATTCATTACTAAGCAATCAAAAAAGACACACAATAACGTAATAATAATAATAATAATAACAGTGAGACGCAGATCTCAAAGTGCTAGTGTTTTGGCATTTTACTAAATGTTGCATCATTTGCTAACAACTCTGTTTGATCATCATTCAGTGGATAAATACAGTAACAGTCTGGTTTGCTCGATATCCAAGCACCAGCTCTTCTTTCCAATCTGATTTACAAATCTTTTCTTTGAGTGAATATGTTTTCTGCTGTCTCACTCTTAGTCTAACGCCCAAACACACACACACACACACACACACACACACACACACACACACACACACACACACACACACACACACACACACACACAGCATACAGACAGTGAAGGCACACAATTTGAGTTGCAGTAGCTTTTTCTGAGCCCACAGACACAGAAGCTCTGAAGGGCAAGGCCTCTCCTCCAGGGACAGAATGGTTGAATCATCACTAGATCTCCCCTAAGAACCACCTGCTCAGACACAAATTCACGCACACACTGCACACATTAGCCTATGTCAAGATCATCATGCATGATATATGCTTTTTCTGATAGAGGGTCAAAATGATCATCTGTCCTCTTCAGTTACTGATGTAGAAGTGTTAATACCAGTAGTTGGGTTCTCTATTTACAGATGACAAGAAATATTAATCCCTAATGAAGACTAAAGTTAACGTTTTACTCCTATTGTATATAAGCAATATTGAACATTATCTAATACTGCGTTATTAAACTGAAGTTACAAAAACAGAGATCCAATGCTGAAACGTGGGATGTAACCAAGAGATGATGTATTACCCTGTGTGCAATCAATTGGGGTCTCATTTTGTCAATTCCCACAAAGATTAATTGAAGTTTCACATCCCAATGGGCCTCAGTACATCTGGAGCTAACATTAATAAAACTTCAGTTTCCTTGCCTTACTAGAATCTTTTCCAACAAAAGCTGTGAGATACGTACAACCTAATAGTGATTTAAGTCTATGTCTGAACCTAATTAAGTTGGCCTGACAGGGTGAACCTGGATTCTCAAAGAGCAGGAAGACAAAATAACCATCAGTTCTATTTGCTCTGAAGCCACACTAAACCTATAAACTCATTCTGCAGGGCTGTGCCTCGAAGTCACAAACGTTATTCTCATCATGTTCATAAAATGATGTTGAGGTGCTGATTCAGCCTGAAACGGACAGATTTTTTTGCCCATAGAAAAAGTTAACCCCAATATACAAATATCTGGCAGTACATTGCATACAACAGGAGAGCAGTTAATCAGAGTTTGGTCAAATTATTTGGTGAAATGTTTTTAACTTAGTTGGTTGTTTAAATACTTAAAGCAGTACAATAAACATTCCTTTCCAGGAACTCATATAGTAAGATGTTAATTATCTGTTAAATCAGTGCCTCTAATTCCCAAGGAAATTGAGAAATGTTCCTCACATATCAGAAACTTTAAAAAGGAGACACACTAATGAAACCTAACTGTGTGCATGTGTCCACACAGTGTGTTCTGTTTAAGAACCAGGTGACTGTGCGTCTGTTTTTATTGGAGAATACTGTATAAAGGTATTTATTTGCTCTGGACGGACTGCAAAAGCTTAGCACATTTTGAGCCTTGAAAGGGCAACCACTGTCTACAAGTCTGTCTGCAGGCTAATCTGTATATCACATGGATAGCATCTAAACTGATCATTAGATTACCACATACACAGATTAGAGATACAGTAAGCTCTCCCTGGTATGAAGCTTTGTGTTTACTTTAACCCCCTGCTACAATTGGGACTAATTACAGTGTCTACAGTTCATCTGCTCAAACTGTGCATAAGGGCTGAAAACTGTTCAGGTGCAAGAGCAGAATGATTGAAATATAATTAAATTATAATTCAAATCAAGACTAAAAGGAGAATACAACCAAAATGATCATGATATTTAGGCTAAGAGTTATGAGAGGGAAAGTTGGTATAAGTGCTGACAAAACGGCCGACTGAATGGCTGACACTCCCTTTAACAATTATTATTTATTATTTTCCTTCGTTCCACGGTGGGAACAGGTTTCAGTGATGGCTTATTAACACAAACGTTATGGAAAACAGAATGGGGTAACAAAGTATCTCATCTTCGTGCTGTACAGCGTTACACCTCAGCAATATGAGATCATAAAAACACTAGAACAGAATATTCTTTTGATAAAAATACTATCATCAATAAAGTATGTAACACAAATGTCTGTATAACTGCTGACTATTTAATCTATTTTATTCAGTCCCTGGATGACAAATGGCTGAACCTAGTAAGAGAGGAAAAACATAAGACAACAAATGATAATACAAATAATAATCTGACAATAATCCATATTCATTCCTGCATGTTAAGGCTGCTATACGCAGGTGTAAAGAGCCATGGACCTTTCATTAACAATGTTTTACCTGAGAGACCCTGGCCTTTGTTAAGTGTCTGGATAGATGATCAGAAGACAAATGTCAAATATCACCGTTACAACTTCAAATGAATGAAGTTACTAGAGCTTTTCTGCGGAAACATAATAAACCCACAAAGATCCAGATGTTGGTACCCTGACCAAGGATCAGTTTCTGGGCAGTGCTATATCCCAGATAACAGGCCTATTATGGCGGATTGATGTTGGACTGATGATCTATGAACCCACCTGGAGTTCACACCATGCCACTTCGACCCAGGTGTCGGTGTCAAGACCTTTATAGACGGTCTTGAAGGACCCTCTTCCCAGCTCTATGTCAAACTTGAGGAAGCGCCCCCCAGGTGAGGTGGACACAGCCTTCATCCCGGGCTCCTCTTCGTTCTCGTCACTTCCTGCTTTACCTGTGACATCCGAGGGCACGACCTCTGCCTTTGGCTCGGTTTCGCTTCTCTCCCCCTTCTCCCCATCGGCGCTCACGCTCACAGTGGCGCTGTCCTTCAGCCCCACCTGGCTCTCCGTGCTCGAAGTCTCCCGGAGGCCCAGCCGGGTTCCGTGCAGAGCCCGGGTCAGACTCCGATCGACGATGGTCCTCAGGTCTATGGTGAGCACCGGGCTGCTGATGACACACTCCGCCGTGTCCACTGGCTGCTCCTCGGAGTCTGACACCCACAAGTTGCGCCGGATGAACCTCTGGCGGATCAGCCCCTGGTAGTCTGTGGACGGGTACGCGCTGGGGTCACTCGCTCCTCGCAGGGCTGCGTTTTGGATGTTGACATTGTGGTCTGTCCCGTTCTCATAAACAGGCCTACGGGCATTTGCATTAATGTCCGAGTCTAAATTGGGTGCTGAGGAAAACGTGGATCCCAGTGGCGGATCTTTTCTTGAATCGTCCGCCGAATCCATCCTCAGTAACTTGTTAAACACTTAGCAGCGACATTGTGTGGGGGTGATGATGAGCATGCTGCTCTCCCGGTGGTGGTGGTGGTGGTGGGAGAGAGTTGGCTGCCTACCTGCAACACTCGCATGCAGTGACGCAGTTCGCCAGCTCGGGGTGTATGGCCTTATAATGCCTTGAATTTGTTTAGGACACACAGCATCCCCCACAAAATGTCCAGCTCGGAGGATGCGTGCATTGCTCCCTGCCGCCACCTCACGCCCCGGTCCACCTTGCTGCAATACAGCACACAGCTATATTCACGTTAAGCCTGATGTCATTGCCAGTTCAACCTATGAGCTCACGGTGACAGTTTCCTCCACATATTGCATAATGTCCCCGCTCCAGCGCATGATAGAGTGTGGAAATTGTTATTTGTTCCGCAGATAAATCAGTGGCCTCCTGCGGACAGGCCAGGATGTTTAGGCTGTTCCGCGCATTAATCCCCCCCAAAGACACATCACGGGACGACCAAGTGCGCAGCTGTCATCCCCCCTGTAAAGACTCGGCTACCCGGACTCTGGTTGATGCAAATAAATCGCAGGTGTTCCGGGTGAAAAATCTGAATAAGTTCCCAAAAGTGTGACCTCAGCTTCTCTGCATTGCTCCTTTAACTATCCGCACGTACTTATGTCTCCCCTCCGTGCCGTTGTCCTGGAGCGGAGCGCAGGATGGACAGAAGCGCTTATCAGATTATGCCCACTGCGGCACAGTTTCCCTTCAGGTTGGAGCAGGCGGCTCCCGGCGCATCTCTTATCCAGCTGATACGGCTCTTGTCTTAATCTCTTTCAGGTTTTGAGAAAACTAGAATATTTCACGGCACAACCCACGCCCCTAGCAACAACACGTACCCAATAAGTCGGCACGCTTTGAGGCGGCACCCTCAGCCTCTCCTGACACAGGCTGTGTGGACCACACCACTGTCCGCCCTCATCGTGACGCGCTAAGCTTCCAATGGGAAGATGTCTGCTAAAACCTGCCAACCAAAAGGGACGCTGCTGGGAATTATGAGCTACGGATAAAACGCACAGGACCCCATCTTAATGTACATCCACATGGGCCGGTGCGAGGAGACTGGGCAAGGAGTCTGTCTAAGTTACATGAAATGCTTTACCTGATATTATTCTGCATTTCACTGCATGCAGTGTTTTCTGTATGATATTATTATTATTACAGAAAAGGGCTTATTGTGTCATTTTTAAAGGTAGTGGTTATAGTTTCTTAAATCCCAGCACACGTGCTGCGTGTTGTCTGCACCTATATCCTATTTTACATAATTCAATGTGAGTTACTTTGTGAAATTATTGAAGTAAACATTTTAAAGGCTACTTTCAGATCTTATTGTAACAAGGAAAACAAAAAAAAGGTATATTTAGAAAGGGGACATCAGACCTGTTAGACTGTCACATTTCTAATGTGGTAATTTTAATGTAACATAAGCCAGTTTGATTATGTATTCATTATATAATTATGATTATGTCATCACTAAAGATGCAGAAAACCCATCAAGACTTGAATAAAAGTGCATTGCGTACCCTGCATCACTCCCTTTAATATAGTCAAAAGTTCAAATACTGAAGGAGTTTCCATTGATTAAATATAGTTTATCATATGAATTATATTTTGTAATTCTGATAACAACCTTTCCTCTCTGCATAATGAAGAAAAGTGATAATTAAATCAATAAAGTAGTCCAAAAACCTTCCTCAGTTGCCATCAGGGTGGGTTTAGTTAGTGACAATGTAGTGATGCAGGTATTGATACGTATTTTTCCCTGTTGTGCAACTGCACTATATACACTATATGGACAAAAGTATTCGGCCACCTGACCATAATACCGACAGGGACTGAAATGACATTGATTCAAATACATATACTATAATATGGAGTTGGTCCCCCTTTTGCAGCCATAACAGCTTCCACTCGTCTTGGAAGGCTTTCCACATTCATTCTGTATAGCATTATGAGTCACTGAGCTCTTCAGAACGACCCATTTTGCATCACAAATGTTTGCAAATGAGGCTGCATGGCGAGGCGCTTGACTTTATACACATGAGGCAAGGAGTCTGATTGAAACACCTGAATTCAAGAATTAACAGGTGTGGCCAAATACTTTTGTCTATATATATATATATATATATATGAATTGAATTGAATATATATATATATATTGTAGTTACAATACACAAAGTAAATACTACATAAAATAAATAGCTGTTTTTAGAATTACGGCTAACACAAAGGTCAGAGATGGAGGTTAGGGGCCATATTTTCATTCTCTGCCCTGTTTTAGACTTGACACATTTATTTATTTTGACTATTATTACTTATTGTTATTTATTGATTTGTTTTATATCACAGAATAATACAATTTTAAGTGAGGGAAAAGAAATGCTAAGGACAAAAACCAAGAGGACAAAATTCTCTCCTAAGGTCTCAGTTTTTCTCTTTTTCTTCACAAGGATGGAGTTAAATTATATGAGGTCAAGCTTTTTACAAACAAAGTCTGCCCAGATCTCCAGGGAAACAGTGGAAATAATAGGAACCAGTTGGTGGGTGCGGTTTACAATGTGGAACCATGAATGGGACTATTGGTGTGTCTGGTCATCCTTTTCACTGGGTCTTCTTTTCTAGTGACACTAAACCTTGTGTGTTTCACTGGAGACCTTTTCAGTGTCCATACAGCAGCTTTTTTGCTTAAAGGATATGACACATAGTTTTAGTAACATACTTGTAATACTATTACCAGTCATTACCACTCATACAATCTTTTTATATGTAGTATATCGTATGATTGAAAAGAAAAAGAATATGAATTATGGTTGTTTAATTATTAATCTCTGAATATCTTGTGTTTTAAGTAAGAAGTAGGCCTACTTTAGTGTAGTATAGTGGGAGATGAAGTCATCCTATAATTTACTAGAACTGTATATATTTCTCCTGTTATGATCAATTTAGCTATTAATTTACTTCATTCTGCTCAGTCGACTTACTTTTGGTGTTACTCAAGTAAGTGGGGATCTGTTTAAGTGCCGTAGACCCCCCATGGGTCCTGAAGGACTCAAACTGTCATGTGCTAATTAATATCTTTTGTAATAGGCACTACCAAAGCACAAAACACTGAAATGGTGTGGGGCCTTAATGGGGTCTTATAGAGAACTCTGTAACAAATTATAGTAGCTTTCATTATGCTTACACGGGGCATCTCAACTCCTTCAGACCCTGTGTCCATTACAATGGACGTCACATGACAGGGGCTTCTTTTTTACTTTTTGCAACATTTAACACCACTTGAACCCTCAACTCCATTGAATTGAACGTTTAACAACCAATCAAACGGCAGTATAGCTTTGCTTGTTGATGTATGAAAAAAATCCCCCACACGGAAGAGAGGCATGGCAGGGCTTCACCCCACATGTCGAAGTAAGGATCATTTTCAACAGTTTTACTCACATTTATAGATATTTGTGCCAAGATTTCATAGTTTTGATATAATATTGAAAGATGGAATGTATGAATAGAAGTGTAATATCACATGTTTCAGTGCAAGTTCTTACATAGGATCTTTTCAAATATCACTGTCCATTGGAATGGACAGTGGGTCAGAGACCATGTTATTGAACTCAATTGGCCAGTATTGATGAATGAAACCTTATTACTATCATAACAGTACATCAGAACAAGAGAATGAGTTGATAATCAGTTGAGAATATTCCAAATGCAGAACAAACAAACAAAAAGAAAAAAAAGGGAAAGAAAAGAAAATTAAAAAAATTATATTTTAAAACTGTTTGGACCTTACAAAAAAAACATAATTTGAACTGTTCAAGTTCTTGTTCCATGTGATGTCAATAAGACAATTATAAGACAAAAAATAGGTATGATGTTGTCATATGATGTTTGGACCCGATGTCCATTGAAATGGACAAGAAAAATAACAATTAAAGAGTTTTGATAAAACATTTTTTTTTATTGATTCTCATTTCTGGTTGCATTAAGGATGGGAAAAAGTCATTATTATATTTTTCACAACCTTGGAACATAAGGCGGATACCATTTCGGGTTATACCAGCATTAATCCGCACGGTGGCAGTAGAGTCACGTCTGTCAGTGAGTAGCTATGGCTGCAGTCCAAATGAACACATATACATTACATCATACATTCAGTTTAAATGTGGTAAAGAAGCACATTATTGTGTCTCTGGAGAGCAGCCTCAGATGCTTTCACTTCTGCTGGTCCCACGCTCTGTGAGGACAGCCACCCTCATGATGGAGGGGCGGTAGTCTGGAGGTTTTGCCCCCTCTTGTCGTCACAGCAGTCTTTTATAAACAGTCTGTGCCTGCCTCCGCCGGCTGGACCAACAAATTTGTGAGTGTGTGTTGAAGCTCACACTACATATGACCGACGAACTTTGGGATATAACGCGGTTATTAACAAGATGGCAACAGAAAACTTGGAAATGAACGGTGATGCTGGCGGCGAGGCTGAGGTACGTGAAGGCAGCACCCGGTGCCCCGGTACAAAGGGAAGCGTTTATAGCTTCTCTGTCAGTAATGTTAAACCACCACTTATATCCTGGTCCGGCTCGGCCACGGGGTGGTAAATCCCCCTCAGAAATGTACTTAAAGTAAGGTCATGAGATACTCGCCGGTTAAACCACATTAAACTGACGGTTGCCAGGGTTTTCATCCCTCTCTCTCTCTCTCTCTCTCTCTCTCTCTCTCTCTCATCCTCAGCCTCTTGTTTGGTGTTAGCCGTCGCGACTGAACACTGTGGAGCATTTTGACTTCATTAAGCTAATGTGACCGGTTAGCTTCGGATTAGCTCCTCGTTTCAGGGGGGGGTAATTTAAAACAAAAAAATGTTTCACTAGTTCACGAAGTAACCCCCGGTGTAGTGTTGTTTCTGCCCCCATCTGGTATTTACAGTACAAAGGCTCAGTTTACACATAATGACCGTGTGTGTAGCTGAAGTGTACAATCATGTTCTGTGTAGAGGAATCCAGATTGAGTCCTCTTCAGACCAGAGACCAGAGACCAGAACCGGGTTATAATTTAATAACACACATTCAAACACGGAAGTATTGTGGTCACTTTCAAGAATGCAAATATATGCAAAGGAAAGCTGGTCCTTAAGACCTGGTACTGTATGAAGCTTTACAGTTTGTGTCGTTTTTATGAAAATAAAAAGGGGGAAGTGGGCTCGCCCTATTGTAATTGCGCATTAACTGCAGTTCAATTTAAAGCTAATGAGCTACAATCCCGCTGCTGTAGGCAGAACAGGTGTTAGTTTGTGACACACTAGTATCAGTATTTACCACCTCAACCAGTTTATATAGCTACAGTAAACGTGTGTGTGTGTAATTTGATCTGGTTAGGGTTTTCCAGTGTAATTAGGGTATGTTTAAAATAATGGTATGGGTCATTCATTAAAGGTAACTATCCAAGCCAGTGGCCAAACCATTTCATTGTCAGTTTTATTTTTAAGGGTCTTTTTGTAGTTTCTGTGCACTATAGTTGTTATTACTCGATTAACTGATTAGTCAAGTTACACAATTAATCTACAACTATTAATTAATGGTTGATTTATTATTGAAGTGATTTTATTACATTTTAAATTCTCTATATTAAATATAATTTTAGATGGATTAACTTTCAACAATTTAATCTGTAGTTGGACAAAAGAAACAATTTATTTCTTTTAATATACTAAACAATTAACCAAAAAATAATTACTGAAACAGATGAATTGGTGAAATTAAAATATAATTGTAAATTCCAGATCAAATGTGGAATAGCTTTAGGTACTGTCACTAATCAAACTATTTATTTCATACATATTATCACTAATTGCTTGTTCTTGGTAGCAACCTTCCACAATAAATGACAAAACAGATAAATATTACAGTGCGTATGTCAACTCAAAAATACATCATACTGGAGGTATGTCAAAACTTTATGTGTCTGAAAAACTAGAGACAATAATAGTGAAGACATCAAGGTGAATTTACTTGTAGGACTCAAAATCACATAACACTGCCTCAGGGGGCTTTCCAGGCCCACAACCAGCAACACTTCCAAGCTAAGAAGACAAAGAAGACAAGACAAAACCTCCTCTCAGGAACCACAGCACACACGGAAGAAATGAAGAAGACAGTAGAAAAAGAAATACAAAGAGATATCCCCACTACTTGGAAATGTCGAGGTGTGAAGGAAGCTGTGGGTGGGTTGAAGGCGCTTACAAAAAACTGAAAAAGAAAGAACAGTATAAGAAGGGAAAGTGAAAGATGTAGCAGGTGACAGTGAGAGACTCTCACACTCCCCTGCTGGTCTACCACAGCCAGGTCTCTGTGGCCTGGCAGGTTTTCGGAGGTGAAGAGAGAGAAATGCTGAGCTGAACCTCAGCGTATGACGTTGCCAACCTGGGCACAAGGGCGGCATTGTTAGACCCTCCGCTCCACCTAGATTCCACCCTGAGCACTAAACTAAAATCATACGAAGAAAAACAGGGGTCTCGACAGTGAACCTGGCTTCCTGTGATGTTTATAACGTAGTTTTAAATTAATCATTGACCACATAACTAAGACAAACACTTTATTTGCTGATCCGCAAAGAGGAAGCACATCGATTCCTCGACACGTCCTGTTCCTGGACAGATTAGTCGGTCAATTTGAGTGTTAATGGCACATGTCATTTCACAACACTGAGCCTGATTAATGTTAAAAGTGCATGCTTTCACATGTACTATGTATGATGTATTTGTGACTTGTACTGCTCAGGTCTTCACTCAGTTTTTCCACTGCTTCTGGGTGTTGGCCATCCAACAATGGCTGACCAGGTCATTACCAGGATGTGACCAGAATGTGGCTTGACAAATTTTTTTTGACCTTTGGACTGAAACCAATTCAGAGAACCTGCTAAGTCATGGGTGTTCCTGTTTAAATTCAGCCACTGACCACTTTCACTTCCATTTATATCTTCCACAGCAAAGAGAGAGATTTTATTGTTTGCAAAGACAAATCCCCCAAAAATGCAGCAACAGCATGTATTTTCTGAGAGAGTTAAAATGTACTTTCCCGTCAGCCAGTTACATATTTACTTGAAATCCAATCTGCTGGCAGCCGTACAGTGCTTTCATTTTGTCCATGTTAGAGTGATCACTATTTACACATGTTTTAGGACAAGTCTTTCTGCAGTGTGTGACAGCGGTTAAAGTGAAAAATTCAATCACAGCAGCACACTGACGGAGAGGGCTCATTTTTAAAGTGCATTTAAAGACATCTGAGAGATTACATCACAATATGACTAACTGACATCTGATGTATTTAATATTAATGGCATCTACCGTAACAGAGCAATTAATAAAGGTGTATTAGAGATCACAAGTATCACATTGCTAGCAGCCGCTTACATGTCGTAGTCAGGGTTTGTGTTTGTGTTCAGGTCCCGCTGCGACCCCGCTTCAGGAGGCAACAGGGACCTTTGAACATGAACCATTACGCCAATAAGAAGAGCGCGGCAGAGAGCATGCTGGATGTGGCTCTGCTGTTGGCCAATGCCTCGCAGCTGAAGGCCGTGCTGGAGCAAGGACCAGACTTCACCTTCTATGTGCCCCTTATTACTCTCATTAGCATCTCCCTCATCCTGCAGATCGTGGTGGGAATTCTGCTCATCTTCATAGGTATGTTTGGAGTTAGTCTCTTAGTTTATGTTAGGCAAACTCTGCTATTGGCTTGCATTCAAATGAGAAGATTTAAAGTCATAATAATAATAATGTACTCTACCTCTACTGCAAAAGTGTGTAGACATAAGTATAATATATATTACGTCATGTATAATAATATAAGTGTATGTGATATTATGTTTATTTAATTTACTTTGTCCTCTACTTACTTTGTTCAGACTAGCTAGATGTGACAAGTTACACAAAGACAACGTGTGAAACTGAAGCATGCAGCCACATTAAAGTTAAAAGTATGACTTTTCTTTGTACTTGTAACAATGTGTTGCCATGTGTAAGTTGAGTTACACAATATGGGAACACAACTGATAACTGCTTTCTGTTTTGTTCTCAGTGTTTTTTGATATAATTCATGCACACCTTTAATTTAGACATTGTTTATACTTATTTTCAAGTCAAGTCTTTTCTACAAGTCTACAAACTTGAATTTCTCATGCAGTTTTTTTCACAGGTTTACAACCACAGGCCATGAAATCATTCATGCACATTATCATTGCTCTATTCACGCTCATTTGGACACAACAAATCTGGGAGCACACCTTTTTATTCATTATATAAAATGCTGATGACTAATGTATTGGATTGTAAGTTGGAAGGACTGAGCCTTGCAGCATTAAGCTTGTCTTTCCATACGTTAGGGTGCTCCCAGGCTATCTTTATCTTATCCTAACAGAGAAAACTATTGTCATAGAGAGCTGCGTTTACAGAGCCACAACAGGAAGAAACGCCTCTGCTGCTGTTTCCAGTTTTAAAGAGCCATAGGAGATTTGCCAAACTACAAAATATGGACATCCTGTCTGCCTTAGACCCTCTCAGACCAGCGAGACATGTCCTAATAGAGGGAGAAGCTTAATATTCACCTATGAGCAGTGCTGTCAGCTGCTTTTACTCCTTTCAATGTTCACCTAACAGGAGCTGCTCCCTTGTGGGGAAAGGAGGTAACTCCTACTGACGAGGCAAAACTCAGTAATGCCTTCATGTTTCATTTCTCTTTTGACAGTGAAGTGGAACCTGAATGATGAAAGCATGCACTACAAGCTGAACATCTTGGAGAACATCGCCACGGCCTTTGTCTTTATCATTGTCGTGGTCAACGTCTTCATCACAGCCTTTGGTGTGCAGCGACCAAACCAAAGTTCTTGATCAAGCTTTTACATGATGACTCTCCCTGAGTGATGATCAACTAAGGAAAGATGGACAGGACTTTTATTTATTCACCAAACTAAATGGCACGTGTGTTTGCCATTCTGTAATACAACCTCCCACGCATGCCACTTGATACCCTGAGGATCAGATTACAGTGTTTGTGTGTGTGTGTGTGTGTTTGTGTGTTTGTGAGAGAGAGAGAGTGTATGTATGTGTGTTAGAGGGGTTCACTATTTCTCTAACCATGGCTATGGACAAATGTTTGGTCAATCCTTCTTTGATGTGTACATTCCCCAGTTTATTACCTCTTACAATATTCAGGTTACTTATGCAAATAAATGGTTGCCTTTTCTTACAAAACAAACATATCAGGAGCAACGTACTGTAATGGCAGTCACAAACATTGTGAATGTTTCCTGAAGAAAAAGACATTCTACTGTTATTCTAAGTATCTGTCAGTCTAAGCTCAATGTATACTAATATCTGTAGAACAAAAGTAAACCTAATAACCTTATCACCACAGCGTAATCCAAATGCAATTCTTAACAGTAAGAATCAGGAGCCATCTTGGCCTCCTGTTGCTCCTGTGGCTTTACATGATATAACAGCTTTATTATGGGAGCAAAGGTTGTACAGTGTTATAAACCTCAACCAACTAATGAAGTGGACCTTACATGCTTTGTTTCTTTAAGTGCTATACAAAGTCTAGTGTGATGTGTGAACAGATGTATATATTAGTTAATGTCTATAAGTGTTTGTGGTTATTTTTTATGCTTTTTTTTTAAAGGCCCAACTATTTTCACAGCTTTTACTATGTGATCTCGAATTACACACACTGTTTTAAATAAAATGATAAATGAAACTAAAAAAAAAGGTGATAAGATGTGTTTATTGTCCTGTTTATTCTCATCAAAAGTCTCAATCTTACAAATTCTGGCACTTCCACATTTAAGGCAGTTTTTACACAACACAGTACACACAGAATGTGTCAGGCACTGGACCTCGAGGACATGAAATCATCAGAAATATCAATGTTTCCTTTTAGAAATTTGTTACACAATAGTTGAGAACAAGGAATAACAACAAATACATGCAAGTTGAATAACTGTTTTCAGGTGTGTTTGGTGTTGGCGTCTAAAATCCTTGAGTTTAACCACCATAACACGTGAAAATACAGTTTAACAAAGCACCATAATGATAGTTAATGTTCTCTGTTAATCATTTTTAATGAAGTTGTTTACAAAACAGCCTGAGAAATATTATAAAATTGTATTTGTCATTTTGTGCTAAATTCACTTACTGCCAGACTTTGTATTTAAAATAGGTTTATCAGAAATCGGCAAAAAGGCACAGAAAGAACAAAAAAATATCCACACAAGGGGGTAGAATTCATATTTTACTTTAACTCTAATATGTCTAATATAAGACAGACTGCACACCAAATCACATGCTAACAGACTAATAGGAAAAATAAAGTTTTCCGTCCTGCCCGACCCAGCGGAAACGATTACATGGGAAAGTATTTGGGAATACTTCCGGTCTTGAAGTACACGGTGAAAAAGGGAGACAAGTAAATAAAGTTAAGGTGTGTGTATATGTATATATATATAAGGCGTCGTTTATAGTATAAAACACAAGAAAAAAATTTGGTTAGAGATGCCACGAAGTAAGTGGCAATGCCTTAACCGTATATGTGTTGAAGGCCACTGGGGCCAATTCCATCCTTGTCAAGGGGAGTGCTAACCTTCTCTCCTTTCATACAACACAACCAGAAACTGGACGCTATCAGCTTATAAACACAGACAGTGGGCCTCTCCGTTTCACTTACGGTGCCATTTCCGGGTTTATAAGTATTAAATTAATGAAACATAACTCTTGTATCTTTTAAATAATCGGCATTATCGGTGTTTACGCTTCATTATTACGTTTCTTTATTACGTGTTTGTATAATTTGGCTCGGTTTTAACTGTACCCATGATGCACTGCGCTGGAAGAGCGAGATATCATTGGTAGGAACAATCACGTGATTGCAAAAGTCGCTATTAACTCGTTTAAAATAACATAAGAACACAGAAGAGCCACATTATTTCTGGCTAAATTAATTATATTTGTCTAAATGTGAGCAGCCGAACTTCGGGAGGTTCTTATTAAACCAACACAAGCCAAACTGTGTTTGGTGATGTAGTTCGCTGTTGACCACAAGAGGGCGCTTGTGCTCTACTTACAGCTTGACTACACGTACAGCAATGACTCTGAAGAGCACATTAAAGTATGCCGGTGTCTTAACATGCTTCACATCAGGGAAGGAATCTTAATGATTCATTATCCAAATAAATGTACACAGCTCAGCACACTGCAATGAGAAGAGTAAATATAACAAATCTGGCTTGAATGTTGTAAGTAAACAAATAAAAATGCAGGTTGCTCTGTGCATCAATGGATTATGTTTTTTATCATGGATAAAATGCACTGATGAACTGGAGGCTCTTTTAAATGATGAAAAATGTAGGCTTATCCTATATAGTTAAGGATGTACCTCCAAGTGTAATTTAAATCATTAATTTAATTCATTTAAAATGCCTTATTTTTCACCACTGCAGTCAATATTTTCCTTTCTTGTCTGTAAAAGGTGCTTTATGCTGCGTCATTTGAAGACAGTAGCAAAACAAATTGTTTAATCATCTTGTTTTTGATTTTACTGTGATCATCCCTCAAGTGAATCAATCCCTTTAACCCACTTAAATAGGTATCAACATATGAGAGCAAAGTGCCAAATGCAGCTCTGAATTTCCCCCTATCTTTCTCATTTAGATCACAAGCAAAATATTATATACAACTGTGTACAAAATTAGTATTCAACTCTTGAAAAGATATATCGTGTTGTGCTTTGGTACAAATAGCATTCATTAGTACAGTAAGGCTAGAGCACCTGGTGTGAAGGAGTGACCCTTTACTTCATGAGGCTTTCTTCAGTGTACCATATGAGAACCTCCTGAGCCTTTCTTTTCAAACCCAGAGCAGCCATCCCAAGGGCCCGGCTACCTCCTGTCCCTTTAGACTCTGAAGAACACAAGACAAGCATGCATGCACTCAAGTATATACATATATACACGTTAGCTAGCCAATAATACTGACAATATGTAATTATCACAATGTCAGGTGAAAAACTGGAAAGCTACTTACCACTGTAGTAATAGAATAAAGCCATTCCCACTGCGACGCTGAAACAGCCCAGAAAGAAAAGGGGACCTGGAAAGAGGTAAAGAGATAACAACACGAATGTAATGAATTATCTCGTGTGATTGTCAGTGTTAAATAACTTCCTGAAACAAGTCTAACCTGGAAAATGTTTAATTCACACTGACTATAAGAAGAAGATTGACTTTATTAATGCCCAATGGGGAAATTCTTTGTTTCACTCCATTTTTTACATACACACATTGGCCCAAAAACTCCTTATTTAGTAATTTATAAAGGTCCTCACTGAATCATCTACCAATTACTTTATGATTTTGCTGCCTAACATTTAAGAGTAGCAGTTTTTACATGTACTGACATAGATTTCACATTAATATCTTACCTCTGTCATTCAGAACATATCTCTGATGGTAGATACGTGCGAGTGGACCTAAGTAATCTGGATACAGGACAGATGAATTTTAGCGTGTGCAAGAAAATGTAGAATATACTAGAATACACAAATATGTATAATCCAAACTGTAATACCCAATTAATGAATAAATATCTCTAACTGGGATTACAGATCATATACAGAAGCAGTATTTGGGGACTAACCTCTGAGGCGGAGCCGTGTGGGCAAGCTGTAATATACCTCCTCTACATGCAAATGAAGAGCTCTGTAAAACTCCCTGCACGCTTCCTCTCCTTTCGCCTGCAGGTGTGTCAGGAGCTCTCCCACTCGGACACTTGTGGGCACGTCCAAGTTTCGGAACTGAATAACAATTAAAGAAGTTAAAATTAGGTATTTTTGATCCGCAAATGGAAATCTTCTTTCCTGAGGCGCTTGCTGACACAGCTTGTCCGGGCCAAAATGGATCTCCACCGGAATTATTTTAGAAATTATTTTAATTTATTCATATTACAGTGTCTTAACCACAGCCTCCGTTCAGGGCCAGAAGACCCATGGAGCTAAATGTACGAAGCCTATCAGGTGCCTGAGAAGAAATCTTTTTACATGCTTTGATATAACTAAAAGTAGATTTACTCAAGCAATGTACTGAAAGTATAACTACTTGTACTTTCATTGAGTATTTTGCTTTTATGCTACTTCAATCTCTTATTCCAATTGAGGCAGAAATAATGTATTTCTTACTCAATTACATTTATCTCACAGCTTTAGTGGTTAATTGGCCCTCAGATTAAGACGTTTTAAGACCTGTGATGAGTTTATAAAATGTGATGCATTATACATTAATCTACAACACATAAACACCAACAGCATCAAGTGAACACCCCAGTAATAATATTCAAGTGTTATATGATAACATGACATACTGCAACAAATAGGTCAAATATGTCTTGATATATTTTTTACATTAATTTGACAGGATTTCTTGCACCACTGCATGCATGAGACCCAGACAGTGGAGTACTCTGTATAAAGGACTTACTTTGGTGGCCTCCTTGTCGGTGAGGATCTGCGGGTAGATCCTGTTGAGCTGCAGGATGAGTTTGTCCAACAGCTCCGTGTCCAGTCTCCGGTCAGCTTTGAGGAAGGCGCTGTCCTCTATCAGCTGATCACGAAAGCTGTCTGTCCATATAAACAGAGAGGTTTTAAGTATAAACGATAGTCTTGCACACACTGTCTGATAACAGGCTCGCCTTTCCATTGGAGACGTCAGTGTACAGTAACAACATCAATGCAGGCTACCGAGTGGAAATGTGACATTATGTCCAGTCTTTCCTCCTAACTGAGGAGGGGGAGCATGGGGGTGTGTTTCGAAAAAACCCACATGGTATATAACTTGTATGTTTACGGCGAATTGAAAAGTATTGTCTCTTTCTAGTGTCAGACGGGTGAACAAACTTTTGAGACAGCTCAACAGGACTTGAGACGTTACATTGTCATTGACAAAGCGAGGCTACTGTTCACGTCGGAAGTGTTAGTGCTGTGGGAATGTTCGTGAGTTGGCTTTAATGTGGAGGCATTAAATAAGCGAGGCAGAAGGCGAACTAACATGTTAAATTCAGCGTTATTTGTAGTTAAAGAAACACACGAACCTCCCATTGTGGAGTCCCCTTCTGTCCTTCGTTTGGACACGCCCTCTTACGTCAACGCGCCGGTAGGGAGTGGCTTACGTCAACGTCTGCTTCCAAAAAGGCAAAAACAAAAACTTTCCTTTACACCGGAAATGGAAACGAATGTGGCAAATGCTAAGCTAGGGAATAACAGATACTGACCCTAATTCATATATATTTATAAGTAGGGCTAAATACATTATAATGCAACTATAAATGTTGTATCGTAATTCTCAGAAATGATATGGGTACTTTTTTTTATCCCACCATATAAAAACATGTCTGTTTAGCAGAATATGATCTAAGAATAAACAACAATCTGTATGTGCATTCAGTGTGCATTACTGTAAAATAATGATTTCTGAGAGTCCCTTGAACAATTTTATTCTACTTATTGTGTATATTGTTACAATTATTGTTAGGTATGAGGTCTAAATTGATTGTATTGCTTATTTATATAAATTAATATATAATTTGGAATGTTTGCATGCACAATGAAGCTTGTATTTAGCTGCTGAAGGAAAAAAATAATACACACAACCAACACCACAAGTCCACATGAATGAAATTGTTATCGATCTTTTAAAGTTGTAAACAGTTAAAAAAAAGATTTTTATTGTAAGAACAAATACTTTGGAATGGCAACTTGTAATTTATTGAATACGATTGAAAAAGAACAAAGAACTCAGTATTGTGAAAGTTAGATTTATTTCTTCACCAGCCACAGCTGTCAGCAGAGATAGTAGCCCACAGAAATGAATCTTTCTAGTGTATTACCATAAGTTCAGTCGTGTCAATATTCTAATCGATATTTTGACCAGCCACCTTCACTCAAGCTCCCTTATGAAACAAAAAGGATGATGACATCCTGCAGTCTGACCAGTGTCAAATAAATACAATTGCAGTTATAGTAAAACATATAAAATCAATTAGGACCAAGTATGTGAGCAACAATGTGTAAAATATTACATAGCATAAACATTTAGTTTTTTTTCTTGTCATGTTGGTAAATTGCACTTGTATAAACAGTTATGTCACTGCAAGCTGGTTTGCAGACGACACTTTAGAACTTAACAGGTTTAAAAAAAGTTGTATTAAAACAATGACATTTAAAACTCTCCTTCATGAATAAAGTTTATGAATACTATTAACATCTGACCTTAACTTAGAAATATTTAAATAACCTTTTCATCAATACTCTTTCTTAGTCATAACAAGCATACTTGAATTTGTAACAGCTTTGCCATGTCAACAGAAGAGGAGCCAAATTATTCAAAATCTAGTGAAGATCCTGAATTTGAAGCTCCATATTTCTAGGATCATATAGTGTAAATTGTTATCAAAAATCTTGATAACTTTGACAGCTTGTTCCTCTGGGCTGTCATAAAGGCACAACTAAATCTAAGGCCAAATGGAAAAACAACTAAGGCAGAAAAGCGTATTTGTCTCTTGTATGATTTCAACCAGTGAGTTAAAAGTTCTGGTTGTAAAATAATTCCCACATAATCTCTGGTTTTGTTGCTATGAAATAAATAGGGATAAAAACATGTTGAATCACTTTAAAATGTCATCAAGACATCAGCAGATAAACATGCACATTCGGTAAAAACAACGTATAATACTTGAAACAATTAGTATAATTTTAGAAAGAAAAAAGGAATCACCTAAGAGCAAATAAGTAAAACAAAAAGTGCTCAGTCAGGGTAACACAGGCGACGAGAAATCAGCAAAACAGCCATCTTGATTCTTCCTCTGGTTCAGTAACAATAGTGGTGTATATTGTTGGAAGACTGAAGGACTGCACTGGGCAGCTGATGCATTGAGTCATTCATTCTGCAGTCAAAATGTTCGACAGGATTTTGCTTACTGGATTTGGCACTCTAAAACAAGGCCCTCGGCGAATACTGTTGTATGTTCTTGTTGTTATCAATAACATGAATTGGACCGTGATTAGATAGCGAAGGAACCACAAGCACAGGTGATTGGCGACTGTCACAGACACTCTGACGGACCTCCTTAAGGACACTTGGCATGATAGAGTTACTGCAAATGGAAAGATAAGACAGAAGAGAATCACATTAAATTGATTATTGATTGATTGGTGACATTTCAATTTCCACTTCATTAGTGAGATGGAGTTCATTAATGCAGTTAGCAGTTAGGAAAGTTAGATGCTTGCAGGAAGCAGAGTACAGGGAGTGTTATAGTCATCTCAGTTTTCCTTCAAACAGTTTATGAATTTTAAACTGGTTTAAGTCGGCATACAAGAGTGAGGTAAAAAGTTCCATTTATTTGATACAGAAAATATAGAATAAAATAGCATCTTATTTGTGACTGAAAAACGTGAATATTGTAGTAAAAACAGAACATATTAACAGACAGTTTTTGTCTCTTGGTTTCTCTTTTGTATTTAACCTACAAGAAATTCACATTTGTTTATTTGTTTATCATCATCTCACAAGCTGTTTCGGACCAGTGAGAGAAAAATAAAGTTTTATGGTTTGTAATGGAAGCAGATGTCAGTTGAATTAAAATTAGCATATAAGTTTACAGTTTCATGTTGTTCACAGGCCAAATAATGATATAAATATCACAGAGAAACTAAGACTTGAGGCTTGGGAGACTCGTGCCTTCTTTGTGCCAACTGAATAGATTGTGTATATTAATTTACCATGAAAACAACAACTATTCAAATAATAATTGTTTTTATACAAGAAAATTAGCAGCACAAACGAAAGGACTGCTCCACCAGTCATTCAACATTGTGAGTACCGTGTACTGTTAACACTAAAGAAGTACTAAGTAGTAATAATGGCAGTAATGTCACATACTGTGTATATATGGCTATAATACCGATCAGCATAGTGTTAGAAAATATGAATGAATGCAAATCTTGCCGAAACAGAAGTTTAAAAAGGCCACATAACACCCTGCAGAGGAACCCAGGGCCTCCGCTGGTGCTTTGTGGCTCAGGGTTGGTTTTGCAGTACATCCTGTGACTTACATGATGGCTGGAAGAGGCTCCCTTGCCCTTTGTTTTGCCCTTGCCTTCCAGCGCTGAGGCACTTTTGCGACGTGCCTGCTCATGGTCAAACTCCAAGTCCTCCAGGCGCTGTGTTAAGGCCAGTTTCTGCTGAATGGCCATACGTAACAGAGAATTCAGGGTCTTCTTTTCATCCTCAGCAGCAGCCAGCTGCCTCTGCATGTCATCCAGCTGGGTCACATACTCATCACACCTGAGAGGAAGAGAAGAGGGGAGGCAGAGAAAGGAGCAATAGAAAGAAACAAGAAACAAGAGATCAACATTATTTCCAGCAGGTGGAGCAATTTGCCTTGAGCCGCCACTGCTGTCACATGTTTTCTCCATTCCCCAGACAGCATTTTCCAGATGGGAGGATGAGATCTCTGCTAGCTGACTCGCTGAAGTATTACATCAGACAGTTCCCACAATGCTTTGTGTCTTTCTCACAAACATATACGGACACTTGCACAAAAGTTAGTGCAGAATAAATTTTTTTTCACTACTGGGTAAAGATGCTGGATATAAATACATAGACCTATAAGTGAGATATATATGTTTAATGTAATAGATACAGTACAATTATCATGTGAGCCTTGGACCACCAGGATGCCACATGATAGTCCATTTAATGTTTGGAGTGAAATGTAAACCAGTGATTCCGTATAATCATACCTTGTAGCAAACATGGCTCGAAGAGACGAGAACGTAGCAGCATCCTCTTTCAGGGCCTTGAGTTCATTGCGGAGCTTCATCATTGTCTCAGTCACCATGCCCTTCTCACTGTCATACTTACTCTTCAGATTGGCAAGAGCAACCTCAGCTGTCTAAAAGGGAATAAGGTTGTACATAATTATTTGTTTCTTACACTTTCAAGTTTAAAATTCAGTGGTTATTTTAAGCTGAAGTCAATTATACTTTTCTGTTGTAACTGTACAGTTTGAGAAACAATGAACATCCTTCCTCTGAGAAAACATACACAGCAGGCATGCATGCATGCATACATACACACACACACACACACACACACACACACACACACACACACACACACACACACACACACACACACACGTAGACACGCTCAGAGCGGGTATTCTGACCTGTTTGTTGGCCTTGAGCACGGCTCTGAGAGTGGCGATCTGTTCCCTTTTGGTGCTAAGCAGGGACTTCAGTTTGAGGATCTCATTCATGCAAGCTTCCTTGTCCTTGTCTGCTACTGTGCTCAGCTCCAGATTGGCAAGTCTCTGACGTGACAGGTCTGTGGTGCGGTCCACTGCCTGCTGCAGATGGCGGATCTGGTCTCTGATGATGGCTACGAGGTTATAGATGTTCATGGGTTCTGGCCGGTGCTCTGGAGCAACTGTGCTGCTGCTGGAGTCTGACTTTTTGAGTTCAGTCTCAGTGATCAACCCATTAGTGAGAAGTACATTAGACTGCTGCTCCTTCCCTTCTTGCCCTCTTCTTATGATGGCCTTGCCTTGCTTGTAGTAGTCGAGCATGACGCGGTTAGGGGTCTCATTGTTGCACATACACACGTGGTTGTAGAGATTGGCCAGCTCTTCACTGAAAGTTATGAGCTCATCCTGGGCCACATTAAGGCTGCCAAGCGATTCTCCTGCTGCCTCACTGACCAGACGGAGCTCCTTCTCCAGACGAGTCACCTCCGCTTTATCTGCTTGGCTAATCTTCTCCAGGGACGCCAACCTTGACCTCAAGTCCTGGACGTCGCTGTCCAGCCGCGCTCGCTCATCTTCGTACTGGGTCCGACACTCATCGTACTTTGCCCTCAGACTCTTCAGCTCCTGCCTCAACTCCCCAGCTTCAGACACGGCCACGGTGTATTTACACTGCAGGATCTCAGGTCCGTTGATGTCCAGCTCGTAATAGTCTCCGTCGTCATGGCTGTCCCTGTCTTTTTCGCTGTCGAGGGCAGACTGGCGCTCCTTACTGGCCTGAAGTTTCCTCATTGCACTGAGGTTTTCAGTCAGCCTGTTGACAGTTTCCTTTTGCTCAGAGACAGTGCCATAGGCCTGTTCCAGGTGCTTCTGGCTCTCCTGGAGAGAGTTGATCAGGGCAGCTTTCTCCCGCTCCACCTAACATACAAGCAAAGGAATTGTCAGTTCAACTTCAAAATGTAATATAAAAATAGATAAGCAAATATGGCCATTGATGATGAATAACCATGTATTTACATTGTGTTTCTACTGTATGTATCTTTTTAAAATATTTTTTTCAGCATTCCATGATTTATTAGATAGTGACAGCTGGAGAGACAGAAAAGGCAGGGGAGAGATAGAGGGGATGACATGCAACAAAGGACTTGGGCTGGAATCAAACCCAGGTCGCCCACGTGAGCTACCAGGCGCCCCTACTACTGTATATATATCTTGTTAAGCATTTTGAACCAAGAAATCATATGTTTTTGCTGTTTTGACCTTGGCCAAATCAATTAAATAACTAGAAATCACCCTAAATCAAACAATCATTGTGGCCATTTTTCAAATAAAGTGCGGGGTCAGTCAGTAAGTGCTACTTTGCCAACCTTTAGATTCATTCAACAGTGTGAATTGTGCTTTTAATTAGCTTTGTGAATTTTAGTGCCAGAAATAGACTACTGAATCATTGGGAACAGAGAATTAAAAAGAGTGATCGCCACTAATGGAAAAATGGAGAAAGAATATCTGAGGCACTGCATAGAAAAGTATTTTGTACTAACGTCTTATAATGAGTCATAAATGGAGGTGTTGTTCTATTACAGATATGTATGTAGGATATAGTGAACATTTTAACTGAAAACTGCAGTAAAACAGCAAATAATGATGCTGGATGGTCAAAGAACATCTATTGGACTTCATACCTGCACTAGCTGTTGTTTAAGTTTCTGGATCTCAGAGATGTTGAGCTCGCTCAGCAGGTCGTCCACCAGGCTAGGAGCCGGCTTGTAAGCTTCTCCTCTCTTGTTCCCAGCAGCTCTGTTGTCTTCCTCACCTCCGCCCGCCTTGACCAAGCCGTTTTCGAAACCTCGGATTAGATCATCATTGTCAGGCTCATTGACAGTAGAGGGATCCTCTGTGAGCTTTAGGTTGTCGAAGGAGATGTTGAAAGAGCTGTTGTACACAGAGCCGCCAATGGTCATATAGTGGGAGAGCTCCTTGCGCAGGGTGGCCTTTTGCTCACGCTCTGTTTTAATCGTTTCCAAGGCCTCCGTAAGCTGTCGCTCAGCGATTTCTCTCAGACGCATGGCTTCGTCCAGCTGGCTGTGTAGGCACTGGGAGTCCTCCTCCAGACGGCGGATCTCATGCTTTAGACCTTCAAATTCCACCTTAGCAGATGTTCAAAAATATAAATAAGAATGTCATTAATTTGACTAATTTGTGTCTACTGTAGTTTTATTAGGCTCTATTGTCCAAAATGACTATACAAATATTGTCTAACCGTACATTTTAAATTCAGTGTGTATATTAAAAGAGGAAGACATTTTTTTATTTTTTATTCTAAATGACAACAAGTGTTGATGACATCTTGCCTTGTCACTTTCTTACATGTCGCAATGACTATGGTTACATTCAAAGCAAAAACCATGTGACATAAAAAGGTGTTTAAACATGAAAAGGTTACTATTTTTCCATGTTTTTCACCCAGATGGAGATGTGTAACAAAGTGAGTATCAAGTTCCCTCTCCTTCATCTCACCTGGTTCTGTCTCAGCACAGACACTTGTTTCTGAAGAGAGATGTTCTCCTCCTCCAGCTCGCTGTAGTCCTGCAACAGACGAGCCTCCCGCACCTTGTACTCTCTGATGTCATCACGCAGCTGACTGCGTTGCAGCTCTGCCAGCTCTGAGTTCTGCACACGCGAGGAGACAGGATGTTATGGCAGGCTGTATGAGAATAACATCTAATTACTCTGATTAAAATAAATGTTCACCCCATTGACTGAGGAACCCAGGCAGTGCAGACTACATCCTTGCAAATGTCTGGTCACTGTGAGTGAAATGAGGATCAACATGTCAGCATGTTTTAAATACCACAGGGGCAAGACTTCGGCAGGCAAGTGTAATGACGGAAGGAGGACATGGTCCACTTACCAATCCATGCTACAGAGAGCCCTGGCAGAGGAGATCCTTTGTGTCACTCACAGTGGACCATTACATCATCTTTGCTGCTGGTTTCACTGTGGTTCTGGTAACTGACCCTCCCCCACTACAAGCACACACTTCAGCTCTCTTAAAACTCACCCTGACAACTAGTGGTGGTCTGGTCTCCACGTCTCCATTTCAACTTCCATTAGCTTTACTAACCTTTGCCGTCATCCTATTTTAAATTGTAACTGAGGAATATCAAGAGCCTTTCCAAGGACACCAAAGTACTTTGATCCGAAGTAACTGGCTCTGATTTACAACTGTGAGATAAACTAATCCAGATTTTGGCACTAATAAAAAATGTACATCTGATTTAGGAAAAAACATTAAAAGTTTCCACGGTTTTTCCCACATAAAAGGATAAACACACATAACACACACAGATGTAAGTGGTGGATCTGTGCGCCATCAACAATGAGTGGGCAATTTCAGCAGATCCACTTCTCATTGAGTGACTTTATCTAGAGAGATTATGAGATTTAGACTAAAATAAGATTTTATTAATATGAGCACATATAATTTTTTATATTTGTATAATTCAACCATTACCTCTCTCATCTCCAAGGCGATGGACGACAGGCGTTCATTTTCAGCTTGAACACTAGTGAAGGAGGCTTTGGCCAGTCGGAGTTCATTCTGCAATTCTAGGACCTTCTGCTGGTAGAGAGCCTCCTTACTGGCAGACTCCAGGATCAGTGACTCTTCCCTGCTTTCCCCATCTGCAGCCACCTTCTTGTGGGTTGAGTAAGCTTGTCCAAAGGCCTGGGGAAGAATAAACATCAAGGCAAATTACTATGAACAAGAAATAATAACCAACCTGTTTTAAGATGCACACACACAGAACCACAAGTATGACCAGAATAACCACTAAAGATAAGTAAGTATATAAACAGTGTTCATTCAAAAATATCATTAGTCTGTCACACAAGTGTTGTGTCATACTGCTGCTATGTTGGTGTTAGTTCATGATGTTCATGTTACATGCTAACAGAGCACTGAAGACATTATTGCAAGCACTGATCACATCTGAACTGCATAAATTACAATCTGTCAAGCTCATATGACAATCTGGAGACAAACAGAGGCCGCTGTCTTCAGAAATCTTAACTGTAAATTCAACCAAATATACAGTTCGAAGTGGAAAATACACAAATGAAAAAAAATAAAAAGGTTGTGCCACAGACGCTTTCATGTGTTATACTAAAGGTTTAGCTAAATGTATTATTTATACAGCCTGGGAGTGAGCATTGAGAGAACATGTCTATTCAGGGAAAAACCCTGATGGACATTCAACAGGAATGCCCAAGGTAAGTCACTTTTTATTCTTATTAAATTTAATCACATGTGTGATAATTGGTGAGTTATTTAAACAACTGATCTTTTATTACACTAAATTACAGTTTCTAAAAATGACTACAAGGGAAAAAAGAAAATCAGGTCAGATACTGACATTTTGGCAATGTGTATATGCTTGAGTTAACAGTAGGAGGACAACACATTACCATGGGATGAACAGGCTGATTCCTACAATCAACTGACTTAAAGGCTTGTAGACATGCAGCCAACAACAACTTCCATTCAATAAAGTCCTGAAACCCACCACAGAACTGTAGCTCTCCTAACCCTGCCTTTTCAATCAACTAAATTGGTATGAGTAACAAGCAGTGATCAGTCATGATGTGAACTGACCTGTACCCTAAAGCACAGTGGGTGCTCGTGGATGTTTCCTGTTCTACCCCAGCCTCAGTGACATACTCATACTCTACTAAATAGAGAAACAGCAGTCAGGATCATGAGATACCAAGAGAATGACTACAACAATGACTCACTTAGTGACTGGGCTGTATGAATAACGTAATAACGTAATGTGGACATAAATCACCATCAACATACAACTGTCATTGAAAGATCCACTCATCCAATGTATGTATAGTATATATATATATATATATATATATATATATATATATATATATATATATATATATATATATATATATATATATGATAGTACCTTGCTCATGCTGAAGGTTTGAACTGTTGGTCAATGAAACAGGTAGATTAATGATGACCATTAATGAAAATAATTGTTAAATGCAGCTCTAATTGAAATTTGGATTAAATATAAATGTACTAATGTGTAATGACACCTTGTAATTAAACACAGCCTTTTTTTGCAGCTAAGAAAGAGACTAATCTCTATCTGAACCTCTCTTGTTCACTACTGATCTGTACACAATATTGTACACTTGTGGCTTTGTGGCTACCACTAAAACAACACACAATGAAATATCCCAATACATTAAATTATTAAAGCTAGCAGTGGAGGTATAGTCGGTATAGTCAATAACAAGCAGCGACCACAAGTGCTGAATGTTGACGCCGATGTGGAAGTGCTTTAGGACTCAGTTCCTCTAGGCTAAAGGTTGATACTCTGACTATACTGGACGGAAGGGAAAAATCCAACTTCTCTCTTAAAATACAGTCAGAATTTCCCACCAGTTATGATCTCAGTGGCTAGTGTCGCTTCTTCTTACGTCTTAAAAAAAAGATTTCATAAGAATATATTATGGCAACATTTTAGTGTTTGCATGACTGACACACTCAGCTGTGGTGGTTGCTGTTTTCGCCATCCCACCTCAGGTTTGCCCAGACTCTTCCTCATTTTCCAACTGCAAATGGTAAACACAAACTTAAGATCATCCCATCAGAAATCCATGTGTAATGTAACAGACTACCATGGAAAAAAGAAAAAACCATTACATTTGCTTAAGTGAGAATTAAATTACTCCACAGGTGTTGGGTCATAATGGATGTGAAGAGAGATTTGTTTGAAACAGTTTGGCTTACAGTCATAACATTTAAAGGCTGAAATGAGTTGGGTAAAACCAGTCTCAGACAGCTGATGATGACAGATGAAAACCTCCTTGCTGTGTGAACCAGGGTCTATTCTGACCTAATCATACTTACAAATCCCCCCAAAAAGTGGTACCTAGTAAACAGAAATCTCAGGGAAACCAGAGGATTTCCAAACAGCCAATCAGGACATCAGGACATGAGTTATAAAAATACCATGCAGGGAAGAAGTAATCTGAAACATATTTATTTTCTACTACAGCCTGATCCTCAATAAACGAACTACCGGTTGGCCACATAGGCATGTGAATGTAACACACCACTACAGCTGCACACGTCTGAATTGAAGGCCTCAAACTGGCATACCAAGAGCAAGTATGGGCAAGTGACCAAAACAGTAATATCATCTTTTATCCTTCAATGTGAACAAAGCACTGAGCTACACGGATGCATTCTGCTCAGAAAGCAGTGAAAAGCATTTGGCTACCATTGATAGTCTAATAATACTCTTTCAAAGCCTTACAGACAGACTTCAAATAACAATTCTTGAACCTTTTAGGTAATTCACTCACTCTTTCTGGCACTTTAAAGTCATGGCTGCGCTTCAGAGGAACCAGGCCAATGACTGATAGCTCATAACTTATGACGGTTCTGATTACAGACTGTGCGGCTCCGAGTGACACGTTCAAAAACCGTTGGTAAACAGAGTGTTGACCGTTGCTGCACCACTATTCTAACGCGCTGCTAGGTTACCGTTACAAGCCGAGTGTAACACACATACCGATACACCTAACGTTACAACTACAGACACTTTTTTTTTTAAGTGTCTTGCTGCGTGGCTATGACCTCGGGTTACCTCCTTCAGCTGATCCAGCTCCTGTCGGACCGTCTCGTATTCTGTCTCTATCTCATCGAATCGCTGCTTGAGCTGCTGTTTCTCCTCCAGCACCGCCAGCCCGTACTCAGCCGCCTGGATCTTCTCGTGGGTCGTTTCGCGGAGCTCCCGGGTAAGGCGCTCCACCTCTGCTCGAAGCCACTGCGGCCCGGCCTCCGTCACCAGGACCGCTTCGGCATACTCCTGCTCCTCCATAGACATCTTGGTGAGCCGCCGACTCACAACTGTAACGGGACCCAGCCCTGGCTAGCAGGAGCAGCGCTGAAAACCACCAAGACTACAAATCACTGCCTTCTTTGTTTCAACCGCATTGTCGGGACTTAAATTGCGTTTAGTTCCCTTTGTCTTTTCCCGCCACAGACTTCGACGGTGGACAACCTAGACGAGACTTTTGACATTCTCGAGGAGTTTCTTCAGCCTCCTCATGAAGCTGACAGAGGAAACTTGAGTTGAGATCATCGATTGGAAAAAGCTTCTCCAGAACGGCATTCAAAACTGTGTAAGTGGGAAGGGAAATGTAGTTTTAAGGGTGACGCCAGCTTCTCAACGTGGACGTGCGTCAGCTGCCATGTTGACTTCAAGTACCAGAATCCATTGCGTGGTTTTGGACGAGATTCGTTAACTTGCTGAAGATATCAACACAACACTGCCATCTATTGACTATTTAATGAAACTACAACTAATACCCACAAGAGATTTTTTTTTTTTTATATTTTCTGATTAATTGTTTAGTCAATGAAATGTAAAGAAAAAATGTCCGTCACAAGCTACCAGAGCTGCAGAGACTAGATGTGTGTTTTTGTCAGCCCTGAACCCAAAAATGTTCAATTTAAAATGTCAATTTAAAGAAAGCAGACTGCAACTGTCAAAATGAATCAATTATGAGAATAGTTAATGTACTGTCATTAGGCACATTAATTAATTACCTAATTATATCAGCTCTATTTGTGATTTAAATGTAAATATAGCTCCACCAATTCAATCAGAACCCATCTTTACTTCCTGAATAAGGATGGCATTTAAAAAAAAATATTAAAAATACATAGACCAACAATATAAAACATTATTTGCATATAAATTGTTGAACCCGTAAATAATGCTGAAAGCTCTCTATGGTTTCCATTGTTCTTGAGCCTCAACACCCTGTACTTTTAAAAGCCTCAAGACTCAAGCTGTAAAACCACATGAATGTGAAAGCAAAACATTCTTATCTGGGATTTCCCTTCTGTCACGGGCTGGGCACAAAAGTGGCTGGTTTATCTGTTACGGAAGTTGTCTTCTTGATGTTTCTGTTGGTGCTACACCTGCCAGGATAATTTGCCTGAAGCTGCACATAAATGGTGGGTACACCTGCGTTTCCAGGTTTCAGGGTCGGTCAGCCTGTGATAATGTTAATCCATTTACTCACTGTTTCAATCTCACTGTCTGCTGCTCATTCTCTTGCTTTCTCTCTCTTTCTTTCACTATAATTCTCTCTCTCTGTGTTTCTAGCAACAGCCTACTTTGTGTTTATCCATTCAAGCCATTTGTGTTGATCTGTCTCTTCCAAGAGATCACAGTCATGTTTGTTTTTCAGGAACATGGGAACAGGGACCTCATCTTTGCTGTTTACCAAAACTGTATGTACATTGTTAGTCTGCATTAAGAGTGCAGGGTTGTGGCAAATCCTGAAAGACATCCATCTTTATTTAGAGGATATTTCTTAATTTGAATCTATTCTTCTGGACATTTTCAGACAAATATTACCATTTTTATTCGATATGCTTTGGTCTTGGAAGTGGAACAGCCCTCTATAGGCCCTTTTGTTGTAAGTTACCATACAGCACAGTATCATTTACGTTCTTGAATGGTTTTTCAAAATAATTTACACTTTATTGGAACAATATACATTTCCAATGATCACATTCATCAACAAACCTACCTGCCTTCTTATTTTGGTTGGTAATAATTCAAGTTTATAACATGGACTCCGTAATGTGTTGCATTTCCAGCTCTCATGGTTCCAGCAGTACTTGCTGTGTTCTTCACCGTAGTGTTTGAGATTGTGGGTGTAGTTTCTGGTGAGCTGAACATTATTATTAACACCAATGTTGTAAAAAAAAAAAATGTTGTAAAAAAAACAAACATATATTTTGCTAGTTTTGGAATGCTAATTTTATTTTAAAGGCCCACCTAATCTTTATGCTTTGTTGGACAACAACGACAATATCAGTGTTCATTTTGAATCTGTCCTCTCAGACCTGCCAGCTCATACTGCAAGATGTAAAGGCCCTCCCTATGACAGAAGAGGTACAATGCATTGTTAACTTACATCAGATTAATAACAACTAAATATTTATTCATCACTGACAAATATGTTGAATTGATTTTTAATGTTTCATTAATATCCATTAGCTTATGCATTATAGCTGATCATAATGGTAGTGAGTAATAATATTGCTGGTAAACTACATTTACCATCAATAGACACTATATGATAAAACAATGATCCTGTTTTCTAATTATAAATTAGTCCCCTCATTAAAAAAAACCCTACTAACATTATCCTCTAACTCTCTTTAGATGTTTACTGGGGCTTTTGTTTTGCACTTTTCGTGGCCATCCTGAACCTCAGCTCGTATCACGGTAAAGCCACATGTGGGATATGCAAATGTCTTGGGAAAGTACTATTTCTGTGATTACATGTTGTGCTTTATTCCAGTCTACACTCTGTCTTATGGATGTGGAATCATGGTGTTCGCTCTTAGAGGAGCAAAACGGAAATACAGCTCTCTAAGGTAGGATTATAAAAGCTAAACTTCGAACATTGATCTGATAGATTGACAGCCTGTGTAGCTTTATCACAGTTTGAAGTCAGCATCTTCAAATGTCTTTGAAAGTGGAAGTGGTGGTATTTGTGCGCTCTGAGAATGTTATTTGTCTCTTTTGGACAGGGAGTTGAGAGAGAGACGACGCCGCTGGTGGTAGAGGGAGTTTTCACCCTGCAGAGGGTCAATTAAGAGGCTGTGAAATTCACTGTGGGTCACATAGCAGAGTTGTGTTTGATGAATTGAACAGGTCATCTGACAGACAATTTATGATCACATACAGCTATAACAGGGATGTAAAGAAATAATTAATTTATAAAACAAGTAATGTGCTGTAAAAATTGTGTTATACTACTGTACAGTGTGTTGGCATTAATCATGGTTTTGTATCACTTACTTACAGGGTTGGGTACCAGATTACATGTAATCAGGATTACGTAATTAGTTTACACAATTTATTTGACTCATTAGCCCAGATTACATTAAAAAAAAGTGCAATTTGATTATAATTACATTGTCAATGATTACTTATTTATAATTTTGATTACGTCTTCAAAATATGTAAATTAGAAAATTTTGAAACTTTTTAAGTCTGACATACAGGGTTTACTCCACTTTGTGGCAGATCTTTCAGGAGAAAAAAAGAACAGTACTGAATATGAAAATGCGTTTTATTTACGTGTTCAAATTTTTGAAGTAATAAAACAAAAGTATTTAGATTAAATTAAACCTTTTTGTAATCCAATGGACTACATCAATAATGACAAACAATCCATGTAATTTGTGTTCAGTAACTGACAACAACCCTGTTTGCTTACTTTTGCATTAAAAGTTCAAGTACAGATTCCTGTGTGTGTGTGTGTGTGTGTGTGTGTGTGTGTGTGTGTGTGTGTGTGTACTGCTTGAACTACACACATCAACACAAAAATACTTCTAGGGAAAAAGACCAAACTATTGTAAACGCTCAAAGTCAAATGCAGAGGGCTTTATTACATGAAAGTAAGGTACATAGAAAATTTCAAGTAACAAAGAAAGTGTTTTTTCTTGGGTTCACAAGTCAAATGCAACGCTACCTTCATAGTCACAATCAGCCATATTCTCCATTCTCCAGCACTCGAAGGGCCCTCAGCCCTCCACCCTATGTAAAAAAAGATGATGCCACTGACCACATACTTATTGTCATCACACTGCTGGTATGGTCCAGTTGTACAGCTAGCACAAATGAACATTGAGGTGTGTAGGTTGATGGTAATTTTAAAATCAGTAACAAAAAAAATACAGTGCTGAAGAGAAATTATACAACTTTTGAAACCACTACAGTTTAAATTGTATGAAGATGTGATTTGCGGTTTTGAGTGACTGCTCTTTATGACCTACCTACATTTGTTTGATTTTTTTTCTCCACTACTTTCTACAAACAACAGCTCAGCTTCTTCTTTTGTTGTCATGATAAACACTTACTTTAAAACTTTGCCCCACCCAGTCTATCAAGAGCTACGTCAGAACAATATAAAAACATTTCCAGTTGAATGAAGTTATTCAAAGAGCATTTTAAAAAACACACGAGAGCATCACACTACTCTGGTTGCACATGTCATAATGTATTGTTTTGTTTGATGAGCATCCACCAATGACAGAGTCGGTTATCTTGATCACAGAACTATGAGTTTAGATATGAGGATATGTGTGTTTGAATTTGTGTTGCTGTCCTTGTGTGTGATGTGATGGATGCATGAAAGAAAGGTAAACGTGGAACTCTACTTCAAAGTATACAGCACAAAATCACATTACTTTAGTACACACTTAGGGGCATTCACAGTGAAGGAATTTAAAGAGCTGGGTGTCATGTGAATAAAAAAAAAAAATACTTGTTTATCTTAATCTGCAGGGGTGTGATCAGAATGGGTGGGTGGGGCAGGGAGAAAGTTACTTGGCATTGGTGGAGCTGCTAAGCATTTTGCGGACGGCCTGGGCGATGGCGTCACGGTCGATGCCATAGATCTTGAGCAGCTCATGAGGTTTGCCACTGCGAGGGACATGGGACACAGCCAGGCGATGCAGATTGAAGCCAGACTCATTGACCATTGCTGAACACACTGCCTCTCCAAGGCCACCTGTGGAACAACAATTCAACACATGAGAGAAATGTGGATGGAAGACCAATCCTCTTTGAAGGATGGAGGACAGCAGCGGTGGAAGTTGTATTTCCGATCCTTTACTATAAGTATCAAAGTATCAGTACTATACTGTGAAACTGTCACTGTCCATTATATATGTTGTTATATGTTTTTTTAATAATATTACTGGTGCATTCATGTGTTTGTTGCATTTCACTGCTGCTGATGTTTGAATTTTAACTACTGGAGCAACTACTGTTATACTAGTTTATTATAGAGCAATATATTATATTCTATTAGATTGTCATATGTTTGCAGAGTCTCTGTCCTGTGAGGACCACGTATCTAAGAAGTCAACTTTTCATTAGCCAGTAATACAGCCCTGTTTTCAGCTTTGGGACAATACATATTCCTGCTTATCCAGTCTTTGTTTTATGTTATATTTTTATATTTTATATTTTCTCAACCCCTAAACAAACAATTCAGTTCAGTTTATCAAAAAAAAAAAAGAAATCAAGTCAAAATCACCAAATTTGGAGATACATTGTTTTTACTGGAAAGGAAGGGTAAGAAAATTTGAAACCTGAAAATGAACTTTAGCTGTCTGACAAATGCCATAAGTACAACATTCGCTCTGAGCAAAAATGAGGTTGTGTATAAGCACAATGTCATCACATGCAGTATACACATCAAAATAAATAAACAGACAAGAAAACATAGCTAAATGTCCCCTTGACCACTATACCACTATCCCTCCTGGTCCAGATGTAAAAGAGATACGCAACATCAGACGGATTATAGTTGCCAAATATCCTTTGTCTAGTCAAGTCTGTGCCATCACCCATCCCCTCTCTTAACAGGCACAGGGCATGGCTGTCTGTGTTATCTAGGTCACAGAGAGCCCCATGGGCACATGCTCAGTTAAGGAAATCTGACAGCACTCTGCCTCTCTGGCTCTAACACTTACAAAATGCACCACAATACCACTACCTTGCCTGCAATGGGGGCATGCAGCAGCAAGCATCCCTTTAGCCAATAAGCAAATGCCACCACACCACGTCTCTGTTGCTGAACCAATGGAAACATGCCACCACAACAGACCCAAGGATATGGACCAATGACAGAGCCCCAGCTTCATTATGCTCAAAAGCTTGTTACTGCTATGTTGGTAGCGGTCATACAATATGCAGAAGCTTAACAGTGTGAGCCATTTTTATGGAAACCTACCTTCATAGTAGTGGTCTTCCACAGTGAGGATTCTTCCCCTGGTGGCGCGTGTGTGGTCGATGATGGTTTTGACATCCAGTGGTTTGATTGTGAAGGGGTCAATGACCCTGATAGAGATTCTCTCTGGAAATGCAGTTCATTCAGTTGATGAATATGACACACACACATAACATAATACCATTAATGACATCGCTACAACTGAGAAGCAATTCATATAATGGTTCTAAAGCCAGGATGGCTTCGTAAATCCTGATTTTATTCAGTAACTAGTTATTAATGTCAGCACAATGCATATAGGAAATATTACAGTGACAATGTAAAAATCACAACTGTATCAACTGTAGGTGTGGGTAATTCTCTAAATACTAAAGTCTACAAAGATGAATAAGAGTCACATCTAAGGAGGGACGTTGCTTTTTCTAAACATAGAGACATTCAGAGCTATGCTGGCATCAGAAGAAGAATCCAGCCTTTACAATAGGTTTTACCTCAGCAAATTTAAGATGTAATTTATCTAAACAAATATAATATTCCGTCCTTCTTGCGACCAAAAACAGTATTTAATGTATCCTACCTTTCTTTAAATGTTCAGCTGCAGCCAGGGCCTCGTGCAAAGTCACACCAGCTGCCACTACAGTCACCTGGTCATCTTTGCTCTGGTACACCACCTGGTAAATGGAAAGGTGTTGTCTTCTGTTTCTGGTTTCAATGTTGTTGTGTTCATGTTGTAGAGATAGTTTTCTGTTTTCTTATTTTCCTCACACTGTCTTAACAGTTATACAAGCACAAACACTGTTTTACCTTAGCCTGTCCAACATGGAAGTCCTCGTTGCTGTTATAGATGATGGCACTGTCTTGGCGGCTGGTTCGGATGTAGCAAACGCCCTTTATAAGGGAAACATGACAATCATCAGACAGCAAATTGGCTGTTTTTGCTACTAAATAAATGTTACGCAGATACTGTAGGGAACACTGCATTTAGCTTTTATGTACCTTTGTGGTTGCAGCCATTTCTACAGCCTTCTCTGTAGACACACCGTCACTGGGATAGAAAATGGTTGCTGTGGGAAGGGCCCTGAACATAGCCACGTCCTCTAGACCCATCAGAGAGGGGCCCTCCTCTCCTGCAATATGTACATTTATTGTTGATTCAGAAAACAGAACATTCAGAAAATCCTCTAAAGTTATTGACAGGTCAGGTGAGCTGATGCATGCAGATCCACAGACATTGAGCCAGACTTTGCATGCAATATACCTGCACTAACAGAGGGACACCTGGTTCCCTGTTGACAGCTTCCAGGGCAGACAGGAAGGGAGAAAAGGGGTAGGATTGAGTACTAGCTGTAAGGCCAAAGGAGGTAAATGGCAAGGAAAACACAGGATTAGAGGGAAAGAGATAAAGGATTGCAACAACTGCTCACTCACAAACACACACACAGATCATCCAATTATAAATTTACCACCGTTGGGGTATTGTGAATATGGTCTGAAAAATGGGTCTTGTTTAATGTCTGGCTTCGGTGTGAGGGGAATAAAGGTGAATTTTGTGAAGGTGTGGACGGGCACAGTGTGTGAGAGGCTCATTAGCAGCAGTTTACTAACCGGTGGACAGGCCGCAATGGGAGCCACACAGGTTGATGTTGCTTTCTGAGATGGATGCCATGCGGAGCTGGTCGTAGGCGCGGGTGAAAAAGGAAGCCAGAGTGCTGGCAAAGACAACATTCCTTTCACGGGCAGCACATCCCATGGCAACACTCACCTGGGAAAGGAATTTATGGTTTCTTAGTACCTATACACGGGCACATTAGATATAACCTATAGACACAGGTCACACGCACTTGATCCCAAAAAGATCACCCAGAGGGTCAAATACCTGTGGCCCAAGCCACATTTGAAAGCCTCTTTGAACCAAAGACCACGTTAAGTAGAGAGTCAGGGAGAAGCGTTTTCTCCAAAGCTCTGGAGCTTATTTTCCCATATGGGTGGAATCAGCAGCATACCTCCGCTTAGAAATAATTTCCTTTGTCCTGTCTCAAAAACTCTCCCCAATTCCACAACTTCTTTTCATGCTTTGTCCAAAGCAACAACTAAGCATCCATGAAAGTGCAAATATGATGTTAGATAAATTCTTATAGATAAAATCAAAGAAACACACTACTTCTTCAAAGGCTGAACTTTAACTAGCAGTTGTTTCATCCAAGCCAAAAATGGTTGCTATTAATAATGAATGTATATAATTAAAGTACATTTCTTTGTGTTTATAGCGAATAAAGTGTTGTTTTATTTAAAAGGCAATGGGTTTTCGTCTAGTTTTTATAAGCTGCTAAAATGTTGTCATTCAACTTTTGACTTTTCTCATACATTCAGCCAGATGGTCCCACCCTCTGTGCTGATTAATATTTTACTTCTGAATACACTTGTCATGACAGCTTATCGTCATACACATGCCTGACCTACATTGAAGTTCGCTGCCACTGGAGCCGTAACAGCACGAGGAATTAACGACTGATTGCCTCATTCCAAATCTTTTCCATCTAAGTTTGGAGAAAATAATGACGGAGGCAGAAGAAGGACGGTGCCTAAACACTGGTGTCAGCAGCAACCACATTGACCATAAGGAGGCAAATGGGATGTGTCTACCCGTCTTTACATTATGGATAGAAAAGTCATGCATAATTAAGTGACTCGGGCTCCGACTCACAGCTGTGAGATGTAAAGTTGTAGTCGTATCCAATCAGAGCTGAGAAAAAGCAATTTACTCAGCAAATTCACCACATTAAAGAATGAGAGGGACTGGGTTTTTAATAAGAGGGCATTAGACCAAGAATGCTGTGCACAGAATATGGACGGCTTTGTTAATAAATATATGTCTTACTTAATATATTTTCTCAAGCTTTGTGAAACAGGCTTGGTGCTCTAGATTCATGAGGGATCATACCATGTTCTGCTGAGCGATGTAGCACTCCACAAAGCGGTTAGGATGCTCATTCTTGAAGATCTCTGAATAGGTGAGGTTGTTGGTGTCTCCATCGAGGGCCACAACGCGTTCATTGTAGCGTCCCAACTTGGCCAATGCCATCCCATATGCCTTCCGTGTGGCAATCTGTAAAGGAGAGAGACCATTAACAGAGTTTGTTGGTTCATATTTACACAGCATTCAACAATTTGCCTGTCTGGCTTCAGTATACATTGTGAGAACATATACTTGAGACATGAGGATGAGGAGGTGAATGAAGTCTGTGCTTGTAAGAGACAAACCTTTTCTCCAGCCTTGTAGTTGGGTGCGCTCGGCATCCTGATGTTCCTCAGGCTGACCGGCGGGGAGTCCTCTGTGGGTGCTGGAGGGTACAGGTGCTTGCTGCTGTTCGTGATACGGCTCTGCAGGTCCTTCATAACCATCTCGGCCATGTCTTTGGGCAGAGGTTTGGCATGCCACCCCAGCTTATCCTCTGCAGCTGAAACCACACAAACATGGCATCACATTGATGGATTTAAACACTGTTTCATGGATGGGTCACACACTTAAGCTGGAAAGCGGCCGCTGTATGCTTCGGCATATAATATGTGCAAGAGTGAGAGGGACACATTTGCAGATGAGGAGTGGACTGTGACAGACTTTTACCTGGAATGCCTTTGCCCTTGATGGTTTTAGCAATGATGGCAGTGGGTTGATGACGTGGCTGGCTCAGAGCTTTGCAAAGCTCCTCCACACTGTGTCCATCTACAATGATGGCATGCCAGCTACACACACACACAAAGCATGAATCAAAGACAAACATTAAAACACTTCATATAGATAAATGGCATGGACACACACCAGGTGAGTATTCACACAGTGTAACAGTTGAGAATAGACACCAGATAATATGTGTTGCTAAAATGCTACTTGTGCTACCACAACCTTTTACATAATCTTCCAACAGATACAGTCCATTGACAGCCTCAACTGCAACATTAATTTTCAGTTTTATGCACTATTACCCAAAAGCTTCGCAGCGTTTCTGATATTTCTCCACGTGATGTTGCAGGGGTGCGGGGTCACTTTGGCCCAGACGGTTGATATCCATGATGGCCACCAGGTTGTCAAGCTGATAGTAGGAGGCGAACGACATGGCCTCCCAGACAGCACCCTCTGACATCTCCCCATCCCCCAGCAGGCAGTACACACGATAACTGAGATAAAGAACAGGGTGAGATGAGGGTGGGGTGTAGTGCTTTCAAGATGCAGGCAAATCTCACTTAAATGTTCTCTGACACTTTTCCAGTCAGATTGATTTCTTTTTCCATTATCTGACAGTTGGGCCGGTAACCAGCTGTGACATGATAAAAGCTTCCTGAGGCCCCTAAAGGCGTGGCTGCTGAGTTTCACACCTGCCTCTGAAACAAGTCTCCCATGAAAATCCTATCACTGAAAATGGGGCAAATTGTTGTCTTATTTTATAAAAAAAAATTTATATAAATAAAGTGCATCATAAGTACATCTTATGGTACATGATATCTATATACAGTAGGTGTTTCATTCAATGGGGGTTTTTTTGTGTTTTTTTGGATGCCATTACAAAGGAAATGGAATTATTTTTGCAATGATAAATTAGAACAATGGACTAAAATATGAATACATGGTTGAAAGCACAACGTCTGAATTTGATTCTGAGATTAAATCTGCTTGGATGGTAAAAATAACTGAGATATGACTGCCGGGCCTGTGATTATTAGAGCAGAAGAATCGTGAGAGCAGAGCATGTAGCTGCAGCACACACCCACAGAATCTGGAAAATCCTTATCACTGAACCCTCAAAAGAAGTATGATGTTTAGTGCATGAACACACCATAATGTAGTGAGCATTCATATTGTATATCAAATGAAGTGAAATCAAATAAAGTCTCACGTTTTTTTTAATGCATGTAAGAAATCTAAAATGCATATAAACATAACAAAAAATGCTTATAAAGCTAGTAAAGTCATTTTTTTCACTTTCGTGTGTGCCCACATGTATAAGGGATTACCTGGACTTGTCAAAGTATTTCCCAGTGTAAGCCATTCCACAGGCCACACCAAGACCCTGCCCCAAGGAGCCAGTGGCTATGTCCACAAATTGCTGCTTCTGAAATGCACACAACACACACATACACACACAGTAAAGTTTTCTTAAAAACTGTTGGTACACTGTTTGTGCTCCATGAGATGATTCCTTATGTGTGGAACAATATGTGAAAGCTTACAGGGGTTGGGTGGCCCTCCAGGGTAGAGTCAACGTGGCACAAACTGAGCAGCTCGCTCTCCTTCAGGAAGCCGGCTTCAACCCACATGGAGTACAGGGCTGGAGCAGCATGACCCTGAGGGAAAAAATAACCACAAATCAATGTTATGTTAAGTAATCAAAGGAAAAGGTCATATTCTGGATGGCATATAGACAAAACAAAACTATGAAAACAGAGCCTCCTGTCCAGGCCAGTAGGACTGACTGAGTCTCACCTTGGACAGGATGAAGCGGTCATTGTTGAAGTTACGCGGGTCATCGTAGCGGTACTTCATGGTGTGGAAGAAAAGCACAGGCATGATCTCTGCCACACTGCAGCATGATGTTGGGTGTCTACACGAGAGGAAGAGGAGACGTTGCTGTTATCCATATGTCAGACTTAAGTACATACACATGCACACAGGAATGTACTGCAACCAAAAAAAACCCACTGCTTTAATTTGAACACATTCATTATTATCAAAAGCATAGGCCTATAGTTAGAAATCAGGTTACTATGAATACAACGTTGCATATTGTTACAGGTGGAAAATGATGCTACACTCTGAAAATGCTACACTATAATTGCAGAGTTGTGACTATAGATGCAGCCCAGAAGCAAAATTACAATGACTGAAAATAGTGCACATACACCCTTTTGAGCTGTATAAAAAGCTGAACATGTGGGTGGCTTTTATAGATTTTTAGATGTCACAGTTTAATCCTAAAGAGAAAACCATTTTGTAATGCTAATAGAGCATACAACATGCAAAAGCCCACAACAGATTAGATAGATAACTGGTTTTAAATGCAATCAAAATGACACATGGAAAAGTTATTAGGCTACTTACTCATTACTCATTTACACTAATTAGACTTACATTATAATTAATATTTTAAGCTAAGAAACATTTTGTTAAACTTTCTTCGGTTTCTCTTTGTTCCCATCAAGTGTCTCTTAAACACAACAGCACTGTGCATAGGGGTATATGATAACCCTCTTGATTCTTCAAATAGAGACAATTTGGCGGTTAGTTGTTCAAACCATGTGAATTCCTGGGGGAGAGGGCACTGTCATTTTTTTTAATCTCTAAAGAGGCATTTTCTTTTCTTTCTGTTGTGATACTGAACAATGCAACAACAATCTTTAATATAGCTATAAAGGGACATGACATACAGGATTTCAGATCAATAACACAGGGAGATCTACTGTGTCCAAAATTGCATCGGAGCATATCACCTTTCCACAGTCAGAAATCATATACAATATTTATCCTTCAAATGTTACAAAAGTGAATAGAAGATTTTGAAATAACTAATGCATATAACATTTTAAGTCATTCTCTATAATATGAAAATCTTATCATCTGACAAAATGATTCACGTTAAATCTCAGCTGTGATTTCAGTGTCCTACAGTCTGTGAATGTTAACCGCAGTACACTCAGGAGGGTAAATGTGTGCACTGAAATATCTGCAGCATGGTATATATTTTATATTTCACAAAGTTCTATAAAGAAGAGTATAAAAAAACATTGTGAAATCTACATATTTTAATTTCATTCATTTAATTAATAAGAAATCCATCATCACCTATCAAATAACAATTGTGGATGTTCAAATTATCAGTCGGTGATGTTTGACCAGAGGAGGAGAACAAAGGCAGGACATGCTGTTCCTTTGGCCCTTCACTTGCATTTATGTGCATCTGTACATGCATGTATGTAGCTAAGTAACTATTGGTGTTCATCTATGCATGCTGCAAATAATAAATTATGTTTTGCACAATTTTTGTATATTTGCATTGTGCATTGCATTTACAGACTTAAAGCTCATGTCTGAGAGTCAGTGGAGGCGACTCACCCGCTGCCCGCTGCAGTTGTCGCCTTGATGGAGTTGATTCGGAGGCGGTTGGCAATGTTCCTCAGCGCCTGCACTGTCTGCTGGTCAGGTTTGTGGTAATCCTCCATGAAGGCAAAATGTCAGGTTCCTCAGCACCAGAAAAGTGGACCAACTAAGATCCTTTGTTGAGTTTGTGTGTTTTGATTGTGTGTGTGTGTGAGAGAGTGAGGGTTGCCAAAGAGCAGCACCTGTATGTGTGTGTGTGAGTGGCGGAGGCAGAGAGAAAGAGAGAGAGAATGGAGGAGAAGTTGGATTTATCCTATCAGGCATGCAGACACATAGATGCCCAAGGACACACTGCACCCCCCCCACACACACACACACACACACAACACACACACACACACATACACAGAGGGGGAGAGGAGGGGGAATCCAGTGACGTGAGCTGGGAGTTGCTGCCTAAATCCAATGGCCCTTATTTCATTGGCTACTGTGTGACTAGGATGGTGGAGGAGTGTCATAGTTAGATGTGCCTTAGTATGTGTGCGTGTGCGTGTGCGTGTGCGTGTGCGTGTGCGTGTGTGTGTGCGTGTGTGTGTGTCTGTGTCTGTGTCTGTGTCTATGTGCCTGAAAGGAGGGGCTGGATAATTGGGGGGGAGGAGGGGCAGACATTTGAAGCATCTCACCCTGATTCACTTTGGCTTTACTGTCTAAACTAATCATTTAGAATTTGATGGTTGATTGTTCTTTGTTATTTACTTACACCAAACACCCATTTGTATCGCCCAAGCACATGTTTAAACAGGCTCTAACTTGTGTTTGTTTGACATTAAACAGAAAATAAAAATGAGCGAAGTGACAAATGCAGAATTAGCAATAAAGAGGAAAAAGACTTTTCAGCACTCTGTTTTCTTATCAAGTTTTACAAGACCAGATACTGATGAACTTTTTTCGCATCATTCATCATACTATAATAACTGTAATGAACTTTTACTTTCACCATCCTGATGAAAAATGCTTAATGCAGAATACAAAATACAAAAAATACAAAATACAAAGAATGCAAGAGAGACAGACAGAGAATGACGAACACTAGATCTCATCTTCATATATATTCCTTTGTTCTTTATTTTCGTTAAGTCCTACTATTGTTGTACTATACAATGTAGTATATTGGTGGTGTTGTTGTTGTTGTTGTTGACGTGTATTATGTTATAATATACTTTGTATAGTGTGCGGTATACATAGTGTTTATAATGTAGTGATGGGCAAGCAATTTTTTGTTATCTTTTTCCTCACATTCTGAATCAGTGTACCTACATTGTTAACTTTGTGCAAGCTGCTTTTGGCAATACTGTTCTTAATCATGCATTAAAGCAAATTTGAATATGAGAAAGGGAGAATGAGACAAAGACAGAATAAGATCATAAAGGGAAGAGTGGCAGTGTCCTTTAAGTTGAAGATTTACTTCTAAAATGGTCAGAATGGCACACACCAACATCTCTCCTCAGTCATGATCTGTGTTTAATGTACATATAACTCTTATTATATCTATTTTCATTATGTTTTTCTTATCTTTTCCTTTTTTTAAACTTTTAAATAATGTGTATTTTCCTGTCTGTTGTGTTGTATCTGGAGAGGCTGTAGGGAGTAAATTTCCCCAGTGTGGGATCAATAATTATCTCCTAATTATTTCCTCCTCACTGTCACTGTTTTCTTCTGTCTAGCATCTTGATGCTCAGTGAGTTTGACTGAGGACACTTTGTTCTTTAGCCCAAAAACCTTCTGCAGCAGACCTGGGCCAGATATACAGACATATTTGGACCTCACCACTGAGGAAAAAAAACCTCTATTATCTACTAGAGTTGCTTTTTCCTCTCTCTTAAATTTAAGATGACCTATTTAACACAATTTGGAAGCAGAGTTTGTAATTGCACGGATAAATAAAGCACAGTGGTATTATGCTACACCAAGTACACAGTACAGACTTACCCTTTTCTACCATTTACCACAATGTATTTTCATTGTATTTGAATTGTATTGTGTGAAATTAAATATGAATGCTGACTCCAAAATCTTTTTTTTCACTCATGTTTGTAAACTTTAAATGGAAAATATCAATGTATCATTAAAATTATTTTGATAAATAACAGATTTTCAACAACTGACATGTTGGTATTTGATTTTAAGCCTTTGCACAAACATGTATGTGCACATAAAACATCTGACTATGTTATGATGACGAAGAGATTCGGCCTGCCATCTAGAGGATAATCTTTGATGGTACATTTGACCTGTTTCTACTGCTCACTGCTGTATTGAATGTTTGATCTGAAGACAATCAATAAAATGACAATATACCAAATAAAAATTTGGTATATTGTTATGTACTGGATCTTTTGGTGAATTTGATATTTTTTGAAGACATGAAGTGCAAACTGTCCATGATTGACAGGATGATTTAGAAGAGTTGTTTCATTCCAAAACTGCTGATGTGGTACAGTCCAGGATCTTCCACTGAACCGAGGAGAGGGGTAGTGTCAAAGTCTTTTAGGATTTTAGGCCTATCTGTTTTATTACAGCTACAATAGATCAGTCAGACAATACTGTCTGTTGCTTGACATAAAAGGTCACAGTAGATCAGAGAGGCGCTATATGGAAATATCAAAGACATTATCCTGCATGTGTTGCAGGAACATTTGCTGTGTCTTATTACTCCATTTTGGACGTCCTTTCATTCAAGGCCAGTTGTATTCCTAACATTAAACACCAGAGGACACTGTCTCCCCATAAATATAGGATGACAACCTATATAAACAGTGGTTTATAGGATAGTTCCATCCACTTTATTAGCCAATAGCTGAAGTAAAATCATTAGAACCATAAGATATTTAGCAGAGAGGAGATTTTTAATTAATTAATTAATTATGAAATCAATCTATACTTAATACATTTTTTAGGTCAAATGTGTTTTATATTGTCACCTTATGCAGTGAAACCAAATGTGGTCAAGTTTTTTTGGTAACAGTGAGATAAGACAACAACACATGTAAGTGTTAGCTAAACTTATGATTATGACACATGCTCTCTGAGTGTCCTTGCTGCAAAATCACCATCCTCTCCTTCATTCATTTTCCTCTGCACCTCTTCAGCCATGTGACCATCTCTGTGGATTCCTGCCCTTTGCTGTAGCTGGGAGGTCACATCCCAGCACCTCCGCACTCACAGCTATGATGATGCCATCTCTCAAGCACCCCCACTGCTCTCCTGGTTCCACCGACATTGTCCTTCTCCCAGTTTCCAGCAACTCCTTTGGGCTCCTGGGTCCTGTCAGAAAAGCTTCTCTTCACAGAGCCCCACAGGTGCCAGCCAATAGTAGCCTGAGAATGAGATGCCACGTGATGATGTGCAGCCAATGTCAGACACCCACAACTGCACACTTCCTGGAGGGAAAGTACATTCAGAGAGCATGAATGTTTCTATTTTTAATCTCCGTGGCAGAAAAAGAGGAGCAAAGCAACCATTTTTGAAACAATGCCTTAATATAACACGGAGCATGTGCCTGGCTCTCCCAACACAATGCAGACCTCAAGTAAACAAAAATCTACTCAGCATTGTTGGGTTGGATGATGAATGGGAATTTAAAGGGGAAAAAAAGCAGACACACAATACACATGCACATATACAGGCCCACATGTGTACACATGCACTCAGGCATGCTGACATGTGCATGTGTGCACACATACACCCACAAATGAACTCATGAATATTCTCACACTCATATGCATAGCATCTTACACACACATCCATGAATCTTGGTACATTGCTTTAATGCCAGTAGCTCCTTCAGGCTTGAGCCTCTTCCACTCTGCTCTTATCACTCCATTTCCTTAAATCGCTCTGCAGTCACCATGATGACATAGTGCTTGCCCTTCTATCTGAGAGCTGTCTGTCACCCAAAGGCCCCACCCCCTGACTGTGCATGAGACAAGGGCATAGAAACTTATGATTGAGTTATCAATAGAGCATTCAGTCATGCAGCTGTTCACAGCTGGACTGGGTGATCATCCTAGAAGTAGGAGTCTGGGTTAGGTTGAGTGCACACATGGGATAAAAAGAAGTGACTGAGAGAGATGTCATGGCGTGGCTAAGGCATAAAGGTGGAATCAGTGAAATAATTGAAGGCAAGTGGATGAAGGAACTATTTGAAGATGAGAGATATAAAGATTCAGATTGAGAGATTTAGATAAGCAGAAAGAGTGGATGGAGAGAAAAAGGAAAGACCAAGAAGAGAGAGGGAAGATTCAGAGAGAAGAGTAGAGTGTGCAAGCAGGGGTTAAGGCTGAGCGTGTGTTGTGGGCTCAGCAGTGAAGTTGACGATGCACTGGGAGAACAGCTGCGCTGCAGGGCTTTCAGGCTCCATCACTACTGCTCTCCTTCAAGCAGCTCCACCAACACACACGCTCTCTCTCTTACACACACACACACACACACACACACACACACACACACACACACACACACACACACACACACACACAAATATACACATAACTCTTATAAACATGCAAAAGCACTGATTGTTGCATCAGTGCTTTTGCATCAGTGCCTTCTAACCAAGTTTTGTATGCCTGGTCAGGCCAGGAAGTCAGACATCAAGTCACACATGCTAAAATTCTAACTCATTTTAAATATCCCAAACCTTCATTACCACTATATGATTAAAAATGATTTCAGATAAACAGCAAGTGAAGATACAGAAATGCTGAATGAGATTAAATGAGAACAGGAAGAAAATAGCAGTTTTGCAGCTTATGAGCACATGAGTGAAGCGCTCACATAGATTTATTGCAATCTGATTTAAAAAGAGCTGCAGGAAGAGAGGGAGGGGGTGAGGCTGAGGGATAAAGGAGTAAAAGCTAAGTGCATTTACAAAGAGATAGAAAACATAACAGCTGTTCGCTGTAAATTGCATATGTAAACTAAACACATTTTTATTGAGTCAACACATCATAATCCCTTTAGAGGCTGGCCAAACACAACATTTACACAGGACCTCCACCATAGCAGAGTTAAGTGCCAAAGAGTGGCTTTGTGCAGAATTATATTTGTCTGATTTGCTATGCTTTGCATACTGTTCAAGACAAAGCATCTTCATAAGGAGCTTCTGAAAAATAACACAAGAAATACTAAAAAACAATGACTGGGATATTAATATTATAATCCTCCTTTAATCAGAAAAGTGTAACACTCCTGTTGTAGAATGATTCAGGTTCAAAGTGAATCACCATGTTTGAATGTTGTTAGAGTTTGGTGGCGCAGAAAGTACAGAAGTA